TTAACCTAGTGAGCCACGGCACTGGCCATTTATTTATTTGAAAGTCAGAGTTACACAGAGAGAGGAGAGGCAGAGACAGAGAGAGAGAGGTCCTCCATCCGGTGGTTCATTCCCCAAGTGGCCACAACGGCCGGAGCTGCGCCAGTCCAAAGCCAGGAGCCAGGAGCCTCCTCCAAGTCTCCCACATGGGTGCAGGGGCCCAAGGACTTGGGCCATCTTCTACTGCTTTCCCAGGACACACAGCAGAGAGCTGGAATGGGAGTGGAGCATCTGGGACCCAAACTGCTGTCCATATGGGTTGCCGGTGCTTCAGGCCAGGGCGTTAACCCACTGTGCCACAGCGCTGACCCCCTTAAGTCATTTCTAATCTCCCTCGTGATTTATTCTTTGACCCATTGGTAACTTATGAATGTGTTGTTTTTCCCATAAATTTGAAATTTCCTTCCACTGTTTTATTCCATTGTAGTGAGAACCTACCTTGTATGATTTTGCTCCTTTCAAATTAGTTGAGGCTTTTTTAACACCTGGTATGTGCTGTATCCTGGAGAGCATTCCTTTGTTATTAAGAACCTGTATTCTGTACTGGTGGAGTGTCTATAAATGTATTTTAAGTGTACTGGCTTACCTAGTAGTATCAAGTCTTTTACTTCCTTATTGCTCTATTGCCACCATCTGTTTATTATTAAAAGTGAGATATTGAATTCAACTATTACTGTGTTTATTTCTATCTTCAGTTCTGTCAGTGCTCCCTCTATGTTGGATCTGTGTTGTTTGCATTTATGTTTATAATTTTGTATCTTCCTAACGGATTAGCCCTTTATCACCTTCCTTGAATATAGTATCATTTGAATATAGCCTTCCTTGAATTAAGTAACAACTTTTAACTCACAGTTGTTTTTTTTTTCCTGATATTAGTATAACCACTTCAACTCTCTATTGGTTGCTGTTTTTATGGTATATCATTTTCAGTCTTTTTATCTTCCTATTGTATTGACCTTTTTATCATTATGAAATGTCTTTCAGTCTCAGTAATGTATTTCTTGTCTTTTTTTTTTTTTTTTTTTTTTTTTTTTTTTGGACAGGCAGAGTGGATAGTGAGAGAGACAGAGAGAAAGGTCTTCCTTTTGCCATTGGTTCACCCTCCAATGGCCACCACAGCTGGCGCGCTGCGGCTGGTGCACCGCGCTGATCCGAAGGCAGGAGCCAGGTGCTTCTCCTGGTCTCCCATGGGGTGCAGGGCCCAAGCACTTGGGCCATCCTCCACTGCACTCCCGGGCCACAGCAGAGAGCTGGCCTGGAAGAGGGGCAACAGGGAAAGAATCCGGTGCCCCGACCGGGACTAGAACCCAGTGTGCCGGCCCTGCTAGGTGGAGGATTAGCCTATTGAGCCTCAGAGCTGGCCCTTTCTTGTCTTAATGTTTGTTTTGTCTGATGCTAATCAAGCCGCTCCAGTACCTGTTTACATTGCTTTTTTTCCTACCACTTTATGTCTTTGACTCTAAAGTGTGTCTGTTGTAGACAGCATATAGTTGAATTGCATTTTCTCAACCCATTTTGCTGGCCCCTTCCTTCTGCTTAGCATGTTTAGTCCATTTACATTTAATGTAATTACTGGTAAGACAGGATTTACATGTACCATTGTGCTGTTTGTTTTCTTTATATGTCTTATGCCTTTTGATCCTCTGATCTTTCATTATTGCTATATCTTATATTAAATATGTGAGATCTTCAAAAACGTTCAGGAAAATGCATGCTTTGAATTTTTGCACCAAAATAAACTTGTTTCAATTCTGTTTTTCCACAAACTTTTAAATGTACCCTCATACATATTTTCTAGTGTACCATTTAATTCCCTTGTTCTTTAACTGTGTGTCTTTTTAAGTTTTCTTAGAGGTTGACTAAAGGATAAAGGTAATAACATCTTAATTTACAGAGAAATTTCAAATGGCATCTTTTCATGAACCACTTGTAGATGTTTTTTTAAAAATATTTATTTTATTTATTTGAAAGAGTTAAAGGGAGGTAGAGACAGAGAGAAAGAGAGGTCTTCTATACACTGGTTCACTCCCCAAATGGCCGCAACAGCTGGACCTGGGCCAATCCAAAGCTAGGAGCTTCTTTGGGGTCTTCCACGTGGGTGCAGGGGCCCAAGCTCTTGGGCCATCCTCTACTGCTTTCCCAGGCCATAGCAGAGAGCTGGATCAGAAGAGGAGCAGCCAGGACATGAGCTAGCACCAAAGGAGGAGGCATAGCCCACTATGCCACATCGCTGGCCCCTTTTTACTTTCTTAATGATTATTTTGATGCATAAACATTTTAAATTTCGATACTTTATCTGCTCACTTTTTTAACATTTATTTGACAGTCATAGAAAAAGAGGGAGGCAGTCATATATATATATATGTCTGTATATCTCTATCTATCTATCCATATACAGAGAGAGAGAGAGAGAGAGAGAGAGAGAGAGAGAGAATATATCTTCTCTCTGCTGGTTCAATCTCCAGATCGCCGCAGTGGATCTTGTTGGACCAGACTGAAGCCAGGAGCCTGAAACTCCCACCCAGATCTCCCACAGTAGGTGACAGGGGCCTAAGCACTTAAGCCATCTTCTGCTTTCCCAGGAGCACTAGCAGGGCCCTGGATTAGAAGTAGGGACTTGACCAATATTCTGCCATGGATGTGGGTGTTAGAAGTGGCAGCTTAACCCCCTGAGCTACAACAGTGGTCCCCTCTTCCCCTTCAGCCCTATGTCCAAATATAACCGCGTTGGGAGTTAGCGTTGGGAATTAGGACTTAACACGTGAATTTGAGGGGAGGTTCAAAACTCAGTGTATAACAAATCATCTGATGATAATAAAGATCATTTTTTGCCCTTTCCCTAAGGAAACTCTTAGTTTTTATAGCTGCTAGATGCATTTGCTGATTTCATATGTAATTTGATCTATTAACACCATTAAAATGATAGTTAATGATAGTTATTCTGTAGGATGTACAACCACTTCAGAGTCAGCCAAATGAAGTTTTTGTTTTTATAAAAGCTTAATTCTGTTTTGAACCTAGGTTAATGTATTTAAGTGTAGCAGATGTGCAGTTTTAAGACTATTCTAAATTTTTTGCTCTTCAAGTCCCCTCAGATTCCTTTAAGTAAAATTGGCTTATTTACGTATTTATTATTTATAGCACTTAGGAATTAAATGTGTTTCTGAAAAGAGTTGTACTTTAAAAACTGAATTTTCCCCATACATTATGATTCCAAGCCTATTTAATTTCACTGCCCCCAACATCCACCCCCTAGTTTACATTATCTTCTATACCTAACTGTTTCCTGATTTTTGTCTTATTTTATTCTGGTTTAGCCTGAAAAAATAATACATTAAATTCCTTTGATATGGGCTTGAAATTAGCTTTCTTCTGTTGCTTTTATCATTCATGCTTTTTATGACTGTATTGTGGTCTTGTTGAGTCAAAGATGACTTTTTCCAGTGCAATGGTTTTATTTTGTGGTGATGGAGTTATAAAGTGACTTATAAACAGAAATGTCATCAGGGTGTCCCCTAGCGAGGCTTGGTCCAGGTTCTTGTCTCCACACTAGAAGGAATTCAAGAAAGAGAACTAGGTCAAGGTGAACAAGAAGCAAGATGTATGTAAAGCAGACATACCCACTCAGGGTTAATAGTGGGCCACCTCAAAGAGAGAAAGCCACAGTTAGCAGGGTTGGGCTGTCCTTTTATACACTTTGGAGGTATGGGGTAGCATCTGGAAGAGCATACGGTACAGAAATATTGTTCTGGCCTTTTGGGAAAATGGTCTGATACAGGGAACATTGTACCTGTCAAGAAACTGAATCTCAGAGAAACTACTTGGAAGGCAGAAAGCTGGAGAGGGAAAGGGAGAGCCTGGACCCTTCAAGGCTTCTAGAACATTTTGAGATGATTTGGGGGTGATCTTCGAAACAAAAGAAGGCCATTGAGGTATTTTAGGTTAATTTTATAAAGATCAGTGTGGAGAGCAAATATGTGTGGGTTTAGAGGAGACCAGTTAGGAAGCTGGTGAGATAGCTTGGGCTGGGAGGTAGCTGTGGAGATGGACAGACAGACTAGAGACTGGAAAGAAGTTTCAGAGGTCTGATCACCAGGTCTTGGGAGTGGCAATAGGAGAACAAAGCATTAAGGATGATTCCCTGGCTTCTGGCTGTGCTGCCTAATGGATATGGAGCCACTGAGATGGAGAACATGAGAAGTGGATGGGGACCAAGGGGAGGAGCATCACAGGTGTGCTGTGGGGCACAGCTCAGCGGGGAGGTGCAGCCAAACATAGATGGAAGGGGATGGAGCGTGGAGTCTGGATAAGCTCACTCAGGGAGACAGCCCAGCACTGAGGTCTAGGATGGCTGGGAGGGGAGGGTCTCCCAGAAGAGGAGTCAGGCTACAAAGAGCCACACCCATGGGACAGAGAATCTGATGTCTCAAGAGGAGGGAATTCCAGAGGGTCAGATGCTCCTGACAGGCAAACTAGGGACTAAAGCATGGCTGCTGGTGATGATGACAAGCTCAGTGGTGACCTGAGTATCGGTCCCTCTGGAGGCGGCAGGGCCTCTGGAATGCAGGTTGCGGTGGTGTCAGGAGGAGTCAGAGACAAGGAGATGAGGACAGGACACAGAGGTAGCTCTTTGAAGAAATGTGTCCCTCAGTGAACAGAAAGGGTGAGGATGGATGGTTGGAGATGAACGGTGGATGTTCAGCAGTGAGAAATTGAGAATTCATTAAGGAAGGTAGATCAGAGGTCATTCACAGGGAGGAAGGAGGGAGGCCAGGATGATAAAAGTTGAGCCTATTTGAGATAGTCTTGAATGAAAAATGTGATTTTGAGAAAGATGTAATCTGCACTATTAATAGCTACCGTGGATCTGTTAAATTCTACCGTAAATGTGTTAAATTCCAGATTTTTACAGTAGTCACTAATTTACTTACTTGCTTTTTACCTTATTCCCTTTTTGTCAGAAGAATGATGAAAATGGAAACTGCTCAGGGGAAGGAATTGAATTCCCTACAACAAATTTGTATGAATTGGAAAGCCGTGTTCTGACTGATCACTGGTCCATCCCCTACAAGCGGGAAGAATCTCTAGGCAAATGCCTGTTGGCTTCCACCTACCTGGCAAGACTCGGTAAGCTGACCTCGGGACACTGGAGGAGGGCTTTTTCATGGGAGGCCCGGGTTTGCCCTTAGCTCTTGTCATTGCCTGTCTGTGTGAACTTGGGCAGTCATTTGTTCTCCTAGTCTGTGTTTCTCCCCTGTGGAATAAAAACTTTGAACTAAATCTTCTAGCTCTAGTAGAGTGGAAGATTATTTAAAACAAAATTGAATAGATTTATAAAAACTGAAATGAATTTTCACAGAAGCTTGGAGTACTTTAAAGATCAATTTATGAGGCCAGTGCTGTGGCGCAGTGGGTTAAGCCGTTGCCCACAATGCCGGCATCCCATATGGCCGCTGGTTCAAGTCCTGGCTGTTCTACTTCCAATCCAGCTCCCTGCTAGTGTGCCTGGGAAAGCAGTAGAAGATGGCCCAAGTGCCTGGGCCCTTGCACATTCATGGGAGACCATAAAGAAGCTCCTGGCTGCTGGCTTCGTATTGGTCCAGCTCTGGCCATTGTGGCCATTTGGGGAGTGAACCAGTAGATGGAAGATCTCTCTGTCCCTCCCTCTCTCCCTCTCTTTCCCTGTAACTCTGCTTTTCAATAAATAAAATAAATCTTCAAATCAATTTAGCAGTATTTTTTAGGAGAAGAAAGTAATGTTTCTCATACATTCTTTGCTGACCAAGTACCCAACTCCGGTGTATGTGCTTTGCAAATACTAAGCTAATGCTGATAAAATACCACTAGTCGGGAAGAATCAGTGTCAATATAAGGAGGCTTCTCTGCTATAATTCTATGTATGAATGAGAAAATAATTTATTTCTCATTGAATTCAGTTATAACATGGATAGGGCCACAGTTTGGGGGAATTTTTTTATTATGATGATTGGGTGTAGTTTACTCCCATGATTAAATAGGCAGTATTTTGACTAGGGTTGTACTTAATCCTCTTGGGTTTTATTGTGCATTGATGACCAGCTTCTCAGCAGCAGTGTGATTGAGCACCTCTTGGGATCTGAGTGCATTGCAAGGTGGTGGGACTGTAAAACGAAAATGTGTCCTACAGTGTTCTCCACCATAAACAGAGTGTGTTACTGAGTTTAAGAAACGCGTTTCTTACAAAGTATAAACTTACAGTAGATTCATTGGTGCACTTAGCAAGTACTCAGTACTTACTGTATGGTTTGTGCCCAGCACAGTTCTGTATATTTTAATGTACAGAATGTATCAGTTTGTCTTAGGAAAGAGGAGAGGCATTTATTGACAGTGTTTGTGTTTTGGGGGCTGTTAAGGCACACAGTGCTGGCTGGTCAATAGCTGCTGCTGTTTTCGCTATTTAATCTGACGTGGAAACCACACTCACATTTCAGTGCTGATAAGTGGCTGAACGCTGTGTGTCTTAACCTGTTCCTTTGTTAGAATGTGTATGTTCTGCCTTCAGTAATTCCTCAAGTATCAAGGTTTCTGTAATAAGTAGTCCCATATACATAAATTTGGAATGATAAATGTCTTTTTTGCAAACTTCTGAAAAATCTAAATAAGGCATATCCTTTCATTTATTTTGCTAAGGTCTTTGTGAATCTGATGAAAATTGCAAACGATTTATGGACAGATGTATGCCTGAAGCATTTAAAAAGGTAAGAAAAATGTACAGATCTGATTTTTTTTAGTGGGGGTGAAGATAGACAAGCTTTATGTTTTAGTTTTTTTTTAATATAAAGTAGGTTTATGAATCTTGTTCAAGCAAGGAGTCTTTTAATATGAAAAAAGGTAGCTCTGAATTTGGTGTTTATTAGTGACTTACCTCTTTTACATGTAATTGCACTTGTCATTGGTTGAACATATGTTTTACTATTGTTAAACAGTTTAAGACTTAATTACTCTAGGAAAGTGCACATCTTCGTGAACTAAGGATTGTGGCACTTGAAAGACAGTATTCATCAGAACTGACCCACTTCCTGTTTAGTGTTTTGCTGACACAGACGCATGTGCTTTAAACAACTGCAAGTTGGACTGGATTAGATGTTCTTCCTGACAGGCGGACATGCACAGGGCAGCATCTGAGCCAGAGCCAGACTGAAATGTCTGCTCCTGTTCTGGTCACATCTCTCTTAGAAAGCAGGTGTTTTTTTTTTTTTTTTTTTTTTTTTTTCAAAAAAAAACAGCAGGAGCAGGCGACCCCAGGAACTATGTTTGTAAAACAGGCCTGGCACAGCATGCTTGCCTTTTCAGAACATGAATCGTAAGCGCAGGGACTGAGTCAGTTGTAGACACTGCTGTTTTCCTCAGCATTTAACCAAGTGCCTGGCTCATAGGCTCATAGAAAGAGCTCAGTAAATGAATGAGCTCGTTGAATGGAAGAGTGAGCCTTCTGTAGTCTTATACTTCTGGATTTTGACATCCATTTTTGTCTCATATGCAAGTAAGCTCCTAGCACTACAGATGGGTAAGGTTTGTATTTATCTTCAAACCCAGTGAAACAAACTGTCTGTTTGCAAATGATGATTCCCATCTGCATTTGGTAGCTAGAATCTCTTTTTGACTCAAGGCTTTAAAAAAAATAAAAATTAATTTCAGAAACAAAAGTAGCTTTGTCTTTGAAAACATGGAGAAATCTTTTTAGGTTGTTACTTGGGTAGAGATTATATGAATATAGAATCAAGGTTTATCTTCATTTTAGATGTATTTATCTTACAATTTGTAGTTTAAAATAATTTTGGATTTTTATAAACTCTTCTAAGAATTATAGTAGCTTTTTAGAAGTAATGGAGTTTTTATAATGTTACCATATTTATGGATAAATTTATAGAGAAGGAAATGCAAGTTTGAAGTCATGGAAGAGAACTAACTTGTCTAAGGAAAGGGTCTTTAGGTAGAAGATCTCAAGATATGGAAAGCTCCAAATCAAGTCAGGTTACCAGCAGATTGCATTTCGGGGGCTTAATACTCCACCTTTGTACAGAGGTGCCTCAGAGAACTGTTCCTTGTTAATAAGCCCTGGGCTCGTGGTACAGTACATGGCCAAATGACTGGTGGTTTTTTCTGTGAAACTGCAAGCACAGAGGTACCCTGCATTCTGTTAATTCTGACATTGTGAACCTAGAGCTATCTGGGTTCTCTTCCCCATCAGTTAGGCATCTCTCTCTTAAGAAGCCACAAGAATTAGGGAATTAGGTGAGCCTCAGGTTTGGGTGCCACAAGACTCCGTAGGACTTGTTACAATTGATAGTAATTGTTTCCTGCTAGGGTGGCCGTCCCTCTCCCCTCTTCCTTAGACTTTTCTTCCAAGCTGCCTCAAACACTGCTAGAAGTAAGGGTCTACATACGTGGCTGCATGTAAGTGCACAGAGGAGCAGCCTGAGTTCTTTGCTAGTATATTCAGGCAGGGAAAACCATCTAGGTTTGGCCGTAGTGCAGGGTTTACATCTAAACCCTGTGTGCATATCTTCCTCACCCCTTCCAGATGGTAGACACAACTGCCTTTTTTCAGTAAAAAAATGAACAAATGAACAAATGACATGATGCCTGAGGGAGTGGTGTTTGATCCATGAACATTTGCACTTATTATATGAAACTTCTTAAATGTTAGTCTTGGCTCCTTTTTGCTTTATTATTTAACTTTTAAGAATAGGAGGAATAGTCGGGCAAAAAAAAAATCTTAAAAAAACAGTAACTCATTGGTTTATATAAAAATAGCCTTAGGATTTTTACTCATTTGAGCAAGTAATACAGCTAATTGGTCTGTAGAGAATCTGAAACGGAGGCTGTTCCCTGCAGCTGGCGGGTTCTTTGAGACTGCTCACTTTAAGGGATTCTCAGTGTGGCCAGTATGACCTTGTTAGCACGCAGTGGCTTCCCTCTGAATGCAGTCTTACAAAAAGGTAAAACCAGCACACCGATTACAGTGAAGCCTTTGGATGTCTCAGTTCGTGTTCTGGCAGTTATTCCTGCATCAAAAGACTGAGCACTGGGGGAATCCAGTTTGTCTCCTTTCTAACTAAGAAGCTTCCTATTTTAAATAAGATACACCATGTTTGTTTTTTTTTAATATTTGATGTTTATGTTTAAGAAACAGCAGCTAAGAAAACAGTATTAGCAATGTCTTCTCACTTAGAACTATTTTAGATTCACTTAAACATTTAAAAAATTAAATATTACTTTTGCACATATGAAAAGGAAAATATAAGCAAACTAAATGGACAAGGTAGCCTAGAACTTTTCCACATCCAAGTCGTGCTATTGTCTGGTCAACAGATGAAGTTGTGGTGCTATTTCTGAGATGTTAAAAATTGTAAAAGAAAATGTATGTTGGAGTCCATGAAATGTGGGGGTGTCCTCCAAAAAGTTCATAGGAAATGTGTATTATGAAAGAGCTGTGCATGGGTTTTAATGTTTTGAACCAAAATGGGCATTTTTTTCACAAACTTTTTAAAATACTCATATATTATACCCATTGATAGTCTACCATCAGGGTATATTAATGCCTTACCATTTAAGAAATGCTTTCGTGTTTGTTGCATCTTTTGATCCTCGTAAGATCTGTGTGTAGTGGACAGGAAGTGTGCCTCTGTAGAGATGAGAGAACTGAGCCTCAGGGAACTCAGTGGATCCAGTGCCACACAGCTAGGCAGCAGTAGTACAGGAATTGATCTCGAGTTTACTCTCTCTACCATGTGGCCCCCTCTAGTAGTGATGGAAAAACAGAGGAGCAAATACAAGTTTACTTTGAAACAAATGGCTTATATGCAGTGGAGCTAAAATGTCAAAGCAAACCTCTATGCAGACTTCAAAATAAATGAACACGTGGAAGGACTACAGCTGTGGGTCTTTTAAAGCAAGTTGTCTGCATCAAAACAAGTTTTTTGGTTATAATCTTCTGATTATTTGAGATTGACCTGGTAATTTGTAGATCTTGTTTTTTTAATTTAGATTCTAGATTACTTTTTATGTTTTTGTAGCTCCTGACCTCAAGTGCTGTTCACAAGTGGGGGACTGAAATTCATGAAGGAATCTACAACATGCTGATGCTATTAATAGAACTGGTTGCAGAGAGAATAAAGCAAGATCCAATTCCCATTGGTCTCTTGGGTGTACTTACAATGGTATAGTATATCAAAATGAGCTACTTTGTGTTTTGATTTTGTTTAAAATACTTAACTATTCTGTGACTCGTAATTGAGAGAGCATCATTTTATCATAAAAGGTAGTAACTTACCTGTTCGTTAGAATCCCTGTTTTTTTATCTGAAAAAGAGAGCAGTGGTCTTGTGTTTTCAGTTGAAAGAAGAACTTGTGTCACTTAATGGGCTTTCCACCTGCCAATTAATAGCTTTCCCTTGTCCCTTCTTGATTATTCACATCTAAAATACTTCCCCAGAGTACTCACATGGTCTGGTTTCTGACCTTTTTTCCCTCCTAACTTACGTCTTCACTGCGTCTGTCGCCCAGCTCTGCCTGAGGCAGCCCTAGCACATATGGGACGTTGGCAAAGCCTTGCCTTGAGCCAGAGCTGTCGTGCTGTTGGCTCCTCCTCTCCCTTCACAGTGAGCATTGAACAGGACAGGAGAGCCTCACATCTGTCCTTTGCTCTCTGAATTAGCTACCGCCTGTGCTTTGTAGATACTCCTGAAAGAGTCCCTTAATGAAAAGTCCAAGGCTATATTTTTATCTTCTTTTCTAATGCTAAAACGCGTTGCTATAGAAATAATGTTTCTCTGTTCTCTTTGAATCTAGGCTTTCAATCCTGATAATGAATACCATTTTAAAAACAGAATGAAAGTGTCTCAGAGGAATTGGGCAGAAGTGTTTGGAGAGGGAAATATGTTTGCTGTTTCACCTGTATCTACTTTCCAAAAGGTAAACAATTTTGTTTCATCTTTTTATAGAGCACTGTGTTGAAAAAGATTTTTTGTGCTCTAAAATGATAGCTTATGTGAGAAAACAAGATAATCTGTGAAAAATGACAAATATTTCATAAGCCTCATAAAATTGTTTATCATTTTCCACATATTATGTACTTTTCCCATAGTTGTTAGCTAATATCATGTAGAATTTTATAGATTTTTTTTTAAAGATTTATTTTGTTCATTTGAAAGGCAGAGTTACAGAGAGAGAAAGAGAGAGGGGGATAGAGAGAGCACTTCCATCCACAAGTTCAGTCGCCAAATGGCCACAACAGCCAGGGCTAAGCCAGGCCAAATCCAGAAACCAGGAGCCTCCTCTAGGTCTTCCATGTGGGTGCAGGAACCCAAGGATTTGGGGGCCAACCTCTGCTGCTTTTCAGGTGGACAAGCAGGGAACTGGATCGAAAGTGAAGCAGTCAGGACTCAAACCAGTGCCAGCATTTCAGGCAGCAGCTCAGCCCGCTGTGCCCCCGATACCAGCCCCTGATTTTTACAGATTTGAAATGATGTTGTGTGATATGACTTCAGTGTGTTATACATTGGATTAGCAGAACCCTAATTTAATTGATGTCCCAGTTTCTTACAGATATTTGACAGATAAGAGCATTTGAAATAACTACTTGTACATAGGAAAAAAATCTAGTAGTCAATCTCAGATATGTAATTTTTTTAAGTTCCATAAGCATTAATACTTTTGCTCTTTCAAATCAGAACCAATATATATATTTTTTTATATTCAGAGGTCTACAGTTTGCCAATTAACAATGCACACATAAAGAGTCTGTAATCTGAACAGTCCTTTAGTTCAAACATTGTCTTTTTTTTTTTTTTTTTTTGACAGGCAGAATAGATAGTGAGAGAGAGAGACAGAGAGAAAGGTCTTCCTTTGCCGTTGGTTCACCCTCCAATGGCCGCCACGGCTGGCGCGCTGCAGCCGGCGCACTGCACTAATCTGAAGCCAGGAGCCAGGTGCTTCTTCTGGTCTCCCATGGGGTGCAGGGCCCAAGCACCTGGGCCATCTTCCACTGCCTTCCCGGGCCACAGCAGAGAGCTGGCCTGGAAGAGGGGCAACCGGGACAGAATCCGGCACCCCGACTGGGACTAGAACCCAGTGTGCTGGTGCCGCTAGTTGGAGGATTAGCCTATTGAGCCGCGGCGCCGGCCCAAACATTGGTTTTTGAGAAACAGTTGAAACAAGTCAGATTTTATTGATAGAAAACATTTGCATTACTTTAATAGCAGATTTTGTTTGACAATTTTTTTTTTTTTTTTGACAGGCAGAGTGGACAGTGAGAGAGAGAGACATAGAGAAAGGTCTTCCTTTGCCGTTGGTTCACCCTCCAATGGCCACCGCGGCCAGCGCGCTGCGGCCGGCGCACCGCGCTGATCCGATGGCAGGAGCCAGGAGCCAGGTGCTTTTTCCTGGTCTCCCATGGGGTGCAGGGCCCAAGCACCTGGGCCATCCTCCACTGTACTCCCTGGCCACAGCAGAGAGCTGGCCTGGAAGAGGGGCAACCGGGACAGAATCCGGCGCCCTGACCAGGACTAGAACCCGGTGTGCTGGCGCCGCAAGGCGGAGGATTAGCCTAGTGAGCCGCGGCGCCAGCCTGACAATTATTTTTTGATTATATTTCATGGACCTGGCAATATTCTAGGTTTTAGATATCTAAATAGACTGTGTAGAGTTATCAGGCATAGTTTCTACCTTATTGTACAGTAACATAATAATAGGTACAGTTACAATAGTATGTGTTACACATAGAATTCAGGAGCAGAGGGGTGGAGCTGTTGCTACCCTGGTGGGTCAGGATACTCTAATAAGGCAGTAAGAGTTGAGCAGAGAGGATAGTAAGTGTGTGCTTTGGAATTTAATCCTTACAGCAGCTCTATCGCTAGGGACAGTTTTTACATCCATTTCCTAAATGAGGAACTGAGACAAGCAGAGGTCAAGCTCTTGGCCAAGACCACATACCTCTTGCTATAGAAAGAACCCAAGGGCCAGTGCTGTGGTGTAGTGGGCTAAGCCTCTGCCTGCAGCGCTGGAATTTCATATGGACGCTGGTTCAAGTCCTGGCTGCTGCTCTTCCAATCCAGCTTTCTACTATGGCCTGAGAAAACCGTGCACCTACGTGGGAGACCCAGAAGAAGTTCCTGGCTCCTGGCTTCGGATCCTCCCAGCTCTGGCCATTGCGGCCATCTGGAGAGTGAACCAGTGGGTGGAAGACTTCTCTCTATCTCTCCCTCTCTCTGTAACTCTACCTCTCAAATAAATAAAATTAAAAAATCTTTAAAAAAAAAGAAAGAACCCATGCAGTCCCGCTGTAGGGTTTGCATTCTTTCACCATATACAGTACTGCCTCCCAAAATGTTAAAAAATCACCCCTGCAGTTTGTTTTGAGAGTTGAATGGCAAATGTGTATGAAGACACTGAACACGGGCTTCACTGTAGTGAGCACAGAGCACGTGATCATTGGTCTCCCCAGTTGACACATGCAGCAACTGAGGCCCAGAAAGCATCCCTCTCTGTATCTCCTCTGGTTTCCACAGAGGCATTCTCTCCCCTTCCAAGGCCCCAGGGTCCTCTCTGCCTCTTGCATTGTCAGGCATTTTTCTCCTAAGGTTTTCTTTTCCCTCTTGGTGTCCCCGGTGTTTTGGGGCACTCACCGTTGGATCATCCCCATTGTTCACGGTGTGCTCTGCTGTTTCCTACCGTTAAGTACTCTGCCTTTAATACCTCTCCCTAGTAGCAGCCTGGTCCTCTGCCCCCCTCTCAGCCACAGCTCATGGGAAACTCCATGCCCTCTCCTCTAAGTTAGTTAGTGGCTGTCGCTCCCCCTCTTCGCAGAGGAACGACACAGGACCCTGCGCTGTTCTTTTGTCTGCTCGGCCCTCCCCGGGTTTGCTGCTGGTTCTTCCCGGGTTGGCTACCATCCCTTCCACCTCCGTGGAAGGGCGGTGCCCCCTGCCACTTTCCCCACTTCCGCGGGGGAGTGGCACACCGCCGGCCGGCTCTCTCGGGGGCCGCTCAGATGTTCCTCAGGTGTTCCCCTTAGATGTTCCTGGTGCATGTTGTCTCTCTCCTCCTTTATAGTCCTCTTCACCAATCCCAACTCTGCTACCCACACGCCGAGTACGCTGCTCTCCTCCAATCAGGAGCAGGAGCAGCTCCTGCAGGTCATTACTCAAGTTGGCGAGAGGCAGCTGTGTAAAAGTTGTTTACTCCCTTCTCCCAGCGCCATATTGTGGGAGAGCAGATGCATAGAATAAGTCTTAATTCCAGTAACTTAGTCTAGTCCGAGTTGCTCCTCACAAGTGGCTACCTTAAATTTTGAACTCGTTGACTAAATAAAACTTAGATTTCCTTATCCTTCTGTGAGCCGTACACACTCTGAGGGTGTTTCATGTAATCCCTCACTCCTGATTCGTTCTCTCTCTCTATTGTGTGTGCTGAAGTTGATCATGCATCCTGCAAAGTGTCCTGTGGTGACTTTTTTTCTGATGGCTGAACTTAGCTTTATCTCACATTCCTTGAAGAATATCTTCAGTAGGTGTTATATCTAGATTAATATGTGTTTTCTGACACAGTGTTTCCTGGCTTTAGTTACTGCTGCTGGGAAGTCGCCTTGTTCTCTGTAAAGAGTTGTTCTTTCCTCCATGGCTGTGTTTTGAGGTCTCTTTCTCTGATGCGTTCAGCTTGACTGTCATGTAGTTAACTGGGATATTCTTTTTATTCATTTGGCTTCAGATTCATTTGGCTTCTGAATCTAAGGAATCAATTTGGGAAATTTCTCAACTATTGTTTTTTAAAATACTGCCTCTTTTCCGGCCGGCGCCGCGGCTCACTAGGCTAATCCTCCGCCTAGCGGCGCCGGCACACCGGGTTCTAGTCCCGGTCGGGGCGCCGGATTCTGTCCCGGTTGCCCCTCTTTCAGGCCAGCTCTCTGCTGTGGCCAAGGAGTGCAGTGGAGGATGGCCCAAGTGCTTGGGCCCTGCACCCCATGGGAGACCAGGAAAAGCACCTGGATCCTGGCTCCTGCCATCGGATCAGCGCGGTGCGCCGGCCGCAGCGCGCTGGCCGCGGTGGCCATTGGAGGGTGAACCAACGGCAAAGGAAGACCTTTCTCTCTGTCCTTCTCTCTCTCACTGTCCACTCTGGCTGTCAAAAAAAAAAAAAATACTGCCTCTTTTCCATGAGTCTCTTTTCTGGTACTGTGGATATCTGTTAGACTGTCTCATATGCTCCATGCCTTTTGTGTTTTCTGTGTTTGTCTTGTGCTGTATTTGTACATTTTCTTCCAGATCTGCAGTCCAGTTTGCTAATCTTTTTCTGTTTGTATCAGATTTGCTGTTTTAACTTATTCATAGAAGTCTTTAATTTTAAGTACTCATTAATATAAATTTATTTGGTTCTTTTTTGACTGTTTAGTCTTTTTTTTTAAAGATTTATTTATTTATTTGAAAGACTAGAAAAGAGAGAGATCTTCTATCTGCTGGTTCACTTCCCAAATGGCCACATGGTCAGAGCTAGGCCAGGAGCTTCTTCTACATCTCCCATGTGGGTGTAGGGGCCCAAGTGCATGGGCTGTCTTCCACTGCTTTCCCAGGATCATTAGCAGAGAGTTGGATGAGAAGTGGAGCAGCTGGAACTTGAACTGGTACTCTGATATAAGATACCAGTACTATAGGCAGTGGCTTAACCCACTGTGCCACTGCCCCAGCCCTTGTTTAGTCCATTTTTATTTAAAAAAAATTTTTTTATTTATTTGAGAGGCAAAGAGAGAGATAGATAAAGAGCCCCAATCCACTGGTTGATTCCCCAAATGCCTGTGATAGCTGGGCTTGGGCCAAAGCTGGGAGCTGGAAATTCACCCCAGGTTTCTCAGAGGAGTGGCATGAGCCCAATTCCTGGAGCCTCCAAGCTTGTGCATTAGCAGGAAGGAGAGTCAGGAGCTAGAGCCAGATAGTCAGACTCAGGAACTCCAGTGTGGGATATGGGTGAAGCTGCTGGGCTAAATGCCTGCCCCCATGTGTGTTCTTACACCATGTTCTCATTCTTTAGTTTGCTTATTGCTACCTTTATCTTCTGTGTCTGATCCTGCTGGGCATTACTAACCATGTGTGTGAAAGTATTTTTATGTTGGATCTTCAGTGACTCCATGTTTCTTAGAATTTAGGGAGCTTATTTTTATTTTTTTGAAAGACAGGGAGAAAGAATGTCCATTTACTAGTTCACTCCCCAAGTGCACACGAAACTGAGTTCAAAGCCAGGAGCCATGAACTCAATCACTTGAGCCATCACTGCTGCCACCTAGAGTCTGCACTAGTAGGGAGCTGGAGTCGGGTGCCTGAGCCAGTTACCAAACCCAGGCACTCCAGGATGGGATATGGGCCTCTGAACCAGCATCTCAGTGGCTGAGTCAGATGTCCACTAGTGATACTTTTTGAGGCTTGAATTCAAAGTTGTTTCCTGCAAAAAGGATTATTTTTACTTTTTCCAGCTGCCTGAAAGTCCTATAATCTAGGACCACTTTGGAATAAATTTTTAGCTTAATGTTTTTCAGACCATAATGTCACTGTGAATTTGAGCCACAAAGCCTTATGAGGGGAAATTGGGTTATAAATTCTTAGAAAAACGTGTTCTCCCCACATCCAGTACCGAAGTCAAAATAGATAGGCTTCCTTGTTTTCCTTTTCTGCAGGTAAATGTATTTTAGTTTGCCCTCCACTAATGATGTTGTTCTGTAGCTTCCAACCTCAGATGACAAGCACTTGTGATTCTCCCTGCTACCACTTGGGCTGTGTCCCATTTCTTACAAAGATACACACACAGGCCACAGGGTTCTGCAGATGCCCGTGGACTGAAAGCTGGCATCCGTGTCTGTGGACTTCACAGGACTCCTGCTTCCTCATTGTTTTAAACATCTGAGATTTTTGTTGTCAACTCAGCTGTATATGTTAAAGGATTATTTTTTTAATGTTCTTATCCAGTGGTATCAGTTATTTTCAGTTGGAGTGCTATTCAGGGAAACCAGACCGAAGCCCCCTTGATTTTTTAGGGCATTCCATTCTGCCTTCTTCACTCTCCACCGAAACCACTCTCATTAAGGCACCAACCCCTCCCTGTGTCCAACTCAGAAGGAAATGTCTCTTGACCCGGCCAGCAGCATTGGCCACGGTTGCTGCCTCCTGCAAACTGTTTGTTCCTTTGCGTCCAGGACGCTGCAGACTCTTGTTTGCTGTCTGTCTGCAAGTTCTCTGTCAGCCCCTTCACCCCACCAGCTTTCATCCAGGGCTGCACTTTCTCTAAGAAATCCCCTCCATTTTCCTGGATTCAACGTCAGCTTCATGCCGAGTCCCACCAACACCCCCCTTTATATTTCTGGCCCAGACTTCTTTTCTGAGCACCGCAGATCTGAAGAGCAACCCTCACTCTCGGTTGTCATTGAGTTCTGAGACTTAGTGTGCTGGAAGAGGAGCTTGTTTTCGCTTCCCCAGCCTTCATTCTTAGCAGATAACATCCCAGAGGCCTGGGTGCTCAGGCTGCAGACATAGGATCCAGCCACCATTTGTCCCTCCTTCTCATTCCCCAAATCCAAACCATAAGTCAGTCCTTTGGTTTCATCTCAGGTGTGTCTCCTGTTGACTTCTGTCTTTCTTCTGTTGCCATCCAGCTTCACACCACCCTGTCCTCTCATCATTGCACCGTCTTCCAAGTGGTTGTCTCACGCTTCCACGCTCCCATTCTCCATGGAACTGCAAGCGCCATCTGAAAACATAAAACACTTTTTTTTTTGCCTCAGACATTCCTGTTACTTGTCTTCTAACGACAGGCTACAGTGTCTGCATGTTCCAGCCTGTCCCCGTCTCTACAGTCCCCCATGCCATTCTCCCCTGGCACTGTGTCCCAGCCAGGAGAGCTTCCTTGAATTTTTCAAATGCAGTATTCTCGTTGTGCCTTTCCCAAACAGGTCCTTTAGCCTTTGCTGCCTGTCTGGGCTGTTCTTTCTTTAAATGTTTGTTTATTCATTTTTATTTAAATATTTATTTATTCAGTTTTGTTTATTTGAAAGACAGGGATTTTCCATCTGCTGATTCACTCCCCAAATGCCTACAATGGCCCGGGCTGGGCCAGGCTGAAGCCAGGAGCCAGGAACTCCAGATGGGCCTCCCTCCAGGATAACAGGGGCCCAAGTACTTGAGCCATCACTTGTTTGCTTTCCCAGGTACTTTAGCAGGGAGGCGGAGGTGGAACTTGATCCCAGGCACACCCAGACAGGTTAGGGGCATCCCAGGCAGCAGCTTAACCTGCTCCACAATACCCACCTCTGGGCTGTTCCTCAGTGACTCAGGCTGTCTTATTCTTAGGTTCCAGGTTAGAGATGATCTCTTCAGAGAGGTTTTCCTGGCCGCCACCTGCCTTCTGTTCTTCCTTTGAGGACCTTTTGTTTTCTCTTTGGTGGGACTTAGCACAGTTTGCGTTTATCTTATATATGTGGTGGTTCACTTGGTGTCTTTGGCACTGCTAGAATGCGAGTTCCTTGAAAGCAGGTGCCACATCTCTCCTTAGTCACCGTCCGGTATCCAGCCCCTAGGACAGGGACTACTCAGGAAAGGGAAGAAGAAAGAATGAGCTGAAGGGCACTAATTAGTGATGCACCTGGTACTAAGACTGCACTCTCTTGGTTCCTGATTTACTGCTCATTAGGTGAATAATTAATTCTCAATTTCTAAAATATAACTTTATTAGAAAATGTAATTCAAATTGTCCTATACTTTGGAAAGCTGAAACAGCTCATCGCAGGTACCCAGAAGTACACGAATGCTCCACATCGAGGACATTCCTTCAAAGTACACGTCACAGCTGCCTGTAATTGCATATGGCAATGTCAGATATTCATGTTAAGAAACACTAGGGAAAACCTTTCGAAGTATTTTTCAAATTTTACTGTTTTTTCTCTTGCTTCTCATTCAGGATGTAAGGAGGGGCTAATAAGAAAGCTGGCCTACTGCAGTCTCAATCTCTGTTTTCTTTTTTCACAGGAGCCACACGGATGGGTTGTGGATTTGGTCAATAAGGTATACAACTTTGTTGTTACGGCCATGTAGTGTATTTTCTGTTTTCTAAGGAAATTTCCCAGCACTTGATATTTTAAGTCAATGGTAGTTACAGAGAATAGTCAGATTTTTTTTTTCCTTGCAAAAGGGCACTAACAGTGGCCAGTTTTCCCCTGGAACCTAAATTTTTGTTGTTCCTTCCTTTTTTGTGTGAACAGTTTATTAGTGGAGATGATCATCGGCATTTGGAGTTAGCCCATGTCCTGCAGTATACCACAGGAGTGCTAGAATGATCTTTGTGGTTATTGTCTCCAGACTGATATTGTGGAACAAAGTGATAAAGTTAGGAGGGTAGCCCTCGATCTTGCTTACATAATTAAAATGCAGCATTTTAAAATCGATCTGTGCCTTTTTCTTCTCAGTTTGGGGAATTAGGAGGATTTGCAGCAATCCAAGCCAAGCTCCATTCAGAAGACATAGAACTTGGGGTAAGTTAAATCACGCACATGCCCAGCGTGGAAGCACACTTTCATTGGGTTGGTACACAACCAAGGCACTTGGGCTGCACACATTAAGCTTACTGTTAAATTAATCTTACAGGAGCAGACTCTATGGCTCTGTAGCCAAGGAAAAGTTTACTGCTAATCATAACCAAATTTGCATGTAGGATATTTGGGGTTTTGAGCCCTCTATTTTCCCTTTGCCCATGATAATTCTCCCTTAATCTATGGTGGTTCCATGAAGTGATCTTACTATTAAATACATACTTGGGGCGTAGTGGGTAAAGCCACTGCTTGTGAAGTTGGCATGCCATATGGGCACTAGTTCGAGTCCTGGCTGCTTCACTCCAATCCAGCTCCCTGCTAACGGCCTGGAAAAAACAACGGAAAATGCCAAGTATCTGGGCCCCTGCCACCCATGTGGGAGGCCCAGATGAAGCTCCTGGCTTCCAGCTCCAGCCTGGCCCAGCCCCAGCTGTTGTAGTCATCTGAGGAATGAACCAGAAGATGGAAGGTCAATCTGTCTCTCTCTCTCCCTCCCTCCCTCTCCTTCTCTCCATGTAGCTTTGTCTTTCAAATAAAATAAATCTTTAAAAAAAGGATATTATGTGTGGCAGGTATATGATACATAATAAATTTATTGATTCAGTTCAGAATTTATTTCAGGGCCCAGTGCTGAGCCAGGCTGGAGCCAGGAACTCCATCTGGGTCTCCCACATGGGTTCCAAATACTTGGGCCATCCTCCACTTCTTTTTCCAGGCACAGTAAGAGGGAGCTGGGTCAGAAGTAGAACTGGGGCCGGCCCAGTGGCGCAGTGGGTTAAAGCCCTGGCCTAAAATGCCGGCATCCCATATGGGCGCTGGTTTGTATCCTGGCTGCGCCTCTTCTGATCCAGCCCTCTGGTATGGCCTGGGAAAGCAGTAGAAGATGGCCCAAGTCCTTGGACCCCTGCACCCGCATGGGAGACTCAGAAGAAGCTCCTGACTCCTGGCTTCAGATCAGCTCAGCTCCGGCCATTGCGGCCGTCTGGGGAGTAAACCAGTGAATAGAAGACCTCTCTCTCTGTCTGTCTCTACCTCTCTCTGTGACTCTGTCTTTCAAATAAATAAAATAAATCTTTAAAAAAAAAAAAAAAAGGTAGAACTGCAGGACTCAAGCCAGCTCTCTGATATGGTGTGGGATGCTGAAGAAGTTGCAAGCCATAGCTTAACCATCATGCAACAGTGCCAGCCTCTAATTTCTTTCTTTTTTTTTTTCTTTTTTTTTAGCACTAGAACACTTGTTAATTCCCTACAGAGTCAGCATTTGCCACATAAAGAAAGGAGAGAGGGAAGGAAGGAGAGAAAGAAAGAAAAGGCAACTGTGTTGTTCTGCACTTTGATGTGGAATTATATTGTTTAGGCTGAATTGAGAAGGAAATTCCAAAGGTTGAGACTAATCATTTTCTTAGATGTTTGTTTATTTATGTATTCATTTATTTATTTTCATCTATTTGAGAGGCAGAGCAACACATGCAGATATCTTCCATCTGCTAATTCACTCCCAGATGTCCATAACAGCCAGGGCTGGGCTAAGCCTGGAACTCTGTCCAGATCTTCCATGTGATTGTCAAGTATTTGAGCCATCACCTGATGTCTCTCAGGTGTGCACATTAGCAGGGAGCTGGATCAGAAGCAGGGTAGCTGGAACCAGCACTTTGATATGGGATGTGAACATCCCAAGCAGTGCCGTAACCTGCTGCAACTACAACACCCAACCCGAGACTCTAATCTTAGCAAGCAGGTATAATTAAAATTTTATGAGTGCCTGATTTCTGACCAGTTAAGAAGGAGGCTGTGTCCCAGAATAAATTTAGGCCATTTAATAAGACTAAGTGCGAGTCACGTGTTTTTGAATTTGAAAAATACTAGAGGGAAGTCCCACTTCACAGTCCTACCAGTTGAAAGTATCTGTACGAAGTAAGAAATGGAAGTTGCCTGTCCTTCTGCCACCCCCTCACGCATGTGTGGCTTCTCAGTAATGGTTACCCACTGAGCATGTGGCCTTTCTGAGGACTTTCTAAATCATTTGCCTAAGTCTCTGTGTGTTTTCCCCCTCACCTATCTACCTCTCCGCCCCCCCATACTGAATCATACTCAAACCTATACCTCGTGGTGTATTTTGTTAACATTATACCATAGACGCCTCTTTCACATTAGTGCTCTCAAATATTTTTTAATGCCTCCAACATGTTTCATTCCCTCCACACTCTTCCTCTTCCCTTCCCTTCCCTTTATTTGAAAGGCAGGAAATAGGGAGGGAGAGACCGAAAGAGATCTTCTATCCACTGGTTCACTCCCCAGATGGCCACAACAGCTGTGGCCTGGCCAGGCGGAAACCAGGAGCCTGGAGTTCTATCCAGGTCTCCCACCTGGGTAGCAGGGGCCGTTACTTGAACCATCATCAGCTAGTTTCCCATGCAAATTAGTAGGGAGCTGGATCAGCAGCAGAGCAGCTGGAACTTGAACTGGCACTCCTATGTGAGATGCCAGCATCACAGGTAGTGGCCTAATCTGCTGTGCCACATGGTCGGCCCCCCAGCATATTTCTGTAAGGGGCATACCATGAGCGGTTATTATTAATGGGCATTGGGTTAATTGTAAGTTTTTCCTGCTACAAGAACTTAGTGTTCCTTAACTGTGTTATAAAGACTATATTTAAAAATTATAATTCACAGTGCTCTTATCTTTTTCCAAAAAGCTTGTACCAGTCTGTGTTCCCAAATTGTTATAAATATCTTCAATCTTTAATTTTTCCAGGGTGATGGACTAAGCAGTGGTATCATTTAATGTGTGATTTTTTTTTTAAAGATTTATTTATGATTTGAAAGTCAGAGTTACAGAGAGGCAGAGAGAAAGAGAGGTCTTCGATCTGCTGGTTCACTCCTCAGATGACCACAATGGCTGGAGTTGCACCAATCTGAAGCCAGGAGCCAGGAGCTTCTTCCTGGTTTCCCATGTGGGTGCGGGGGTCCAAGGACTTGGGCTATCTTCTACTGCTTTCCCAGGCCATAGCAGAGAGCTGGATTGGAAGTGGAGCAGCCAGAACTCGAACCAGCGCCCATATGGGATGCCAGTCAACATGCTGCTACACCACAGCACTGGCCCCCTGTGTAATATTTTGATTTCAGTCAACTTGAACATTTTGCCATGATTCTTGCTGTTTACATTTCTCCTGTGAACTGGCTAGTTATTTAGATCTCTTTTGGGTTATTGGTTAATTTTTAGTATGATTAATTTTATATTCTTATGAATATACCTACTTTGTGTGTTTGTAAATTTTTTCAAGCATTTTGCTTATCTCCATTTTTATCTATAGCATCTTTTGCATAGAGAAGTTTCAAAATTTTATGTAGTCACGTTTTTCCTTTATGCCTTGAAAAGTTTTTTTTAAGATTTATTTATTTATTTGAAAGGCCGAGTTACAGAGAGAGAGATCTTCCAATCCACTGGTTTACTCCCCAGATGGCCACAGTGGCCAGGGCTGAGCCAGGGAATGCCTCTGGATCTCCCATGTGGTTGGCAGGGACCCAAAGACTTGGGCCATCTTCAGCTGCTTTTCGCAGGCCATTAGCAGAGAGCTAGATGGGAAGTGGAGCACTCAGGACTCAAACCTGTGCTCACAGGGGAAACTTTGCAGGTGGAATGGCTTTACCCACTATACTACAATGCCCGACCCCTTTAAAAAGTTTTTTAAACTTGCTTTTTAAGTTGCTTAGAAAATATTTTCCCACCTGAAGAGTATTGCACTGTAGTTAGGTAGGTAGATAGGTAGGTATGTAGATAATTACTGTGATAGTTTATTTTTTAAACTTAGCTGTTTCATTAATTTGGGACTTGCTTTTATATATTGTGGAAGGCAGGAATCCACTTCTATTGTCTTCCAAATGGGTAACCAGTTAGGTATCTGAATAGGTAATCTCTGTTGAAGAACCCCCTTGTCCGTACTATTTGTGTTTGCTGGCTTTACCATGGATCAGAGTCCCATTGTGTATGTGGATGCACTCTGGACTTCTATTCCTGCTGCTCATCCATTTATTCTTTGGTCCATTTCTATACTATGGTAGTGCCAGTAATGCCTAGTGTCATTCTTTCAAAAATATATGATCTCGTGATTTGCTTTCGGAAATAGCACATGTCAGATCTCTCGAGATCATGTTGATGTGATCAATTATAGGTCCTCTGAGCAGAATACATTTACACGGTGGGCTTTTCATTTGGGAAATAGTGTCTCCCCACTTATGGGGACATTCATTTATATATTTCAGGAAAGTTTTTGGATTTTCATCAAACAGCCCTTTGTTTTTGATAAAGACATGTTTTACTGTCACCCCAGCTTTCTTTCCTTTTCAAAAAATTATCTTTGTATGAACCTTTAGAATGATTTCATCCAGTCCTCCAAAGTTTTATTGACATTTTCTGATTTACATTGTATTCAATTTTTTTTTTTTTTTTTTTTTTTTTGACAGGCAGAGTGGACAGTGAGAGAGATAGAGACAGAGAGAAAGGTCTTCCTTTTGCCGTTGGTTCACCCTCCAGTGGTCGCCGCGGCCGGTGCATTGCGCTGATCCGAAGCCAGGAGCCAGGTGCTTCTCCTGGTCTCCCATGCGGGTGCAGAGCCCAAGGACTTGGGCCACCCTCCACTGCACTCCTGAGCCACAGCAGAGAGCTGGCCTGAAAGAGGGGCAACCGGGACAGAATCCGGCGCCCCAACTGGGACTAGAACCTGGTGTGCTGGCACCGCAGGTGGAGGATTAGCCGATTGAGCCGCGGCGCCGGCCTTACATTGTATTAAATTTCTGTAATAATTCAGATTGACATCTTCCTGTGACTTCCTCTATTCCAGAGTTAGTCTTTTTTTTTTTTAAAAAAAAAAAGATTTATTTTATTTATTTGAAAGACAGAGTTACATAGGGAGAAAGAGATGTTCCATCCACTGGTTCACTCCCCAAGTGGCTGCAGCAGCTAGGACTGGGCTAGACTGAAACCAGGAGCCAGGAGCTTCTTCTGGATCTCCAACGTGGGAGGCAGGGTCCCAAGCACTTGAGCCATCTTCCATTGCTTTTCTCAGGCCATTAGCAGGGAGCTGGATCAGAAGTGGAGCCACTGGGACACAAACCAGTGGCCAGGTGGAATGCTGGTGTCACAGGTGGCAGCTTTATTGGCTGTGCCACAGTGCTGGCCTCTAGTCATTGATTCTTGACTTGATCAAATCACTCTGACTCTTTCTGGTATGTGAAAAAAAACTTGTTTAATTTTGAAAGGAGAAGGCCCTCTCCCATTGATTTCTAACCTGCAGTGTCTTTTTCCAGGCCGTCTCAGCCCTGGTGCAGCCCTTAGGAGTGTGCGCAGAGTACCTGAATCCCTCTGTGGTGCAGGTAGGATTGGCCATTGCACAGTTCTTTAGACACTGATCCGAGACATGCGGACTCTAAAGGGTTTCTTCCTGTCAGGTTGTTCACAATTGTCCATAATTCAGAGTAACAACTTTTTTTCAGAATAGCTGTCCATTTAGCAAGAAAGATTATCAGAAAATTAAAAAAAAGCACTAAATAATTTCAAGTATGAGTAGAGGAGATATCGTAACATTGGAGAAGGTTGTTACCTTTTCAACTTATCAAATATAATTCCAAGTTGGTTCTGATTTCCTGTCTGTACAGTAAGTAGCAGCTATCACGGGATGTTGAAGGGTTCAGTTCCGTTTTGTATTAAATTAGATCAGGGCTGAGCAGTCTGGGAGGCTCACTCAGTCGCTGAGTCGCCCACTTCTGAGTAACACTTAGCAGCACATCCTGTCTGACTGCTGCCCCACAGAATTCTAAGTTAGAAAGCCATAGAACAGTCCAAGGTAAGAGCATTCCATTGTCTAAGCTAAAGGGATTTTATGTTTCCTTGTTTCCATTTTAGTTAATAGGTTTTGCTGAACAAAATGTCATATTGAAATACCTCCATTTATTGTCTTTATAAATAAGTCTGAAACCTGTAACGTTGGCAGAGATATTTTTAAAATACCACAAATGGTTTGGGAAATGTGGTGTCCTTTAAGAGTAGAGTTTTGGATGCACTATTCCTTCTCCATTCTGGAGAGTATGTTGTGTGCGTCATCCGTAGGCCTCACTCACACCAGCCAGCCAGAACAGCTCAGAAGATCGCATATTTTGCAGAGTTCATACTTACATTCACTTTTTAAAAATCAAATGCAAAATATTTTCTGTGTTATAAAACTAATACTCATGCTTAATGTTGTAAAAGTCCATGTGTCTTAAGTTGCTCTTCAAAATTACTCTCCTAAGGTAGAAAATGATAGGGACTATGCTCATATTAGTGTAAAAAAAGCTGAGGTACAGAATGAGTTAAAGGTGTACTTGGTATGGTGTTAGCTGGTTAATGGTGGCTCTGAGACTGAATGTACATCTTAGCACACTCTCCTCTGTGAATTGTAAAAGAAGAAATGTCTCCTATGTGCTCTGGGGCACACTCTTTCCGCAGCCCATGCTAGACCCAGTCATTCTAACCACGATCCAGGATGTGCGGAGTGTGGAGGAGAAGGACCTCAAGGACAAGGTAAATGCTGTGTCCAGCCCAGTGAGCTGGTGCAGGGAGCGCTCAGGAACAGAGCCAGGGTGTGGCAGGGCTCTTTGGCGTTGGGTTACATACAATCACATCTAATGCACTTGACATTTCCTAACCACAAAATGCCGTTTCTGGAGCGCCAGTGGCTGGTGCTACCTCAGTCCCTAGAATGAATGCAGTGATCGATTCTCAGTGATCGAGACCATTCAGAGTTTCACTCACGTGATTCTGATGGTGTTAAAATCGTTGTGGAATAGAAGGAGCTTTAAAATATTGTGATATTAGAAGTTTATCCAAATTGTTGAAAGCAATTTGGACATTAAAATTTAATGTCCTTGAATTTCTCACGGGACCCTTCCCTTTCCCTTGCTACTTACCTAGGAACTAAATGTTGTTTAGAAACAAAGTGTAGTCAGTTGGGCCACTTAGGGATCAGATACCACCACCCCGTTGTCATCCTGTTTTCTGTGTGTTTTATAAAAATTGAGATCAAAAATATTTTTACAGTTTGTCTTTTGTTTTGTTTTTATTAAATAAAAGAGATTGGTTAGCATCCCTGAGCTCTTGTCTGCCATTAAGTTACTCTGCATGCGCTTCCAACCGGACCTGGTGACGGCCGTGGATGAGCTGCGGCTGGACATCCTGCTGCGCATGCTGAAGTCGCCACACTTCAGTGCTAAGATGAATTCCCTCAAGGAGGTAAGTTCTGCATCAGGCTCTGGGAGACCTGGACACTCCAAGTTCTGCTCAGACTCGTGCTTATGAAAATGTTGGGAAATAATTTCTTTTAATGATAAAATGAGAGTGATTATGTATGAAATGTTGTTTATAATTGTATGTTAGTAGAACCATCTTATATGTATTCCTTTTCAAATTTCATTTGCTGAAATATTTTAACTACTTAGCATTTTTGTGAAATTTCATAGAATGTTATCCTTCAAAATTTGAGATTTACATTTTACCCTAAGGGTACAGTTTATTATTTATTTATTTCAGATAAATTTATTTATTTCAGATAAATAAATAAGTGGGTTTATTTAAACCAAATCTTCTAAGTGGGATTAGGACAAAGACAAAATGACTCAGCTGCGTTGATCTAAGCAAAATGGCAGAAATGATTGTAGCGCCCTAAAGTTTTATCAAACCCATGCAAGCATCGCAATTGGTTTTGGTGAAAGAAAAGTGAAGCCAGTGTAGTTCAGACATAATTATGGTTATTTTTCCTTAAGTTTTGTATTAGTTAGGAATTGGCTATTGCCCAGGAGTGAAGGATCAAATAGCCAGATCATGAAAGGACAGGGAGTCTGATGTGCAACTGGAGCAACGAGAACCTGAGACTTGACTGTGGGCAGACCTCTGCGCGAGTCTTGTCCCCGCTTCTCCAAGCACATTGGCCTCATTCCCTCTCTGTCTGCAGTGTGGCATCTTCTTTCCAGTAGAGTTTGTGGCCATGGATAGCTCTCAAGTTTCTCATCTTGTAGTTCCGTTATTAGTGAAGGACTGACACTTTTCTTTGTGGTCCCGAGTATGAAATGTGGAGGAAGTATGGGGCAGGTCTTAGCCTAGCAGTTAAGGTACCTGCATCCCGCATCTGAGTGCTGGGTTCAATTCCCTGCTCTGCCTCCTGACTCCAGCTTCCCATCAGTACAGAACTTGGAGGCAGTGGTGATGGCTCAGTGATTGGGTTTCTGCCTCCTACGAGGGAGACTGGGATTTCATTCCCCGCTCCTAGCTGCAGCCCCAGCCCAGCCCTGGCCTTTGCAGGTGTCTTTGGGCGGTGAACCAATGGATGAGGAACCTTTCTCTTGCTCATGTTCTCTCCCTCTCCCTCACCCTTCCCCCCTACCCCCACCCCCATACCCCCTCTCTGTCTTCATCTCTGTTTCTGTCTCTCAAACTAAAGTTTTTTGGAAGGAAATTCCCTGAGTGGAGTTTGGGTCTGGGTTAGCTGCTGTCCCTGAGCCCATGGCCAGTGCTCCAGGGAGTGTGAGCTGTAATACCCACACCCTGTTCTTGTTAAAGAGACATCACAAGTAGTAGTCTGTTAACTGTTAATAACTGGCCTTCAGTACGTTTTGACTAATCATCAGACCACATTGTAAACACTAAAAATAACAGGCTGTATATGTAGATTTTAATTATGTATATTATGTTCAGTGATAATAATCCTGTCTTTTTAGGTAACCAAACTAATAGAAGATAGTACTTTATCCAAATCTGTGAAGAATGCTATAGATACAGACAGATTATTAGATTGGCTCGTTGAAAACTCAGTTCTGTCAATTGCACTGGAAGGTAGGTTGCTTTCAAAACTTGAAAATTACTTCACACATGATTTAAATAACACTTTTATGTAAAAAAAAAAAAAAGGTACAAAACTGTTGCTTTGACTGTAGTAGTAACCATGTAGCACATCTCTGTTACCTTAGCTTACTAGGATTGTGTTTAGGGGTCAGTGCTCACTGCCTCTGGCGGCTTCTCTGCTTGCTTCCACCAGGCAACATAGACCAAGCCCAATACTGTGATCGTATAAAGGGAATCATTGAACTCTTGGGCAGCAAATTGTCTTTAGATGAACTCACTAAAATTTGGAAGATACAGGTAAGTTGATCAGAATTATCTTTGCCTTTTCCTGACATTTTTGGACTACAGGAAAGGAAGGAAGATGCTGAGTAAGCACAGAAATGCAACATCTGTCTTGCTTTAACCATGTAGCTAAGCCTAATCCAGTTTACAATTTTTGGTTTTTATCAAGATTGCATATATAAAAAGGATTCCAGTACTCACCAGAAGTTTCTAACTGCTGAGATAGTCTAGTCTTCCAATTTCCTAGATTAAAATACAGCACGTCTTCCCAAAGATTATTCAGCAGTAAGTGGCAGAGCTAAGAGGAATGTTAGTCCAGTGTTGTTCTTGTTACGTGATTTGTTCCTGTCTTCCATTCTGTCTCCCACTGAGGATGGTGGTGCCGCCTCCCACGCCTGCAGGCCTCTCTCCCGCCGGCCCTCTGAGCAGGTGTGGCAGGACGCAGCCCTCCCTTCTGTTGCTTTTCCCTTCTCTTTGGTCACAGCCCACTCGATTGGTTTTTGTCTTTCTTTTCTGACATTCCTTCTTAAGTTGCCTTTATTAACTTAGTCTCTTCGACTTTGCTTTTATATACTAGTGTTTTTTCCAGTTGTCGTCCTTAGTCCCTTTCTTGTTCTAAAAGCTTCTATTGTAGTCAGTTTCATCCACTTCTGTGACTGACTATAATTGTGTTCTGCTGACTCTCTATATTTTATCTCTTAATACAGACCTCTTCTCGGAGCCCCAGTGCAAAATAACTAAAAATTTCTTTCTTCCTTCCTCCCTTCCTTCCTTCCTTTGTCCCTTCCTTCCTTCCTTCCTTCTTTTCTGAGACTTACTTATTTGAGAGTCAGAACTACAGAGAGATACAGAGATGCTCTGTCCAGTGGTTCACTCACCAGATGGCCTCAATGGCCAGCACTGGGCCAGGCTGGAGCCAGGAGCTTCCTCCTAGTCTCCCACGTGGGTGGCAGAGGCCCAAACATTTAGGCCATCTTTCTCTGCTTTTCCCAGGCCATCAGTCAGGAGATGGATCAGAAGTAGAACAGCCGGGACACAAGTTGGCACCCATATGGGATGCCAGTGTCACAGGAGGCAGCTCTACCCACTACTCCACAACACTGACCCCAAAGAATTTCACTAGAACACCTTTACGTGTGGATCTTGTTGGCATCTCAAATTCATTAGGTCCAGACCTAGTGCCCAATTCTGTTTCTGTATGGTGGTGTCCTTCATCTAGGTACTACTCCAGATAAAAGGCTGGAGCTCACCTGGAGTTAGTCACTTAATCAGAGGCTGTTCAGGAAACGATACCATGCTCGGTATTTACAATGGGGAATGGACTGTAGGTGATTATTTATAAAGGTGTTGCTGAGATTTAAGAGCCAAAACAGAGAAGAGGAACAAAAAGGAAGCAGGGGTGTAAAGTCCAAGCAAAGGAAACTGCTTTTGAAAGTGCTTTCACTGTGTGTGCTGGGACAGAGACGTGCTTCCGAAATCCTTCGCTACTTCAGCCAGCACAGACATCCACCTTCTACACTAAACCAGAAACACTTCTTACTTCCTCCTGCCTTCTTGTCTCCCAGCACTGCATCTCATTGGCAGAATGTAGTAGTAAGATGGCAGGCAGAGGAGTTTGGGAAATGTAATTGCAGACTCTCAGCCCAGCATTACAGAGCAGAGGAGGGGAAGTTAGGTGCAGGAGTGAAAGAAAACAGCCCTGGGTCCCATAGATTTTGCCTCTCATGCCTTGGCCTTGGTGGACTTCCCTTGTGTAATTTTACTTGTGAGTATGAGTTTGGAATCCATGTAAGGTTGAACATTGAAAGACTATGATGCATATTGATTGCACAAGGATACTTAAAAAGTTGGTGGAAGAATGGTATTAAAAGGTGTTAATTTTGGTGCAGAATATTTTAGATCTCTGTTTCCATGAACTTTTCAAAGACTCTGCATATACCTGCAGCATTCAGCCAGCAGCTCTATGTGCACAATAGAGACTAAGAAAATTCTTAAGGAACTGAATCCAAAAATGCCCCCCTGGCTTTGAGGTTGCTCATATTAGGACCAGTGAGGCATGACAGTGCCATGATTGAAGTTATAAAGTGATTTTCAGCCATAAAGTTGACAGTAGTCTGCAGCTCTGAAACAGGCTTTCTGCCCGTGGGATGATAAATATTAATTGAAGTCACAAAATATGAGTAAAATTAAAAATGAGGCAGGTAATACTCTGAGGCCTTTGAGTTCATTTATAAGATTTCAGTCGGTCTGAATTTTTTAGCAAGTTGAAAATATTTTGTTCTCTTCTTGAAGTGAATACATCAGATTAAGAGCTTGATTTTCATTTTTTTTTTTTTTACAATGCCCTTTTAAAGATTTAATGCCAGCAAGAGTTTAAATAAAGTCCGCCGATAACCGTTAATGATGGCTCCAGGTAGTCTTGCCAGTGTTACTGTACAAGTAATGCTGATTAGACTGGAGTCGATTTATCTTTGTTATATCTTTGCTTTTGCTTCTATAAATTGACAGGGAGAAGACTTAGTTTTGCTAAGTCCCAAGACTTAACCTTTTTCCCCTGTCTGCTTTTGTAGTCTGGACAATCGTCTACCGTAATTGAGAACATTCATACAATCATTGCTGCGGCAGCTGTGAAGTTTAATTCCGATCAGCTTAATCATTTATTTGTTCTTATTCAAAAGGTATGCATTCAACTTTGTTTACTTTTTTTTTTTTTTTTAAGATTTATTTATTACTTATTTGAAAGGCAGAGTTAGGCCGGCGCTGCGGCTCACTAGGCTAATCCTCTGCCTTGCGGCGCTGGCACACCAGCTTCTAGTCCCGGTCGGGGCGCCGGATTCTGTCCCGGTTGCCCCTCTTCCAGGCCAGGCCAGCTCTCTGCTGTGGCCAGGGAGTGCAGTGGAGGATGGCCCAAGTGCTTGGGCCCTGCACCCCATGGGAGACCAGGATAAGTACCTGGCTCCTGCCATTGGATCAGCGCGGTGCACCGGCCGCGGCGGCCATTGGAGGGTGAACCAACGGCACAAGGAAGACCTTTCTCTCTGTCTCTCTCTCTCACTGTCCACTCTGTCCAAAAAAAAAAAAGGCAGAGTTATGGAGAGGCAGAGGCAGAGAGAAAGGGAGAGGGAGAGAGAGGTCTTCCATCTGCTGGTTTATCCCCTAAATGGCTGCAACAGCTGGAGCTGGCAGCTTCTTCCAGGCTTCCCTCATGGGTGCAGGGGCCCAAGCACTTGGGCCGTCTTCTGCTACTTTCCCAGGCCATAGCAGAGGCTGGATTGGAAGTGCCCATATGGGATACCGGCACTGCAGGCAGTGGCTTTACCCACTACACCACAGCGCTGGCCCCCAAACTTGCCTGTTTTAAAATTTCCCTAGACGAAGATCTCTTGAAATCCCCACCTCTGAAGTAGCATTATTTAAATGTAGTTATCTTGATGAAGATTTTGTAGCTCGAGTTGAAAGTTTGTACTTATTTTGCCAATTTGATTGTGAAGCAATTCCTGTGTCCTGTCTTTTCCGTCCTGCAGAGCTGGGAGACAGAGAGCGACAGGGTAAGGCAGAAGCTGTTGAGCCTGATTGGACGAATAGGCCGGGAAGCTCGCTTTGAGACCACTTCTGGAAAGGCAGGAGCATCAAATGGATTTTTCTAGCTACAGATGTTTAAAGCGGTTTAATTTGCATTTAGGCTGGCTCATCACATGTGGTATTATTGTAGGTGTTAGATGTGCTCTGGGAACTGGCTCATCTTCCCACCCTGCCCAGTAGCCTTATTCAGCAAGCCCTGGAGGAGCACCTGACAATCCTGAGCGATGCATACGCAGTCAAAGAAGCAATCAAGCGGAGCTACATCATTAAGTGCATAGAAGATATTAAACGGGTTGGTTTTATCTTTGGTCTGATTTTGTTGTCAGAGAAATAGTATTTCCTAGTGATTAGAACCAAGCAATTTTCCCACCTTTAAAGTAAGTTACACTAAGGTGTCCCAACTGGGAGCTGTGACCGTAGAGTCTAAGATGGGTGAAGTGTAGGTGTTGCTGTTACCATGCCACTTACGTTTCTCTCACAATGAATTTTCAGCCTGGAGAATGGTCAGGTTTGGAAAAAAACAAGAAGGATGGATTCAAGGTAAGAATTTGCAGATGGAACCAACTAAAAGGTATACCCATTCAGTAATTCTTTTTAGTAAACTGTATCACAGTTCTAAAATAGTAGCGTGTGTTTTAGTGTTCCTTAAAGTGGTGTTCATGTACCAACTTGGTGTGTAAATATTCACAACAATGCATATTATTTAAAGCTTGGATAGTTACTGACTCTGAAAAGGAAAAAAAATCCAGGGTCACATTCAAAATGGATCCTCATTATGTAATTTCCCTACATTTTCAACTTAGTTTTTCTTTTTAGGAATCAAACTTAAAGTATACACAGCTTGAGTAAGTTCAGTGGATTCTAAATAATTATCATGCCATTGTTCTGTGCTGGGGAGAAATGGAGGAACATCCATAGGGCGAGAGAGAAGGAGGGGAGAAGGAGATTCGGTGTTGGTGCTCGGTAGTTTTTCAGGGGCTCGGTTCAGATGAGTGCCTAACATGGTTCCTTGGGCAGACTGTCACCAAGTCAGTGTCAGTGCTGGCGTCTGGGCTGTGACCTGAGGAGGTGGGACTGGGAGGGCCTGGCTCTGTAGAAGCCTTGGCCTTCAGGGTTCCTGTGGACTCGGGAGCTCCTCGGGGTGGTGCTGGCAGATTCAGCAGGCATGACTGTAGCTCTGCTGTTGCTGCAGGACTTTGGGGAGGATCGCAATGCGCAGCCCAGTGGAACGGGCTGCCGTGGCTGCAGCAGCCATTGCCATGGGGGCCTGCAGGGTAGCGCAGACCAAATGTATAGTCTAGTGTGGGAGGGACTTCATTTTACTATTGACACAGAAAAGTTTTCCGTGAAAACTTAGTAGTGGCTTAGTAATTTGATTGGCAAAACATATTCCTTGGCTTTAATTGGTAGGTATTTCTTTAAAGGATCTTGAATACTGTGAAGTGATTTTCATTTGTAAATTCAGAGACCCTGGCTCAATTAAGAGGCTTTGGTGGCTCAGTGGGCTTTTGTTCTCTTAAGTTGTGTTTGGCTGTGAGGTCCAGTTGGGGGCATTGAAGAACTCTGCCTTTCGTGTTTCTGACGCTGGAGTTTGGTGAAGGGAATTTGCTGCAAACGCTCTAGTTTTCGGGCTTGTAAAAGGCATTCACAGACTGGAGCTGGTAATGCCCAGGCTATGAGGAACTTGTCCCTCAGTTCACCAGCACTGCTGTCTTCCTACCTGGATGCAGTTTGAATTTTTCCAGTTTTCTCAGCTCAGTGACTCAGTTAAGTGGCAACCTCTGTCCTTATGAGTGAAATTCACCCTAAGTTATCAGCGAAGTTTCACTCCTTCAGTGGTAAAGAAAGAAGAAAAGGGTATCTCTAGGAGAATGGTCTTTTCTTCACAGCAACACGTACATTGCCATTTAGATTGAAAAGGTCAAAGCGAAAGAGAAAAGTCAAACTGGCTTCTGAAAGCAGAAGTTTCCTCCTGACCATTGTTCTTCCTTATAGTCAGTTTCGTCACTGCGTCTCTGTTGCTTCTCTTCGTAGTCACTTCATTCACATCTGTTGTTTTATAACACAACTCAGAAAGTAACAGGAGAACCTTTGGAGTCATTTGGTGAGACTTGAAAGGAATATTCTTCCCCACTGCTCCCAGTAAGGAAATTCTGGTGTACCATTATTTCACTCTACACGATGCCTTGCTCTGTTATGCGGCACTGTCAGCTTACGGAGTGCTTTGGATACTCTCTGGAAGTACACGTTGCTGAAGGGGGGCAGTGGGAAGATGAAAGCCCCCTGGACGTGGCTCCAGGCAGGGCCGACTTACTCACTGCCACTAAAGGTGTTTTTCTATGCTATGCCCTTTCCTGCCAGGCAGCAAGGTGGGCTGACTGGGGATTATGTCTCCCTGCCAGGCTACACAGAAACTAAGCAAAGGGTAAGACAAGATCACCCACTCTTACTCCCCTCCCACCCTCAGCTGCCTCTCTTCCCCCAGCTGACCTCCCTCCCCTGCTTTGACACTCTTACAGTTCCCAAGCTCCACTGTTGTGTTCAGAGACTCTGACTTGATTTCTTACCTTTATTTCTGTAGATTTGCCAGGGTACCCTTAGTTCCCTTGGGTCCTGTTTCCTTTGCTTCCTTTATATCTCCTGCTGTCCACCCCAGCCCTTTCCCTCGTATTTCACGGTTTTTCCCCTCAGTTAAAAAGTTTAAATGTCCTCACTCTGCCCCCCCAGAAAAATACTAAACCAAACCAAACCAAACCAAAAAATAAAAAAATAAAAATCACTGCTACTCAATTAATAGTGTGTTTGCACAGTCCTTAAAGTATTGTTTTCAGGCCTCCTAGCATAGTGCTTGGCAGGCTTTCAGTAAATGTTGCCTCCCTTCCTCTTACTTCCTGCCCTTCGCCCTGTTGAACACTAAAAGCCTCATATATGTGGAATATCCCTTGTTTGAAATGCTTGGAACCAGAAGTGTTTTAGATTTTGGAGATTTTTGGATTTTGGAATATATACATCGATTTTTCTGGCTGAGCACCCCAGTCCAAAAATCTGAAATGCAAAGTACTCTAAAATCTGAAACCTTTTGAGCATCATGTTGACAGTCAAGAAGTTTCATATTTTGGAACATTTCAGATATTGGATTTTCAGATTAGGGGAGTTTGACCCATATATACAGTTGTACCTGCCAAAATGTGTAACAGAAAGTAAAAAGTAGCAAGATCTCTTCAGCATGAATGTCTTACAGTGATGTGGTTAGCACTAGGAGGAACACTTTAAAATTATTTCCTACACACAACATTTTTTTGCTTTGGTTCTTGAAAAACAAGGCAGATGAGGAAATAGAGATGTTCAGCTTGAGAAAACTCAAAAATTAAGAATGTGAAAGCTTTCTTCAGATACTTAGGAACTGTTATACCGAAGTTTGAGTCCGTTTTTTACCTCTCCTAAGAAGTTATGCAGAGACATATTTCAGTATGAGAAAGCAGTGAACTTTCCAGAACAGTCTGAAAACAGGATGCACTGCCCCCAAGGCGGCGAGTTCCTTGTCACCAAGGACACCAAGAGACTTACGAAGTCACTTAGTAGCAGATGAGTAAGGAGAAATGAGTAGAGGTTTGCTAGCTAAGCCGTGGACCTCCAGGGTTTCATCTAACAACAGAATGATTGGGCATCTTGTTAACCCTGCTTAGGAAACCTCAACTCCATGACATCATCAAGTATGTTCCTTTTAATTGTTCATCAGTCTTTGCCCTTTTTGTGATTGGAAAATTTAATTTAAAATTCTCTTTTAACTTGGCAACTTAATGTAATAAGTAAAATAGGATAAATAGTATCTTAACCTGTTTGCTAAGCATTAGAAAGACTATATCAGAAATAATCCTTAAATTCCAATTTTATATGCTTTTAATTTTATTGTATAGTGAGTTACCTTCAAAGGACAATTTTAGTGTTAAATAAAACACTCTAACCATACTTGACTTAATTGGTCATAAGGATGGTTTTTAATATATCTGCTTATTGCTAAAGGGTTCATATTAATATCCTAAGTCTTTGTAATCCTTTTGGAAGATACCAGTTTTAATCATTGTCATTTTGAAACTTTTATATTTTGCCAGAAATATTCTGTGTAGTCTCACACGTAGTTGACCTTTGGTATATACCTTATTTCTGTGATTCTCAGATGCCATGATTGCACCCTGCATCACAGATTTAACAGGTTTGCAGAGAACACTGTACATTTACTTTACCAACCCTGTGTTTAGATTCACAGTCAAGAGGTGGAGTGTGCACCCCCTTTCGGCTGAGTTAGATGCAGCTTCCCTGTGGCACCCTGTTCTTCATGATCCGTGGCAGTGCTTAGGGCCTCTCGCTAATGTTCACGGTGGCCTGTATAATTTTGAGACATGTTGCAGACTATGGGGTTTTGTGTAAAACTGAGGCTACTCTTTCCTTAACCAAGTAGAGTAACTATAGTTGAGGTGCAGCCTAGTGCAGAGAGACCTTAATTGCTGAGTGATGCAGCCCTTCACAGGGCATGAGTCTCACACGGCTTCTCCCGACTTAAAAATGCCCTAGTCTGAAACCATTGACAACTTCACTTTTAATTGCTTTGATGGACATGATAGGCTAGTGATTACTGCATTAAGTATGATCTTTTGGATAATATTTAACAAATTAGTGATCCAAATTTAAGTTGAAAAAAATCTCTGTTTGGTGTAATAACTAACATGACAGGTAGATGAGCAGATCCCCTTTGTAGAAGGCTAAGTCTTTACATGCTTTTCTAAGGACAGCTGTATCGAAACTTAACCTCTGCCTAGTGGCTGATATGTTTCTTTGACATAATTGTAAAAAGAGTCAGTTTCAGAAACATTAAAAAAATCATAAAACCTGTATCTTGGAATCCGGAAATACAGCATTTGCTGATTGATTGACAAGGAAACAGTATTGTTTTGGCAGTAGCTTACGTATTCAGTAGTAAGAAATTTTATGGTAAAAGACATCAGAAGTCTTTTTTTCCTCCCCACAGGGATCTTTGTCCTATGCAGACTCACTAAGACAAAAACTTCAAACAAAAACCTTAAACAAAAACCTCAGCCTTTAAAAAGGCTAAAGACTTAAGCTTTTATTCAGTTTTTTGGTCAGAGATTTAGTAATTGACCAATTAATATTTCTTAATCTGGCATTCTTACCAAATTTTATAATGAACTTCCGTAGTTCAAAAGATGCTAATTATTAAAAAGCAGTTTCCTTGTTAAGGAAGGAGTATTACATGAACCTGACTTTTCAGATTTGTACCATGAAGATCTGGATTGTCGTGTACCACTTTCAGAAATAATATGTTTGAAAGTGTTTTGAAAAATGTAAAGGATGGTATAAGTGTAAAGTGTCTGTAATAATGAATTAAAAATAGAGTTAACCTTTTATGAAATTGTTTTGACTAGGAAATACAAATATCATGAAAATAATCTTAATATTTACTGTCAGTATCTTGATCATATCATTGGTATCTTAATCTTATGAATATGGAAAGCTATATTCTACTTCCATTTTACTTACCAGTCAGATCAGTATGATCCAAGTTAAGCTTTTGCCGTGACTTTATTTTATTGTGTCAACATGTCTTAGCAGCCTGTGCTACTTAATCTGTCCTCTGAAGTTGCTAATTCCCTGTTGTCTGTTTTTTGGCTGATGTACCCCTGTACATTTACTGTCACTTCACATCCACTCCTGTTTGCAGTTCTTGGCCTTAGGAAATTGCATGCAGAATAAGAAGTTGAAGACTGAATTTTGAATGCATGGAGATAAGCTATAAATGAGCATTATGATGAAGAAAATAATAGAATGTGGACAATAAAATCTAATTGAAAATTTCTTATAGCTAATAAATGATTCTGCCGTTTATTTCTTAATATAATTAATTTAACTTCTTTTTAACTCTAGTCATCTCAGCTTAATAATCCCCAGTTTGTATGGGTGGTACCAGCTTTGCGTCAACTCCATGAAATCACCCGCTCATTCATAAAACAAACCTATCAAAAGCAAGACAAGGTGAGACAATAGCTGGTTAATAAATTCATGCAGTTACTTGTGTAACCTCTTTAAATAACAAAACATGGGTGAAGTTACTGAGTTTATAGTTGCTGTCTTTAATCTTTATGGTTATTAGTATAATTCATTTATATCATATCATAATCCTGAGTTTGAACATTCTGTTGTCATTTCTGTGAACTTTTTGTTATATCCCTAACCCAAATTCTTAAGCCAAATTTGTTAAAATAATTAGGCCAATTTTTGAAAGTTTGGATGATATTTTAGAGATTTGTTTGAAAAGATTCAAGAGAGTGGGCTGGCGCCGTGGCTCAATAGGCTAATCCTCCGCCTGTGGCGCCGGCACACCGGGTTCTAGTCCTGGTCGGGGCACCGGATTCTGTCCCGGTTGCCCCCCTTCCAGGCCAGCTCTCTGCTGTTTCCCGGGAGTGCAGTGGAGGATGGCCCAAGTGCATGGGCCCTGCACCCCATGGGAGACCAGGAGAAGCACCTGGCTCCTGGCTTCGGATCACCGCGGTGTGCCGGCCGCAGCGTGCCGGCCGCAGCGGCTGTTGGAGGGTGAACCGACGGCAAAGGAAGACCTTTCTCTCTGTCTCTCTCTCTCTCACTGTCCACTCTGCCTGTCAAAAAAATAAAAAAGATTCAAGAGAGTGTTTTATATTGCAAAAAGATTAGTTTACTTAAGGAACTAGAGCTTTCTCAGAGTAATAGACTTGGGAAGAAAGATAAGAAAGGTATATAAGAACAATTTGTTATAAAGACCTTTTTAAAAGAAGGAATCTCCCTTAGATGCAAACAATTTGTTAATAAGAGTATTAGTTCCCTAGTAAATCTTCCTACCAGATTGATTCTATTTACCTCTGCGTGTAGGAAACAGTACTGAAATCTTTATAGTTGTTCACCTGGGATTACGCCTTTAAACAGAAGCTTGTATTGAACCAACAAAATAATTACACATTCTCATACGACTTTTCTTTTTCTTGCTTTTTTCCAAGAGCATTATTCAAGATTTGAAGAAAAATTTTGAAATAGTGAAATTGGTAACGGGAAGTTTGCTAGCTTGTCACCGACTCGCAGCTGCTGTGGCCGGGCCTGGGGGCTTAACTGGCTCAACGCTGGTGGATGGCCGGTACACTTACCGGGAGGTATCAGCCATTGTCTTTTTGTTTCATGAGTTAGAGCATTCATTTGACTTTTCATACTTGGACCTTAAAAGTAATCCGTCATGCTGTGTGTTCTAAAGAGGTTGTGTGAAGCAGCTTTGTGGTGAGAGAACAGCTTTGGGTCTTGATTATAGTCATTTCTAATTAAAGTTCAGGAAAAAATGACATTTGTGAGTTGCTCTTTCAGTGAATCACCTAAGAATTGTATATGATGCATTTGGGGGGTGAACCAATGGAAGGAAGACCTTTTTCTCTCTCTGTCTCTCTCACTGTCTAACTCTGCCTGTCAAAAAAAAAAAAAAAAAAAAAAAGTATATGATGAAGTGAAAAACATCTTTGTCTTTGATCTGAAATAATAGTTGTCAATTCTGTGGATAATAGTTTTCATTTTTCAAACAGATTGATTTCAAGTATTGTTTTAAAAAAAACTAGAAAAAAATCTTACCAGTTGTGAGTTTATGGTGCTTTACTTTGAGACTGCTGAAATTATATTTCATTGACATCTAAAGTCAACTGAATTCGTAGTATTCTTGGGATGGAATCTATTACAGATTTTTCACTTTTGTTTTACACTAAGTTAAAGTTTTGTTTTAATTGTTTTGTTTTGCTGTTAAGCTTTTAAGTGTGAATTTCTAGGGTTAACTAATGAGCACTGTTTCTTTTTGCAGTATTTAGAGGCACATCTAAAATTTCTGGCATTTTTCTTGCAAGAAGCTACTCTTTATCTCGGTTGGAATCGTGCCAAGGAAATCTGGGAGTGTCTTGTGACCGGCCAGGATGTCTGTGAATTAGATAGAGAGGTAGGATGGTATTGTGAATAAATGACAGAAATATTTAAATATTTTCCTTTTTTTCTATCTTTTTTTTTTTTAATGTATCTCACACCTTCAATTCTAAATGCTTTTCAGTTTATATATAAGGATAGATGGAATAGGCTAGGAACAGTAAATGCTGAAAAAATATTTTATATAGTGTAAACCCATTATATAAACAAGTATATAAATTCTTTGGTCATTTTAATAACATTCTAGATGAAGTACCAAATTCAACCAAGTGAGTACAGATAGAGAAGTGTAGGTGTATATTTTAGTTTTATTCTTTTCTATAAGGCTAATTTTAAGTCAACTATCATGATGTAGCACTTTAGAAACACTAAAAAAAGAATCAGTACTTGGATGTATTTTAAACTATGTTTAAGCAGCCAAAAACAGATTAAACCAGGAACGGAACTGCTTTGATATTCTGTTAACAGTAGATCTTGATTTCCTCATCTCATTGTACAGAACCGTATTTGCTTCTCTGTACGATTGTTGAAAGGACTGAGTTTTTGACAAGTGCCTGGCACAGAGCAAGGCTTACTCAGTGTTGATGGGAAAACCCAAACATAAAATTAAATGAAAAGCGTGAGGCTATTTTTAATTATCTAGGAGAGGACCCTTATAGTTTCAGAGTTCCAGGTGTTTCAGTTTGGAGTGGTATTTTGGCAGTGTAAATTTTGGAAGTATTAAAAATAATTTAATATACTACTCTACCAGTTTGGAATGCATATTTGCCTGCCGAGGCTTTTGGCTGTGGGCTGATGGCTGTCTTGATCCTCAGGTGTGTTTTGAGTGGTTCACCAAGGGGCAGCATGATCTTGAGAGTGATGTTCAGCAGCAGCTCTTCAAGGAGAAAATTCTGAAGTTGGAGTCATATGAAATCACCATGAATGGTATGACAATCAGCTTCCTAAGAAATTTTGTTCTTTCCTTTTCTTGTAATCTTACTGCTCAGAAGCAACAACACAGTTTGGACTACTCTTCTGGAATTTTCTTTGTACATATTTAGGTATATATAGACAAACAGAGGTAAATTCCTTTTTTTGTTTTTAATTTATTTATTTACTTGAGAGGCAGAATTAACAGACAGAAAGGGAGAGACAGAGAGAGAGAGAGAGAGAGAGGTCTCCCATCTGCAAGTTTGCTCTGCAAATGGCTGCAGTGGCCAAAGCTGGGCCAATCTAAAGTTTCTTCTGGATCTTCCACATGGGTACAGGGGCTCAAGCACTTGGGCCATCTTTTACTGCTTTTCCAAACCATTAGCAAGGAGCTGGATCAGAAGTGGAGCAGCCAGGACTTGAATTGGTGTCCATATGGGATGCCAGCTCCGTAGGCAGATGCTTAACCTACTGCACCACAGCACTGGCCCCAGTAAATTCCTTTTTACATAATGGTTTCTTTTAATTAATTTTTAAATTATATGGCCTGATAGCTAAAAGAGCCAAATTGCCTTTTTAAAATTCTGTCTTAGAAAAGAATTCAGTAAGGTAAAAATGTATCACAATGTAGAAATCATTCTTTTAGGTCTTTCTTTTAATTGAATTTTTTATTGAGATGTAATTCACGTGCCATGCATTTCACTTTTTTAAAGTGTGCAATCTTTGGCTTTTAGCATATTCACAGAGTTGTGCAATCTTCACTATTTTCTAATCTCAAAACATTTCTGTCACCCCAGTAAGTAACCCTTTACTCTTTAGCAGTCGTTTTCTCTTAGCTCTGGTCTATTTTTTGCGTTTGTGGATGAGCTTAATCTGGACAGTTGGTATAAGGGAAATCATACAGTATCTGATCTTTTAGATCTGGCCTCTTTCATTGTGTGCTATAGCATGTTTTCAAGGTTCACCCATGTTGTACCATGTATCAGTTCTTCATTCCAGCTTATGGTTATTATGCTGTATGGGTTTTTTATGTGTTGTTTATCTCTTCACCAACTGAGGAACATTTGGGTTTTTACCACCTTACTGTAAATGCTGCTGTAAACATCCATGAACAAGTTTTTGTATAAATTTTCATGTATAGGCTTGTCATCTTGGGGAGATATAAATCATCTGTGAGGAACTGTCAGATGTTTTTTGCAAAGCAGTGGCACCATGTTGTAATCTCGCCAGCAATCTATAAGGATTCCAGTTTCTCCACATTCTTGCCAATACTTATTTCCACCTTTTTCTTTTTTCAAGTTTAGACATTCTAGTGGGTCTGAAGTTAATTGCATTTCTCTGACAACTAATGATATGGAACATCTATTCATATGTGCTTATTGACCATTTGTATTCTGTGGACAAATTTCTGTTCGAATCTTTTGGCCATTTTTAAGTTGGGTTATTCATCTCTTTATTGCTGAATTGTAAGCATCCTTTCTATATTCTGAACACCAGCTCCTTGTGAGATACATGAATTGTAGGTATTTTCTCTCATTCTATGGATTGTCTTTTTTTTCTTGATAGTATTTTTATGAAGCACAAAGTTTTACATTTTGGAAGTGTGCATTTGGCCTAGTGGTTGAGACACTGGCTGGGACACTGATGTCTCCTATTGGAGTCCCTGGGTTCACTGTCTAGCTCCCGCTTCTGGCTTCAGCTTCGGACTGCAGATTCATGCTGGTGCAACCCTGGGAGGCAGTGGTGGTGCCTCAAGTGACTGGTATCCTGCCACCCACATCAGAGACCCTGATGGAATTTCCAGCTCCTGGCTTTTCACCCAGTCCTGGCCAGTGTAAGCATTGAGGAGTCAGCCAGTGGGTGAGAGTCCTGCCTCTCTCTCTTACAAACAAACAAACAAATATTTTCAAGTTTTAAATTTTGGTTAAGTTCAATTTTCTTTAATTAAGTTATATTTTCTTTTGTTGCTGATGCCTTTATACTTGCATCCAAGAAACCCACTGCCAAGAACTCTGTGGTTTTAGTTCTTGATTCACTCAGAATCTTTTCATTACTTATCTGCGTTACTTTGAGTGCACGAATTTATGTGGAATTCTATAATTTCAGGTTTTAACTTATTTAAGACTTTTTTTGAAAACGTGAATCTCTGTGATCATCGTTTAAAAAGACAAGGAGCTCAGTTGGTAAGTACATGCATTAGCTTCTCATTACTGTAACAGAATACCTGAGGCAGGTTAACTCTGTAAAGAAAAAAGGCTTATTTAGGCTTACAATTCTGGAGGTTCATAGTCTTACTGTCAGATGGCCCCAATGGTTCCATCTCTAGTAAGAGCATTCTACCTGGTACAGGACATCACCTGACAAGAGACAAATAGTGCACGCCTCTGTCTCTTCAATCTACAGTTTCTCTTTCTTTTTATAAACCCACTCTATAAACCCATCGGGGTTCCACTCTATCACCTGGTTTAACCTTAATCACTTCCCAGAGGCTCTGCCTCTGAACACCATCATTGGATTAATTTTGTTCCCCTTAGTACCCTTAGGACTTTAGAGTTTAAACTGGCTGCATGAGTTTAAACACCAAATCATCTTTAAACCATTATTCTCAAAACTAGATAATTTGAATAATCTCATACAGCTTATTTAGTATTTAGCAAAGCATGTTATAATTGAGAGAAAGCATGGAATTTTTTAAAGAACACGATGCCCTGACTGCTGACTGCTGTGCTAGTAACAGCTCTCTCAGACTGAAGTGGAGGCTTCCTTTCCTGTACTGCCACGTCCCACCAACTGCTTGCAGAACTCAACTCACTTCTCAAATCTCTGTCCATTTCTTGCTGATGTGAGGGCAGCCAGTGCCCTCCTGTGGCTTGGTGATTGCCATGTAGGGGCAGTTCCTGTAAGCTTCGATGGCCTCAGATCCAGCAGTTCGTGTGCACCTGCAAAAGTAACAAAATCTACAATTCTGCAGTCACAATGGTACATATTTGGGGAGAAAAATTTATGAATAGACAGTAAAATAATAAGTCTATAAAATACAGATAGCTTATGGGTATATTTACCTACACCCTTAAAAAAGAAAGACAAAAACTACTAGCTTTTTTTCTAAGTCCTTTCATTCAGGACCTGACTTCCTGGAATAATAAGTTTTTATAAGATTTTGTAAGCCTGAGTCCTGCACTTCTAACTGAGCTTTGGGAAAACCAGGTTGAGCCCTAAGATTTAGTCACCACTTCTAGCTTGATGCCATGTCCTTTTCAAGAAAATCTTACAAAGGTGGTGCTCCTCTACTGTTGTGCTGTTTCTGTTTCAGTAGCCAGTCTGCATGGATGACCAGCATGGGGTTAGGGATAGCAAGAAAAACTCCCTACACCTATCCAAGGTTGCCCAGTGCTTTCAGTTCCGTATCAGTACAATTGTATTTTGATGTACTACTAGGTTTTTATTTTTTTTAAAGATTTATTTATTTATTTGAAAGTCAGAGTCACACAGAGGGAAAGGAGAGGCAGAGAGAGAGAGAGAGTTCTTCCATCTGCTGGTTCACTCCCCAGTTGGCCGCATTCGCTGGAGCTGTGCTGATCTGAAGCCAGGGGCTTCTTCCCAGTCTTCACATGTGGGTGCAGGGGCCCATCTTCTGGGCCATCTTCTGCTGCTTTCCCAGGCCATAGCAGAGAGCTGGATTGGAAGTGGAGCAGCCAGGACTCAAACCGATGCCCATGTGGGATGCCAGCCCTGCAGGCGGCAGCTTTACCCAGTACACCACAGCACTGGCCCCAGAACTGGGTTTTTATAGCTTTTACTGATACTGAACTGAAGAGGTGTGAACTGCAGATATAATAGAGGATAGTTGTCTATAATTTTATGATCCTGCTGACCTATGTAATTTGTATATAATTTATTTCTTTTGAACAGTATGTAGAAAAACTGGAATTGATAGGAATGGATTTCATTTGGAAGATAGCCATGGAATCACCTGATGAAGAAATTGCTAATGAAGCCATTCAGTTAATCATAAGCTATAGTTACATTAATCTCAATCCGAGGTTGAAGAAGGTGGGTATCTAAGTAAAGACATCACTTCTGTATCAAAGGCATACATTTTTTTTAAGTTGTGAACCTGTACCATTCTCCAATGTTTTGTTCTAAATAATGATTAAAGGTAAATGCCATGGACTGATTTTAATTTGCATATACCTCTGACTTTCAGGATTCAGTATCTTTACATAAGAAATTTATTGCTGATTGCTATACAAGATTAGAAGTAAGTAGCAAATTTTATTTAACCATCTTTAGAATAAGTGCTTTGTATTTTTCCTTTTAAATGTTTACATTTTTAGATAACATATAATTTTGATGTCCGAGGTTGAATTCTGTTGAATTTTCTGCAGTGTACCCCATTGTGGCATAGGGAATAGATGCCAGGATGCCCTCAATCAGTTTTTTTAAGAGGACACCTTATAGGAAATCTTTTTTTTTTTTTTTTTTTTTGACAGGCAGAGTGGACAGTGAGAGAGAGACAGAGAGAACTTATAGGAAATCTTTCCTTCTTCCTCCCACCCCCTCTTCTCCTCTCCTTCTCCACCGCATCTGCCCCTTGAGGGTATAGGAACTGTTTGCAGAGGACAGGTCTATACAGTCCATATTTGTAGTGGAACTCCTTTTTCTTTCCATTTTGTACGTGCATTTTCTGCTTTTCCTGCCCTTCTCCAAGTTTTTACCATAATTGCTATTAAAGGCCATGGCCAAATGTTCAGTAGTAAGTGGCATTGGCTGTCCTGTCCCTCGGCAGCCTGCTGTGTAATGTCATCTCCAGCATGCCTCCAGTGCCATGTCACATTCACTTCACTTGAAATCTGTGTTTGTTTAGGTTTTATATCTAATAAAGAATATTCCAAAAGCGTAAAATGCTGCTGCCCCTAAATATCAGTATATAAACTTTATGGTGATAAGTATATGCTAGAATCTATGTGGTATTTCTCAAATCATGACTTCCATCAAAAATGTCATCCTAAAAACATGCACATATTCAAGCACCTCTGTATGAGGCACCGTGTAAGTATTAACATGTGTAGAGCGGTAGTTCTCAGCTGGGGCTCATTTGCCTCCCAGGGCCCATCTGGTACCTTCACAGTTAGAAACGTCTACCAGCCTTGGTGGATCGAGGCCACAGATCCTGCTAAACATCCTGCAAGGCACTGGAGGCTCTCCACAGCAGTTACGCAGCCCAGATGTCAGAGTCCAGGGGAGAGACCCTGATAGAGATGGTTATTCTATTTCTAGGCAGCAAGCTCAGCACTTGGCGGCCCCACTCTAACACATGCTGTGACTAGAGCCACAAAAATGCTTACGGCAACTGCCATGCCAACTGTAGCAACGTCCGTTCAGTCTCCATATAGGTAAGTGATTACAGAAACAAAAGCAAATATACAACATGTGCATATCTATCAGTTCGAGGAAATAATTGGTATCTTTTCCCTTTGGAGATCTCTTGATTCATGATTTCCTCCTTTTAAATCAATACCTTTAGGAGCAGTCGTATCATGGAAAATTGTACGTTCCTCAGTATGTATCCCCAAGTCTGGGTCTCTTCTGAAGTCCTGTAGGTCCTCACCAGAACCATGAAAGTGTGCCCTCCCTACTCTCTTACCTCATGGACAGGTTCTTGTTACTGCATTTATTTGATTCATTTGACTTTTATTCTGTGTAGCCAGAGGAACTAGTTCTCTAGGATAGAATGAAAGTATATTTGTGCTCTGAAGAATAATTTTGAATGTTTCCTTTTTTAGAACTTTTCTCCTTGAATAGTCAAATCCAAGGCACTGTTAGGGTAAAGAAAATGAAGTGAAAGGGGAGGGCTGGTCAAATTATGCATTATAATATAGTCAGTTAAAATATTATTTACCAAACTTACTTTTCCAAATAATTTTGGTGAGAGCATTAGGCCCAAATGTTTGTGTTAAAACTGTGGACTGCCATCTCACTCACGTTGCTGTTTGCGTTTTCACATGCTCCCAGTGAAATCTGAGTTTAGCAGTGCTGAGGTTCTTTCATAGTTAGGACATTGGGTTGCAGTAACTACAGGGCTTGGTGGAATTTGATGAGCCAGTCACTGCAGGGAAGCAGTCCCTAGTTTCTGATGCCCAGGAAGTCTTGCTGGGGTATCATGTAATCTTTCTCTTCTCCTGGGATTACAGTCCCATTTACTTTATTCACAGTGGGGGATATTTTCTTTTCAAAGCCTCCTCTAAAAAGGGAGTTAAGGCAGTATCCTTGTCCATATCCCCCCCCCCCCTTTTAATTTTATTTAAAGGACAGAGAGAGAAAAAGATCTTCTGTCCTCTGGTTCACTCCCCAATGCCCACAACAGCCAAGACTGGGCCAGGATGAAGTCAAGGACCTAGTATTCAGTTCAGGTCTCACATGTGAGAGGCAGGGACCCAGTTGCTTGAGCCATTACCTGCTACCTCTTGGAGTCCGCAGGAGCAGAGCTAAGAATGAAATCCATGCACTCTGCATAAGTGGCATCCTAACTGCTGCTCCAAAATTCTACCCTTTACTTTATTTTAGGTGAGTTGAGTACTGTATAGCTGTGCTTTATTAACATACAGGAAGTCAATAAAACTCAGCCTGTGCAGATTTAATCTTTAAATGCCAGAAGTGATTATAGGTTCGACTTGAGATAAGAATATTGTCATGACTTTCTTATCCCAACATTCTTGGAAGTATATTCCATATAGACTTACATTAAGACTGTAGATTAAGAATGCCTAATGACGTGTTGGTAAAATAAATCCATCTCTGTGACTCAGTCCCTTAACTGTGTGTTTATCAGAAAAGTCAGAACAGAAGTGCATTATAAGCTGTTGGACTGGGGTCTCCTGGCTGTTACTTCTTTAGATGAGTGTGCTTTTTGTGTTTTCCTTCTTTAATATGTGATTTTTTTATTCCAAATTATTTAATATTTGGGTGAATACAGTGAGAAACCATATAATTTTATAAAACTTTTTATTACAAACTCTAAATAGAGATTATTAGAGTGTATAACTTTTTTTTAAGAGTCCTTAGCTTTCATCTGAATATTTTTTAAGACTTTTTTATTTGAAAGAGTTACATAGAAGAAAAGACAGAGAGATTTACATCTGCTGGTTTACTCCCCAAATGGCCACAATGGCCAAGGCTGGGCCAGGCCAAAGCCTGGAGCTTCATCTGGATAGCAAGGACCTGGATCAGAAGTGGAGCAGCTGGGACTCGAACAGCGCCCATACGGGATGCCAGCACTGCGGGTGGCTTAACCTGCTACCCCATAGTGCTGGCCCCTTAAATGTATAATTTCAAAGTGAATTTGAACCAGAACATTGTAGTTGACTCTTTTCCCTAGGTTTTTTTTTTTTGATTATTATTCTTTGCTTGTTTGTTTTTTTGAAGACTTATTTACTTATTTTAAAGGCAGAGTGACAGGGAGAAACAGATATTCCATCCACTGGTTTACTTCTCAAATGGCTGCAACAGCCAGGGCTGGGCTAGGCCAAAGCCAAAAGCTCCATCTTGGTCTCCCACCTGGGATGCAGGGGCCCAAGTACATAGGCCATCTTCTGCTTTGCAGGCACATTTTACAGGAAGAAAAGCAGACAAACTGAAACTGGCACTCCCATAATAAGATTCCAGCATGACAGGTGGCAGCTTAACTTGACCCTTTGCTTAGTTTCAGAATAACTTGTCAGTATCCATAATTGTTCCAGCTCATGAGGAAGGGGTGTTATTTTCTCATTTGTACAGTGTTTTTGTAGTACTGATTTTATTCATTATCGTGGTATAATTAAAACAATTCACTCACAGCATTTAGGTATTTCCTAAAGCTTTTTCTTTTGAATTTCAAGTTCTTATGCATAGGCTGGAAAAGGACTAATTTAGAACTCTGTTAAAAATTTATTTTATTTATTTGAAAGGCAAAATGACAAAGAGAGAGAGAATCTTCCACCCACTGGTTCACTCCCCAAATGGCCACAACAGCTAGGGGTGGGCCAGGCTGAAGCCAGGAGCCCAGAACTCCATCTAGGTCTCTCATGTGGATAGCAGAGGCCCAAGTACTTGGGCCTCTTTCACTGCCTTCCCAGGCACGTTCACACGGGACGGGGTCAGAAACAGAGCAGCTGGGACTCAAAGCAGCAATCTTAGATGGGATGCCTGCCTAACAAGCAGAGGCTTTTAACCCATTGTGCCACAGGCTGGCCACTCAACTATTGTTTTTCCAGTGAAATTTCCAGTGTTGTGAATCAGCATAACCAGCCCGTGATTAGAAAATGACAGTACTTCTTTTCAGTTTTAGAAATATACATATTTGAAAGTCCTTGACTTTGTAGAGTAACACATTTTTAGATTCAGGGCACTTGGATTTTTGTTTCTTAGTGTTAATACGGGCAGCTCTCTTTAATAAAGTATGTACCTGTGGCTGTATAACAAGCTGCTGAGTGTTGGGTCCTGTTATTTCCAGTGATAAGGAAGATTCCATAAGTCTTCCATCAAAAGAGACCTCAGATCTCATTTTCAAGCAGCAACTTTGAATTGTGGTACGCTTACTGGTTTGTATTTGTGTTCTAATTTTTAGATAGTTCAGAACTTTGTCAGCTTTTTTGTTTACAGCATTTTTAACGTTTTAGTGATGAGTCAAAACTTACCAGCTGTTCATTTGTGGTGGGTTGACCTTAAGAATAGCTGTATAAAAAGGAAAAAGAAGAAAGGGAAGGAACCAGGGTGAGGGCAGGCTTGTCCTTCCTTACTCCGTCTGTGCTACAGCTGTGAGCTGGTTGAGCCACCTCTCCACTGTGTGAAAGGAGAGTTTGATCTTTGCAGATTTTACCCTCTGGCCACTGAGTGCTGACTGGAGTAGTGGTCTTGGTGAAACAGAGAATAGAGTTCATATCAACAATTGGTTTCAAATACATTTAAAAACATTTTTTTAACCCATAGATCCACTAAACTTGTAATAATTGAGAGATTGCTGCTTCTGGCAGAACGCTATGTGATCACTATAGAGGTAAGCCTCTCCTCGTCCAGGCGCTTCGTGCATCATGTTACCAGACTAAATGCTGGGGATGGATTTTGTCATGTTTCACACTGGCACTACCCATCTGACATATTTGACTTTATCACATCTTTTTCAAGGACTTTTACTCTGTCCCACGAACTATTCTACCTCATGGTGCCTCGTTTCATGGACATCTTTTAACTCTTAATGTTACCTATGAGTCTACCAAAGATACCTTCACTGTAGAGGTAGGTGTACATTAAGCTCTACAGCTGTCTTATTTTCTCTTGTTGTTTGCATAAGAACAGTGTTGACTGAGATCACTGTTTGGTAACACAATGATAAAGGCCTGAAATGAAAGGAATTGATGGGACTGCAAGCAGATGTGTGAAAAGTGCAAGGGTGCAATACAGGGTCTGCTGATGGTTAAGTGCTATAAAAGACAACTAAGAATAAGACAGGATAAGTTGGTAGAGGGTGATGGGTGTGCCCAGAATATTGTGGATGAAGATGGATAGGGAGAATCTGTCTGAGGTGGTGACATGTAAGCAAAGACTTGAATACAAGTGACAGAGTAAATGATGTTTGCTTAGAAGGACATTCCAAGCTAAGGAAGCAGCAGGGCTGCGCACAAGCTGGTGGCTGGTGTGAGGAATGCCTGTGAGAAAGGGAAGGAGGGGATGGTACTGCTGTGGAGAAAGGAATTGAGATTTTGTTCCATGCATTATCACGGTTCTTAATTACAGCCAAAGGCAAGCCTCTCAAGATTAGGGATTCGTATCTGGTTCTCTGCTGAGTTTCCAACTTCTACATCAGTACGCTCGGTGGATCAGTAAATGCTCGCTAGCAGTTGTTTAAATGAATGCATGAATGAATTCTCCCACTACTGTGTGTAACTCTGCTTTACAGGCTCACAGTAACGAAACCATAGGGAGTGTCCGGTGGAAGATTGCCAAGCAGTTGTGCTCTCCTGTGGATAATATACAGATATTTACAAATGATAGCCTGGTAGGTTCAGATCCACAGCTTTTAGCACTTCAGCCTGACGCAGGTACTTTCTTCTTCCTTTCCCTCTCGATAATTAAGAAACCACTTTTTGCAGCTGACGGTGAATAAAGACCAGAAGTTGCTCCACCAGCTGGGCTTTTCTGATGAGCAGGTCCTGACGGTGAAGACCTCGGGCAGCGGCACGCCCTCCGGGAGCTCAGCAGATTCCTCCTCCAGCTCCAGCAGCAGCAGCAGTGGCGTTTTCAGTTCATCATACGCCATGGAGCAGGTACTGTACTGAGTGATACATTTCTCTCTCTCTTTTTTTTTTTTTTTTAAGATTTATTTATTTGTTTGGAAGTCAGAGTTACACACAGAGAGAAGGAGAGGCAGAAAGAGAGAGAGGTCTTCCATCTGCTGGTTCACTCCCCAATTGGCCGCAATGGCCAGAGCTACACCAATCCAAAGCCAGGAGCCAGGAGCCAGGAGCCAGGAGCTTCTTCCAGGTCTCCCATGTGGGTGGAGGGACCCGAGGACTTGGGCCGCCTTGTACTGCTTTCCCAGGCCATAGCAGAGAGCTGGATCGGAAGTGGAGCATCCAGGACTCGAACCGGCAGCGCTCATATGGGATGCTGCCACTGCAGGCAGCAGCTTAACCCGCTATGCCACAGTGGTGACCCCAAGTGATACATTTCAATGCAAATAAAAGGAGTTGACAATATATCTTTGCTGGCAGCCCATGTAAATATAGATGATAATGTCCTTGGGTCTCAGATAGGATCTAGGTCTTCAGAACTGTGTAATTAGAGAATGCCAGGATCCACTGGTGGTGGGAGTGCAGGGAGGGGCGATGGATTTCTCCACCTTTAGAACCACAGAACCTTCCAAATCACTAATTTTGCCTGGCTGTTCACTGTCCCTCATACAACTCTCTTCATTGAATCAGTCATTTCCTTTAGCATTCAAACATGTTACATTATCTCTGCCGTCTTTAAAAAGTACTTCCTGGTTGTACCTTCAGTTACCGCGCCACGCTCTCCTTCCCAAATCAGAGCTCCATGAAAGAATTGTCCTACTTGACTTCTCTCGGAAAGAGTCGACTCTTCTCAGCTTGTTCTGGCACTCTTAACTCTCCATACTCATTTTCCTTTTTTTTTTTTAAAAAAAATATATTTTATTTATTTTAAGTCAAAATGACAGAGATGTTTCAGCTGCTGGTTCAACTTCTCAGATGGCCATAACAGCTGGGCTTGGACAGGCCAATGCCAGGAACCTGGGCTCCATTCAGCTCTCCCACATCTGTGGCAGATGCCCAAGTACTTAGGCCATCATCCACCGCTTTCCCAGGTGCGCTAGCATGGAGTTGGATTGAAACAAAGAGCAGCCAGGACTTGAACTGGAACTCCAATCTGGAATGCTGGTGTTGTAAGCAGCGGCTTCATGGACCATGCTACAACACCGCTCCAGTCCCTCCTCCCTTGAAATATTCTTCGTTTGGCTTTCCAGCCTCACCTGTCTTTCCCCTGACCTTCTGCCTGTCCCTTGCTTGTTCTTCGACTCCCTGCTCTCCATACAGAGCAGTTCTCTGGCCCAGTCCTTGAACCTGTCTTCCATCTACATTCATTCCCTTAATGAGCATATGCAGTCTCAGAGCTTTACATGTGGAATATATGTTGATAATGCCCCAATTTTGTCTTTCTTCTGAAGTCCAGGTAAACAAGTCTATCTCCCTACTCAACGTCTTCTGCTGGGCACCCCAATCCTGTTATATCCAGAGTTGAGCTCTGATATCCTGTCTTACCATGTCACTCCCGCCCCAAACCGCTTCAGCCCATAGTCTTGCTCTCCCTCAGATAGTAGCATCTCCACGGTTCTAAATTGCCCGTCCCCAGAGCCTGGCTTCTCTTCTTTCCCTCACACACATGCCAGTCTGCAAATCCTTGACTGCCTTTAAAATGCATCCTGAACCTGGCTGCTTGCATGGCTTTACCAGTCTGGGCCACTTTCTTCCTCGCCTGGAAGGAGGCACGGTAGTGCCTTCATGTGTCTCACAGCTTCTGCCCTTAGACCAGTTCTGTGCTTGCTTTACAGGGCACCCTGTGGGCCCTCCTCAGCTTCTTCCACTGGGTCCCATATCACTCAGAGTAAGAGCCACAGTCTTAACCAGGAATTCATGTCCTACCTCTGCTCGCAGAACCCTCTGACCCTCTTCCCACTCATAGCACTGTAGCTACACTGGCCTCCTTCTGGTCCTCAGCACCTTAGGGCCTGTGCACCTGCTCTTCTGTGAGCCTTTTTGACAGTGTTTTTTTTTTTTTGTCTTGTTGATTTATCTCCCTCTGAAACGTAAATGCCAGGAGAGCTGGCGTTTGTCAGTTTTGTTCACTGCTAAAGCAGTACCTACCGTGTGATACATTCTCTCTGTTTTGTACCTTTTCTGTGTGGGGGCTGAGCTGGGCTCCAGAGCGCAAAGCTGAGCAAGCCTGTTGTGCCAGGCTGCTGTTGTGGTACAGCACGTTAAGCTGCTGCTTGCTATGCTGCCATCCCATCTCGAAGTGCTGGTTTGAGTACCTGATACTCTGCACTTCTGATCCAGCTTCATGCTTATGCATCCTGGGAAGCAGCAAATGATGGCCCAGGTCCTTAGGGCCCTGCCACCCACAGGGAGATCCACATGGGGTTCCTGGCTCCCTGTTTCAGCCTGGCCCAGACCCTGGCTGTTGTGGCCATTACAGGAGTGAAGTAGGGGATGAAAGATACTCCCTTTCTCTCTCTCTCTTCCTCTCTTCCTCACTGGCTCTCCATCTCTCCATCACTGTGTTTTAGAGAAATCAAAAAAAGAACACTTTTTGCTCTTTGGCTTTTGCAGTCTAGAGAGCAAGTAATAGAAAGTAAAGATTTTAAAAGCCATATAGGGCTTTTTTAAATGCTTATTAAATGTATTCCTTTAATTTAATCCCAAATATAAGATGTTTGTGTGACTGTGTCTTTCTAACCTTGCTATAAATACCAAAGAACTCTTCAGGTTCAGTTAAGTTTGTGGAAAAATGAAATTAAAATAAAAGTTTATTTGGCCCCCAAAAATTTTGGAATCCATGCAGTTTTTTCCTAATATGTATTCTCTACAGACTTCATAAAGATCCCTGTTTATAACAAGAATTTAAGGAAGAAATCCCACTCGAAGTGTCAACGTTTACAACAAAACAATATACCTAGCATCTTCAAATGTCACATTTTTAAACTGTTTCATATTTATCCCAAATTACTTAAAATATTTCCACATGTACATGCATTCTATAATGACATCTAGTTTCCTTTCTCCTATTAACCAATTTAGAACTTTAATCACCTGTGAATTTCTTCTTTGTAGTTTATCAGTTTTGTCTTTTCTGACCTTCATGAAAAGCAAAGTAACTTACCTTTTCTCAGATTATATATTTTTTATGGCTTTGTATGAATGTGTGAATTAACACACGCACACGCACACACACACGCGCGCGCGCACGCGCTGCCTTAGTTTTGCTTTCCTGCAGACTGGCAGTGATTAACCTGGTGTGCCTGCTGTCCCTTGTATTGCCTACCCAAACCTTTTGTGTTAAAATCTCTGCAGCTGCTTTGCCCCTTGGCCAGCAGGTGGCGAGGAGAAGGGAGAGCCGGTGACGCTGGATGGATGGTCATGGTCTCTGGCTCTGGTGGATCCCCACATGGCGGTCTTCAGTGCAGATGAGCACTGCCCGCTCCAGCTTGCTCGTGGCCCTAGTGTTGGTCAGCGTGGTTAGAGTAGGAGAACGTTCTTTTGCAAATGGTGCTCCTGTTGTGCTCTTCCCCCCAGGAGAAGTCTCTCCCTGGTGTCGTGATGGCTCTCGTGTGTAACGTCTTTGACATGCTTTACCAGCTTGCCAACCTAGAAGAGCCAAGGTATGTACAGATGCTTGGGAGGCTTGAGAGAGAGTTACTTGCTAAGGTCAGGAAACCAGAGAACTAATTACTTGACAAGTATTGTACTTGACATTTTATCCTGAATGACTTTGTTACTGAAACTGTGGCTTATGTGAAAAAAAATTTGTATTTGAAAAATTTTAGGATAACTCTACGAGTACGAAAGCTTCTGCTGTTGATACCCACTGACCCAGCCATTCAGGAAGCCCTTGATCAGCTCGATTCTTTAGGAAGAAAGGTAAGAGTAACGTGAATAGTTATTTAACTATCATGGAGATTTCATACCGTGATTCAGTGAAAGAGCAGCCTGCAATCACATGAAACCAAAGGATACTCCTCTTCCAACACTTCTTCTTTTCAAAGACGCCTTTGCTGCAAGTGGAAATGAGAGCCTCAAGTTGACTTTGGAATATTCAGATAGTCAAGAATGACAGCAGATTTAGAGCTGGACGAGCCTTAGATACCCTCCCGGGTCATGGGTTAGGAAACAATGAGATAAAGTCACTTGTCCAGGATCCTACTCTAGTTCTGACTTAGTTGAGATGTTTCTCTTCTGTCATGATACTTCTCTGGGTGATTGTTGTGTGTCTGAGCTGCTTATATAAATGGATTATCATTTAATTTTTTTTACAGTTGATATTTACAATTCATTTTAATTTTTAGAACGCTATTTCAAGATTTTTATATATGTACAAATTGTCTTTGTATTATTTAATTATGTATCAAATATGTTTAGAACAAAGTTGTTAGAACTAAGTTTTGTATTTTATATCTTAGTGGATGAAATGCACATCAGCTTGGTCATTTATGGCTGATGTATTAATCGGAGGGAGACCGGAACTAATACTAGCTAAAAAAATTTTTTTGAGACTGTGATACTTCAACAATCTTACAATTTCATTACTAATATTCACAAGTATGAGTTTTAAAATGAAAATTTAAATAAACTTGTCAGTGTTGCTTAGAATGAATTCTCGGAAGTTTCATGTATGTTTGAATATTGTTGAACACTTAGAATTGTTGTGATGAGGTTTGATGTCTTAATAGAGTGTGGGTTTCTGAAGTTAATTTTTTGAAAGTTAGATTGGTACAGCTTATATACAGAGGAAAGGGAACATTTTTATTAAGAGGAAAAGAATATTAGCATTAATACTAAGTTCTGTTTCTTCTAAATTTATGCTTATTGTTTTCCTTCTTTAAACTTAGAAAACACTGCTGTCTGAATCAAGTTCTCAGTCTTCCAAGTCTCCGTCCCTCTCTTCAAAGCAGCAGCATCAGCCAAGTGCCAGCTCCATTTTAGAAAGTCTGTTTCGATCTTTTGCCCCAGGAATGTCCACCTTCAGAGTGCTCTACAACTTAGAAGTAAGAAGCCTGACTTTTTTTATTTCATTTTGACAGATCCATTGTGGTTTGTAGATTCATGCTTTCGGATATCAGAAATAGATTAATAGGTTTTGTTGTTTTGGATTGCTGTTACAAAATTAGTTTTAAAAAATAGAAGTTGAAACTAAAAGTTTTGCCTTTGAAAAGGCTTTTTTTCCATCTATTTTTGTCTATGTTCATTGTTACACTTGGAAAAGAACACCTTAGTGTCACACAGGTGTCATTGCCTTCCTCTGAAAGTCAGGTCTGTGTAATATGAATTATTAATCCTCAGCCTCCTTGACTAAATGCATCTTCAGTTGTTAAAAAGCTCTTGTAGCTTGTGACCATTAATGAAACTTTATGAAGAATTCATCAGCAGGCATATTATTATTCAAGGTCAAAAAAACCTGCTGGATGTGTTAGGGCGAAAGATTATTATGATGGCTGTCTTAGTTCATTTGGACTGCTGTAATGAATTAGCATAGCCTGGTTGACTTAAGCGGCCAGCACTCGCGGCCCTCAATGCTGAAGCCTGGGGAGTGCCCGATGAGCGTCTGGTGATGTGCCACGTCCTGCTTCATACACAGCTGTCTTCTCTTGCACCTCACTTGGCTGACAGAGACAGTGGAGCTCTCTGGGGTCTCGCTTTTTTATTTTTCAAGGATTTATTTTATTTATTTGAAAGGCAGATATACAGAGAGAGGGAGAGATCTCTCTGCTGGTTCACTCCCCAAATGACCACAAGGGCCAGTGCTGGGCCAGACCTAAGCCAGGAGCAAGGAACTCTGGTTCTTCCACGTGGGTGCAGGGACCCAAGAGCTTGGCCATCTTCTGCTGCTTTCCCAGCCGCCATTAGCAGGGAGCTGGATCGGCAGTGGAGCAGCCATATGGGATGCCAGTGCCACGGGTGGCAGCCTTACTTGCTCTCTGGGTTGTCTTACAAGGGCATAGGTTCATTCGTGAGGGTTCCTTCTCTTAGTGCCTTCACTGTGGGCAGTAGGATTTCACACTGTCGCACTTAGCTGCCTCCCCAAAACCTGCTTTGAAACTAGCAGATGTAGTTCAGTAGACATTGACCAGTTGTTTACTGTGTACGAGTCATTGTGATAGTTAAGCATTCAGCGTTGGGAGAAATAGGATATCTCCTCCAGGATCTTACAGTAAGACATATGAGGGGCTGTATATGCGAAGTCTAGACAGCCCATCACAAACCCAGGGCAGTGTAAAAGGCAATCAAATAAAACCAGTCCTACTCTTGGAAAGTGACGAATGAGTCCTTGTGCCACTTCAGATCTATAAGAAATAAAGCCTTGGCTGATTCTGATTTGTTCTAGGAAGTAATATCCAGGCAGGTATTTCTCAAAGAATGCATTTCCAAGCCTACACAACAAGAATTATCATGCCTTGTACCTTGAGTAGATATCCTACATCTTGATTATCATGTATGTTGCATAGGTTTTGAGTCATAACAAAGATTATAATTGGTAAGAGGGTGCCAGTGTTTCTCCAAAGTCTTACTTCATCTGGTGATCTTATTTGGAGAATATAGTTGCATTCATTAGTTTTTATGCTCCACTTGGCTTGCATGTTCAACGTGTGATAACACTTCATATTTGCCTTAAAGTACTGTCTTGAAAAAAGAAAATTCAGAAGGAAAAAATACTTAGTAAATATTTTAAAACAAAGCATGTCCCCATTTAATGTAGACACTTAAAAATATATCAGAGTTTCAGAACACAAGATTATCTAGAAATTTTGGCCCATTTAAGCTTACAAAATGTTCATCTTGCAACAGCTACCAAATTTATCACTTGCTTTTGAATGATTACCTTAAAAATATAAGATAGAATTCTTAACATCCACATTTGAGAGCATCTAGGAAAGCAGAATGGTCCAATGATGATCCTGGCTCATCATCAAATACTTAACATTGCATTATCCAGTATAATTTTAGGACTTCTGAGTGTGAATTCCTTTGATAAGTTGTGTTTTGCTTTAAATACACATAATATTTGGAAAACCTAAGCCTTCCAAAAGCAGCTATTATAGCTGTCATCCGAAAGGTTAATTTCCCTGTATTTTGCTCCTTGACTTAGGCTTGCCTGCTAGAAAACTTCAGAATGGCTATTGCAAGCACCTGTCCCCTAAGGAAGCTGTCTGCACTAGCTGTTGGCCCCCCCACCATGGAGGGCAAGCAGGTAGATGCAGAGCTGGGTGTGCTCAGGCAGGGTTAGAGGGGCACACACAGGCTCCTTCCCCACCGCTGGCCTCCCCTGAGGCTGGTGAGCTTGCTTCCCAAGGAGCAACCTAGGAAGGAAGCGTCTCGACCAGAAACCCACTGAGTGGGCTCACAACACCCATGGCCTCCTAGAAGCAGACATTTTAGAATAGAAGATCTTGAACTAGATCAAATGTAAATCTGAGGCAATAGGAGATTTTTAAATATGTAAATTGTGACAACTAAATAAATCAGCTGTTGGCTGAGCATTTATTTTTGCTGGTGCTTGTTCTAAGTGCCGTAGGTCTGCCTTACTTAGTCCAAGTAGACCTCTGGTAGGAGTGATTGTTACCCTGACTTAACTGATGAGAACACTGAGGCAAAAGGGACAACCATGTGACCAGGACCTCTCAGCGAGTGGGTGATAAAACCGGAGTGACATAGATTCGTCATCTTGTACTAGCTCTAGTGGGATTACTCGAGGGACATGATCCTCCACCCACCAGAGCACTCGGTGACACCCGAAGGACCTGGATAGCGGAGAGACACACATCTGGGTTGGAATTCTGACCATATGACCTTGAGGTCACATAACCTCTTGGACCTCAGTCCCTCACCTATAAAGTTAATTGCGATGTCTAGTACGTTGTGGATGCTCAGTAAGTCGAAGTCAGTCATTATTAGGGAGCTCACCTAGCATGTTTAGTATTGGGGCACTTTTATAAAGCTTGGGTTTACGTACTTATTGTTGGAACTTACCCAGCATATCACTTAAAATCATCTATTTTTATGTAAACCGCTATGCCTGAGACTTTCACATTTGCCGTTTTCATAAAAACCACATAGTAGTTTTCCTTGGAACACAATGATTATGGATGGTATTGTGACACAGAGGGCACACACCTGGAATGCTGGCGTCTCATGTGAGTGCCTGTTTGAGTCCTGGCTGCTCCACTTCTCATCCAGCTCCCTGCTAATGCAATTGGGAAAGCAATGGAAGATGGCACAAATCCTTGGGCCCCTGCCACCCAGGTGGGAGACCCCAGATGGAGTTCCAGGCTCCTGGCCATCTGGGAAGCAAACCAATGGTTGGAAGATCTCTTTCTCCCTCGCTTTCAAATAAATAAATAAATCTTTAAATGGGGGGAAAAGCAAAAAAATGTTTCTTCATAACCAAATAGAATGTGGAAAATGTGACCAATTTAAGTGTGAACTGGCAGTTTCTGTACTCAGTATGCACCATGTAAAGAGATTCTGACTTGAGTTGTCAGCATCTTACTTAGTGAAGTGTAATTTCTGCTGAAAGTGTGGAAATGATTAATTGTGCTTGTCTGTTTCCTAGGTTTTAAGCTCCAAACTCATGCCAACAGCGGATGATGACATGGCGAGAAGCTGTGCAAAATCCTTCTGTGAAAACTTCCTCAAAGCAGGAGGCTTGAGGTTAGAGTTTGAATGCAGTGTTATTCAAGGTGCAGGCAATGGTTTATAGGTATTTTAGTTCTTTTCTCCTGTAAGAAATGGGGAGGTTGACAAGCTGTCGTGTGAAGCATTGTGCGAGCCCCAACAGGAAGGAAGCAGTGATGTTCCTGTCCTCTAGATCAGTGGGATTCATTTTGTGAGTGTCGGTTATTTGAACAGTGTACAGAAGCACATCTCTTTCTCCTCTGCTAGTGGGGGAGGTTGTCAAGAAGAACCGAGGTGGGAGTATTAAAACAGAGCCACGTCAAAGTCCTGGTGGGAGGGGAGCCAGAGCACCATGGAGCGTTGATGATGTTTATATAGCGTGAGTTAAGCTGAGAACTGAGACCTGAGCAAAGATTGTCCCGGTGAGTAAGAGCAGAAGAGAAAGGGCACTGTGAGCCAAGGTGCAGGGCGGCCTGGGTGAAAACCTGACACTGTGGCTCCTGTCTGCCCGGGAGGCCCAAGAAGAGATTGAGAGAGAACTCTGCCTCATAACGTTGAGGACCTGGATGTTATCTTGCAGTCCGTGGGAAAACAGGTCCCCCTCTAAGCCAGCAGCCACCTAAAACAATCACCCTGGCAGCAGTGGAGAAGGTGAGTGGAAACGAGGCAGGGATGACAGCTAAGTGCTCTGGTGGTGCTCCCCAGAAGAGAGACAGGGCAGGAGTAGAGTGGCATCTGTAAGATGTAAGCTCGTCTTTGTGACTAGTTAGGTATAAGATAGGGACATTTATTAAGTAGCCTATAAAATAGCTTAAGAGAATGGGTGAGTGGTTAGGCTTACACACACACACACACACACACACACATAGACATATGTATATTCTTTTTTTAAAAAAAATTATTTTATTTATTGTAAAGAGTTACAAAGAGGTAGAGCCGGAGAGACAGGTCTTCCATCCGCTAGTTCACTCCCCAAATGACCACAATGGCCAGAGCTGAGCTGATCCAAAGCCAGGAGCCAGGAGCTTCTTCTGGGTCTCCCACACCGGTACAGGGGCCCAAGGACTTGCGCCATCTTCCACTGCTTTCCCAGGCCATAGCAGAGAGCCAGATTGGAAGTGAAACAGCCAGGACTCAAACCGGCACCCATATGGGATGCTGGTGCTGCAGGCTAGGGTTTTAACCCACTGCGCCACAGTGCCAGCCCCCATGTATATATTCTTAATAGACACATAAGCATACATATTTATGGATTACAGTATGATATTTCAATACATATACCCTAATGTGTAATGATCAGATTATAGTGATTAGTGTATCCGTCATCTCAGACTCGTATCATGTCTTTGTACTGGGAACATTCAGAATGAATGGTGAGTCTATAGGCAGTTTGGAAAGTAAACATTTGGAGGATAGAAGCCACAGAAGCAGGAAAAGCAAATTTGATTGTATCCCTTTGAGTCATGTGCAGTGGGTGGCTGGGATGTGGGGCTCAAGGGAAGGGTGGAGGATGGGATGGAGATTTGGGAGTGGTGTTGGTGTGTTAAGCCAGCAGGCACGCCCCAGCTGGCAGGGATGAGAACCAAGTGGAAGGAAGGAAGGAGGACAATGAGTAGAAAGCTCTGCTTTCAGGTCTGTGAGAGACAGGAGGTAACGGTCCATCAAAGGGAAGAATACCTGCAGGAGAAGTTTGCTTTTCTGTTTTCAGAGTGTTTTCTTATTTGTTTTCTTTGGTTTGTTTTTGTTTTTGTTTGAAAGAGAGACAAAGATCTTCCATTTGCTAGTTCAGTTTCCAAGTGTGTGGAACAGTTGGGCGCAGGCCAGGCTGAAGCTGGGAGCCTGGAACTCAATCCAGGTCTGCCACGAGGGTGGCAGGGACCCAACTACTTGAATTATTATCTGCTGCCTCCCAGAGTGTGTGTTAGCAGGAAGTAGAGCCCGGAGCAGAGCCCAGACTTGAACCCTGGCCCTCCCAGATAGCATGTGGGAGTGCTGAGTGGTTTCCTAACTGCTGTGCTAAATGCCCAACCCTGCTTTTCTGTTTTGATTTTAGTTTGTAGAAGACCTGTTCTGTTTATTGTCTAACTTAAATGGGCCACTGATGGAGAAAAGAATAAAGATCAAAGAACAAGGGGAATTTGGCAGAGCTCAGTTCTACTGTTGAGAGATTTGCTCTAGGAAGAAGCAGCATGCTATTTCTCTGGGCAGGGAAGCAGTGAGGATGAACTTGAAGCTGGGGTGAAGGAAGGATAGTTGCAGACTTTCCTGTCTGGAGGTCTGGTGGGGAAGGGAAGCTGGGTAAGGACCCTGAGGAGATAGAGGAAAGGAGAAACAGGAAAGGCAGGGTTAAATAAGTTCCCAAACTGTCAGGGAAGGCCTGGTGCCCATATGTAGTTTTATTCTTTGCTTCACACCGTAGACGTATTCCTGGGAAAGACTGATTTTAAGTTCCTGAGCTATTGACAGGGCTATGATAATAAAGGTATTTTATTTTGGCTCATTTGTTTATGTCAGTTAATTCCCCACCAGCCATTGTTTTAAGCACTGGAAGCAGAACAGTAAGTACGTTAGATCAAAATCCAAATCCTCATCAAGCTTACAGTCTGGAGGGGGAGACAGATAATAAGCAAGTAAAAGCATAGGTCAGATGATGATTAGAGCTGTGAAGAAAAATAAAGCAGGAAGCAGGGATGGAGAGGGTTGTGGGTTTCAGTAGGGTGATCAAGAAGAGCTCCAGTGATGTGTGGTATCTTCCAAAGACCTGAAGGAGATGCGAGAGCGAGCCTCATGGAGATACTGGGCAGGGGCGTGGCAGCAGCCAGTGTGTACCCTGCTAGTGAACGCCCCTGGTACCCGTGGAGTCCAGAGGGCAGTGTGGTTGGGGCCCAGTGCTTGAGCTGTGGAGGTCCCAGAGGTTGGGTTGTGTAGGATCTTGCAGGCTGCTGTGAAGACCCTGCTCTTTTCTGTGCAGGAACTAAGAAGCCACTGAAGGAGTTTGCACAGAGGAGCAATGTGGTCTGCCGTAGGTTTTAAGAGGGTCACTCCTGTTGATCATTTGAGAATAGGCTTGGAGGGTGGATGCCAAGGGCAGAAACAGGAAGAATAGTTAGGAAGCTTTTGCAATACCAGAGGGTGTAGTGGATGTGGGAAACAGCATGATTAAATTATGGCTATGTTTCTGAATTGAGAGTTCTGCTGGTATCAAGATAGCCAAGTTCAATGTGAACCCAAACCAGTTAGTAAGATGGTTTTATCTGAACACTGAGGGTTATAGGTATCATAGGAAATCATTGTTAAAGAAATGTGCAGAGTCTGTTTATATGTAAGAATCTTTTTTATTTTTTAAGTTTTCATCCATTTGAAAGGCAATGAGAGACAGGAAGAGAAAGAGATCTTCCATCTGCTCATTTATTACCCAATAGCCACAATGTCTAGGGCTGGCAAGGCCGAAGGCAGGAGCCTAAAACTCCATCCAGGTCTCCCACGTGAGGGCAGAGACCCAAATATTTGGGCCATCTTCTGCTGCTTTCTCAGGCACATTAGCAGGGAGCTGGATTGGCAGCAGAGCAGCCGAGACTCAAACCAGTGCTCCCCTATAGGGTATGGTATGCCAGTGTCAGCATAGACAGCATCTCACCTGGTGTGCCACAGTGCTGACTTCATGTATGACAATCCTTAAGAAACTGGTAACATTTATGAGCAATTGTGTTACTTGCAGAAAACATCCACCAAAAAAATAGAAGTTTTGAGGGCCAGCATTGTGTCTCTTGTGTCACAGTGGTTTAAGCTGCCACATGAGATGCTCACATCCCACATAAGAGTGCTGGTTTGAGTCCAGGCTACTCCAGGCTCTGATCAAACTTCCTGCTAATGCATTCTGGGAGGTAGCAAATGATGGCCCAAGTGGTTGGGCCCCTGCCTCCCACATTTGAGACCTGGGTGGAGATCAAGGCTTGTGCCTTTGGCATGGCCCATCCCTGACTGTTGTGGGCATTTAGAAAGTGAACCAGCAGATGGAAGATTAATCTCTGTCAGCCTCTCTCTGTCTCCCTCTCTCACTATGCCTTTCAAGGAAATAAAAATAAATTTTTAAATTTTAAAAATAGAAGTCTAATATCCTGCCTTTTCACTTTTCTTGGAAGTTTGGTTGTCAATGTCATGCAGAGGGACTCCATTCCATCAGAAGTAGACTATGAAACAAGACAGGGCGTTTATTCCATCTGTCTGCAGCTTGCAAGGTATGTTGATGCATGGTGTTGGTCTCACAAGGCAATACCTGAGTTTATTTTCCTTCCCAAATCATATTATTCTAAATGTTGTAAAGTGAAGTAATCTGTACAAGTCTGGCTTTTTTTTCTTTTAAGATTTTTGTTGGTTGGACAAACAATGCCCACGATGCTAGATGAAGACCTCGCTAAAGATGGCATCGAAGCACTTTCTTCCCGCCCGTTCCGCAATGTCAGCCGGCAGACCAGCAGACAGATGTCCTTGTGCGGCACCCCAGAGAAATCATCCTACCGACAGCTGTCAGTGTCCGACAGGTCTTCCATCAGGGTGGAGGAAATCATCCCCGCTGCTCGAGTGGCAATACAGGTGAGTGCCCGTGCTTCCAGAAACTGGGAAGCACCTCTTATTTGGAAGACCCTATTTGGGGGAAAGGAGATATAAAAATATAAAAATGATTAAGATGTGAATAACCTGTGGCTATCATGGAAGATTTTAGATTGGAAGCAGCATTTGCAGTAGACATTGACAGCTAAATAGGGATTCGAGACCTAGAGATAAGTATTTAGGATTGGAGAGAGATTTATTCATGCAAAGGGGAGGGCATGGGCAAAGTTATCAGAGTTTGGGGCTGACATTGTGTCACAGAGGGTTAAACCCCTACTTTCAACATCAGCATCCCATACCAACATGCTGGTTTGATTCCCTGCTGCTCCACTTCCAGTCCAGCTACCTGCTGATGTGCCTGGGAAGGCAACAGAAGATGGCCCAAGTATTTTGGCCCCTGCATCCACATGGGAGACCTGGATGGAGTTCCTGGCTCCAGCCTAGCCCGAACCTGACTGTTGCAGCCACTTGAGGAGTGAAACAGCAGATGGAGGATTTCTCTGCCTCTCCTTCTGTCTGTGTTACTCTGCCTTTCAAATCAATAAATATTAAAAAAACAAAAACAGAATGTGGGAAGGGGAAAGAGTGAAAACAGGACTGGTGATGGGTAACTTGAAGGCAGAGCACCAAGAGCAGAGTCTGTAAAAGAAAACAGAGCAGTATGGCGGCATGGAAAAGGCTGGCCTGCATGGTGTAGGAGGGAAAGTCTCCCAGAGCAGAGCAGGAAGAAGGTTATAGAAGTCGTGGGATGTGTTCTGTTCTCCTGACACTCTCTCCGTGCTTCATTAGACAATGGAAGTGAGCGACTTCACCTCCACTGTGGCTTGTTTCATGAGACTGTCATGGGCTGCGGCTGCTGGGCGGCTTGACCTCGTCGGGAGTAGCCAGCCAATTAAAGAAAGTAATTCTCTGTTTCCTGCTGGAATTCGAAACAGACTCAGCAGCTCAGGTACCAATTTAAAATAGGACAGTAATTAGAACACTGGGTAAGAGGTTGCCATCAGAGTCGCTGTGGTTTGTCAGCGTCACAAAAGGCAGAGCACGTTTTTCTTTTGAGCTGAGTGAAAATTCTTCAAGCCATACGCCTAGTATTTGTGCACATTGCTTCATTTATTGTGTAAATCATACATCATTTAAGAAAACACCCGTTCCTAAATACATAAAGTGGGGAAAAGTGAATCAAATCCATTTTAGCTGAACCAAGTATAAAGGTGTCAGGAGGCCAATAATTGTGACTGCAGTGCAAATCCATCCAGAATTGTGACCTGGGAGACAGTCCTTTCCTTGGTGTTTTGAAAAATTTGACATACACACAGCAAAATGCGGGAATGCTAAGTGTCCTGGATTTTTACGTGTACAACCATATCTAGACCAAGTTGCAAAATTTCTGCTATCCCAGGAAGCCCCCTCGTGCCCCTGAAATTGCACTCTTCTTTTTTGTCAGCCGGCATTAACTTTGGCTTGTGAACACGTTTTGGGGTACTTGCAAATGTGCGTTGAGGGCAAAGCTGTCAGGGTGTTTCGAATGCAGTGATTCAGTCTCGTTTCTCAGACCACAGTGCTTTCTTGAAATCCTGCATGGGATGATGGAGACACCAGGGGTCGGGTTAGGCAGTGTCTTACAGGCTACTGTAAACACTCTGCCTTTTTCTGCATGGGAAGTCGGAAGCCACTGAAGGATTCTGTGCGGAGCGGTACTGTGGCCTGGATTATATCCAGTTGATCTTTTGAGAACAGACTTGGAGGGTGGCGGGTTCTGGACTGTATTTACAGGATGTTAGAGTACACACTGTTCCTGCAGGGCCCTCAGCAGACATCTGCTTGCCCTTTTTCAGGCAGCAATTGCAGCTCTGGGAGTGAAGGGGAGCCTGCAGCCCTGCATGCTGGCATCTGCGTGCGGCAGCAGTCCGTGTCCACCAAAGATGCACTGATTGCTGGTGAAGCCCTGTCCCTGCTGGTTACGTGCCTGCAGCTCCGGAGCCAGCAGCTGGGTATGCAGGAGGCTCGCGGCGGGGAGGGGGGTCCCGTGGGGCCAGGCCAAGTTCCTTCTGGGAATTATTTATAGTTCTTATGGATAAGGTCCTGTTAATAGAAAAGCAGAAGGGTTGGCATGTGGAGTAGGTGGGACGGGTGCCGGTATTCATGTTTTCTTCTGGAGGAGCATTGACTGAGCACTTGGATAGACAGTTGCCCTGCAGGTGATACGGGCACTGTCTAGTCGCAGAGTTAAAACAACCCAAAAGCAATTCATCTTCGTGGCTGGCTTCGACAAGCTGGGGCTGTTGCTCATCATTCTTCAGCATCGCAGCAAACCCAGGCTCTGTCCCTGATGATCTCTTCTCTGTCTACTTCATTCCCCTGGTGCTCTCATCCAGGGTCACAGCCCTGAATGCTATCTGGATGCTGACAGCACCTCTGTGTGGGTGTGGCCTGGACCCCTCCTCTGACCTGTCCACCTCGATATCATACAGATATCCCAGGTTTACCTTCTGCAGAGTGGAGCCCCTGATCTTCCCCATAGTACCCAAGAGATTTCCCAAGTTAGTTATTTTGGCCAAAACCCATAGCATCCTTGATTCTTTTTTTTCACACCCTGCTTCTAGCCCATCAGCCCATTCTTCCTCAAACTGCACGTGGCCTGCAGCTCTCAGGACCCCCTTCATGTTAACATCCCTTTAAGTTCTGCCATGTTTCTTACTTGGATTGCAGCCACACTGTCCTACTCATCTCCCTGCTTCTACCCATGCAGCGCATTATTTACACGGTAACCACAGTGAGCCTGCTAAACTAGAAGTCCTCTTTCCAAACCTTCTGGTGGCTCCTCAGTTCACTCAGAGTAAAAGCCAATACTTTTATTAAGGTCCGTACATCCTACCTCCACGACACATATGCCTTGCCCTTCTCCCCCTCCCTCGCTCGCTCTGTGTCAGCCACCCGAGCCTCCTTTCTCAGGGCCCTGGTGTTGACTGTTCCATCTTTCTGGCATGTCCTTTCCCCTCTTTCCAAATGGTTCTCTCTCCCTCATCTCCTGTAAGTCTTTGTTTACATGTCATCTTAGTGAGATGTTCCCTGACCACTTAAAAAAAAAAAATACAGCCCTTCCTTTGCTCCAGCAGTATCCAAACCCCTTTACCTTATTATTTCTTTTAATAATATGCAATGTAACTTACTTTCATAGATTTTTGTCATCACCCTCTCCTCCACTAGATTGCAAGCTGCGTGAGGTCAGAGCCTTTTGTCCGTTTGTGCCCTGCTGACTCTCCAGCCCCTAAGCACTGCCTGGTGTGTAGGACAGAGTTTTCACAACCCCACTTTGGGAAATTGTGCCCACATGTGGGAGCTGACCTCTAAGCTGTTACTGCTGATTTCAGATGCCCTCTATGTAGAAATGGTGATTGTTATGCATTGAGTGTAACACCCCACCCAATCACATAAATCAGATGTAAAGATAATCAAACAGAGAGAGGAAATAAGACATTTGTGGGACTTTCAAATAGTCTCTAAGATTATTTCCTGTGAGCAAGAATGCTTTTGAAGGTTTGTGCATGGGAAGGACAGGTTGTTGCAAGATGGCTTTTGAACATCTCATGCTCTGAATTGGGTTTGGCTTGGAAATAGTTTCAGAGCAAGAGGACGGAAGTGTCAGTTCTCTCCAAGCTTTTCTCTTTTATTATTTGTAAGTTTATTTTAGGGTACATATTGCTTTTTATAAGTGTTTCTGGTTTATTAAGGGAATACATGTTTATTCTGTTGCTGGTATGTGCAGGGCATTGTGGGAACAAAGCTAAGACCAGATGTGGGTCCTGCTCTTGAGCACCTGAGAATTGAGTCGATGGGCAGACATGGAAGCAGATGTGGAAGGTCCTGAATTCTGATCCACATAAAAGAGATGAATTTCTGTTTAAGTTGAGCTTAAGAAATTACTCACAATTGTTAAAATGCGTTACCTAACTTAGTTCTTTTTTATCCCCATTCTCCTAATTTCTACTATTTAGCATCTTTCTATACCTTGCCCTGTGTTGCTGATTTTATCATCGATATTTTGCTGGGATCGCCAAGTGCTGAAGTAAGGATTTTTTTTCATTACTCATGAAACCCCTTTTGTCATATTCTATTTGGGGCTATCCTGGGTACGGGTGACATTGTGGCGAGTACAGGAGAAATGACATTTAGTCCTGCCAGGGACTCACAAAGACCACACTGAAAGACAAGGGAGCATTCTGCCACCCCTTCCATATCCCACCAAAAGTTAGGAGGCCAGAGTTAGGATTCGTGTGTGTTTGTAACAGATCTAATGTTATGGCTGGTGTGCAGCAACTGCAGCTTGCAAAGGCAGCTGGTGTTAAGTGTCAACATACTGGGAAAATTCAGGAAGAACAACTTCAAACCATAAACTTCCTTTAGATTTGAAAACTCTAATTTTGTGATGTGACCTTGAAAAGTAACTTTTCAAGAGGTTTTTCTTGTTTTCATTTACATTAGCTTATTAAGTAGAATAATTTAAGAAATCAGCTTACAAACCACACTTATTTTTAATTAGCCCTAGTTTATTCAATGGAAATGTTACCATTAAAACATGAAGCACTTGTGCCTTGCAGTATGGTCCAGTGCCCTGGGTAAGTAGTGTGGTCTTGGGAGGAGAATCACTTTGGAGCAGTCTCAGTGCAGGCTGGTATCTGTCATTTCAGATTCGCCGGGTTGCCTGTGATCAGCTGTACACTCTGAGCCAGACGGACACTTCTGTTCACCCAGACGTGCAGAAGCCAAATCAGTTTCTCCTGGGTGTCATTCTCACAGCTCAGCTGCCTCTCTGGTCCCCAACCAGTATAATGAGAGGCGTCAACCAGAGGTGCGTCATGATGATGAAAAACTCACAGTAAACAAAGAGTAAATACTGTGTGTTCTGCTCCCCTAAAGTCCTCAGTACCTAATTGAGGTAATGTAGTTTCTCCTTCCTTCTTCTGACATCTCCTTGAAAGTGGGGTTTGTGTTTTTCTCTCCATTCGGAACAGGAGATTTGAGGAAACACTACCAGGCTTTCTTCTCCATCATCCCCAGTTTTAGTGAGCCAGGTCCCTGTGCAGAGGTCACACTGCTTCTGTCCCCCTGTGTGTCACTTTCTTGGCCCCGATGCTTTATAGCTCCATTCCGAGAGGTCGCTGGGGTGTCCTCCCAGCGTGCTTTCTTGGCTTCAGACATGCCTGAACTCCTGGTCCAGGCTCATTGCGTGACTCAGGCAAGTCCCTTCTGCCTGCCACACCTTGTCTCTGCAGGCTCATCTGCATGCCACGTGTTCTTAAACCTAGGCCCAGGGGAGGAGGTGCGGGTCGCACATCAGCCTCAAGCTACGTGGCTTTCTCCAGCTCAGCCTCACAGACAGCCCCTGCCATGGGGCTGATAGGTGCCATGGAGATCTATGTTTATGATTTTAAAAAAAAAAAAAAAAAAAGATTTACTTTATTTATTTGTAAGACAGAGTTACAGAGAGAGGTAGAGACAGAGAGAAAGGTCTTCCATCCTCTGGTTCACAACCCAGATGGCCGCAATGGCCAGAGCTGCACTGATCCGAAGCCAGGAGCCAGGAGCTTCTTCTGTGTCTCGCACGTGGGTGCAGGGGCCCAAGGACTTGGACCATCTTCTACTGCTTTCTCAGGCCACAGCAGAGAGCTGGATCAGAAGTGGAGCAGCCAGGACTAGAATCAGCACCCATATGGGATGCCTTGCTTCAGGCCAGGGCTTTAACCTGCTGTGCCACAGTACTGGCCCCTGAGTGTATGCTTTTTAAGTCAGAGTCCTAGAGGAGGGACTCTAACATATAAGTGTCCAAGCCTGGACTCAGTTTTTTTCTGTGACAAAACATACAAAACAAAAGTTTTACTATTTCAACCATTTTTAAGGGTTCAAGTCAGGGGCATTAAGTACATATACATTGTTATGCAACCAACACCACCGTCCATATCCGGAACTTTTTCGTTATCTCAAAATGAACTTTGTACTCACTGAACAGTAGGTGCCCCGTCCTCCCTCCTTCTAGCCCGGAGCAGCCAGCATTCTACTGTTGTCTTCATGAATTTGACTAGGTACTTCATATAGGTGCACTCTTGTGTATGTTTTCCCTTGTATGTCTGTTTTTATTTCTTAGCATAATGTCCTCAAGGTTTACCTGAGTTGTAGCATGTATCATAATGTCTTCCTTTTAAAGGCTGAATAATGTCTATGTGAAGACCGTATTTTCTTATACATTCATCTACACTTGGATGTTTGGGTTGTTTCCATGTTTTGGCCATGGTGAATAATGCTGCGACCCCTTTTCAGTCCTATAGGCTGTCTTCTTGAGGCCCAGGCTGCTAGGCCTAGGCCATCTGGTAACTCTGAGGACCCACCTGTGTTTCCCAGTGGCCATCCCATTGTACTTTCCTACCAGCTGTGTAGATGTGCTGGGACTCCTCCCCATCCCAGCAAGCTCTTGGATTGCTGTTTGTTGTTTTATTGTTGGTAGTGGTGGTCCTAGTAAGTGCAGAATGTATCTATTTGTGGTTTTGATTTGCATTTCCCTGCTGATAAGTGATGTTGAGCATCTCATTATGTGCACCTGTTCTTTGGAGAAGTATCTATTTAAGGCCTTTGCCCATTTTACATTGGATTACTTTGTTGAGTTTTTTTTAATGTGTCCTAGATCTTAATCCCTTATTAGATACATGATGAGCAGATATTTCCTACCTTGTTACACAAGTTTTTTGCTTTTGGTAAAGTACAGGGTATTCCAGTTTTACTTTTTTCATCAGTGCTTTTGGTGTCATCCAAAACATATGCCAAATCCTGAGTCATAAAGCTTTTCCCCCTCTGTTTTCTTCTAAAGATCTTACAGTTCTAGCTCATTTATTTGGGAATTTGATCTAGTTTAATTGAAGTTTTGTATATGGTGTTAGGTAAGAGTCCAGCTTTATCCTTTTCCAGGTGATACCTAGTTTTCCCAGCACCATTTTTTGAAAAGATTGTCCTTTCCTCATTGAAAAGTTTTGGCATGCTTGCTGAAAATTGCCTGATTGTATATACAAAGATTAATTTTGAGTTCTTTATTTCGATTGCTTCTGTTCTTTCCGTGTCCTGTTGGCCTGGACACCTGTCTTCACGCTAGTCCACACTCGTGATCACAGTGGCATCTCAGTGACTGCAGCCAGGAGGCATAAGTCCTCCGACTCTGTTCGTCAAGATTGTTGTGACTGTTTAGGTCCCTTTGCAGTCCCTTGTGAATTTTGGGATGGGTTTTTCTCTTTCTACAAATGTCACTGAGATTTTGATAAGGGATTTATTAACTCTGTGCATGAGTTTGGGTAGTATTAACACCTAAACAAGATTTAGTCTCCCAAATATGATCTCAGGCTATCTTTCCATTTGTTTATGTCATCTTTAATTTCTTTTAGCAGTGTTTATGTTTATAGTTTTTGCTGTGTAAGTATTTCATTTTCTTAGTTAAGTTGATTTGTAAGCCTTTTATTCTTTTTTGATGCTATTATAAATGGTATTGTTTTCTTGATTTCTTTTTCAGACTATTTGTTACTATTGTTAAGAAATGCAACTGAATTTTTTTGTTGTTGTTTTTTTTGTTTGTTTGTTTTTGAGAGAGAGAGAAAAATAGATACACCTGGCGAACTTGGGTGTATGTGTTGGGGGGCAGCCAGGATGCTGGAGCTCTCTTGTCTGCTTGAACAGCTTCCCATTAGGGACTGAAACTGAGAACTGGGTCTCCCACATGAGTGGTAGGAACCCAGTTACCAATTAGCATTGCCTCCCAGGGTCCCCATCAGTATTAAACTGTAGTCAAGAGTCAGAACTGAACTCATGCACTTGAATGTGGGATGTGGGTGCCTGAACTACTAGACTAAATGCCTGCCCCACAACTGATTTTTGAGTGTTGGTTTTGTGTCCTGCAACTTTTCCGAATATGTTTATTAGTTCTGACAGGTTTATGTGTGTGTATGATCTTTAGTATTTTCTACATATAAAATTATGTTATCTGGGGCCAGTGCTGTGGCTTAGCAGATAAAGCCACCACCTGCAGTGTTGGCATCCATATTTGAGTACTGGCTTCTCCACTTCCAATCCAGCTCTCTGCTATGGTCTGGGAGCACAGTGGAGGATGGCTGAAGTCCTTGGGCCCCTACACCTGCATGTGACACCCAGAAGAACCTCTTGGCTCCTGGCTTTGGATTGGCCCAGCTCCAGCTGTTGCAGCCATTTAGGAAGTGAACCGGTGAATGGAAGATTCTCTCTCTCTCTGCCTCTGTCTCTGTCTCTGCAACTCTGCCTTTCAAATAAATAAATAAATCTTTTTTAAAAAAGATCATGTTAGAAGCAAACAATTTCATCTATTCCTTTCCAATTTGAATACCTTTATTTCTTTTTCTTGAGGAATTGCTCCAGCTGGAATTTTTGACATTATATTGACTAGGAGTGTAAAAGCAGCCGCCTTGTTCCTCTTTCCAGTTTGAGTGTTTTTCTCATGAAAGAGTGTTAAGTTTTATCAAATGCTTTATCTACATCAAGCGAGGTGATTGTGTGTTTTTTCCTTCTTCTGTTAATGTGTTATTACATTGCTTTTCATGTGGGCTCATCCTTGCATTCTAGGAATGGATCCCCCTTGTTCATGGTCTATGCTTTAAATGTTCTGTTGTGTTTTGCTAGTATTTTGTTGAGGATTTTTGCATCAGCATTTTTAAGGGATGTTAGTCTGTTAGCTTTCCTGCAGTGTTTTTGTCTAGCTTTGGTGACATGGTAATGCAGGCCTCATACAAGGAGTTAAGAAGTGTTACTTGCTCTTCAGTTTTTCTAAAAGAATTTGAGGGTTGGCATTAACTCTTCATTACATGCTTGGTGGAGTTCACGAGGAAGCCATCTGATCCAGGGCGTTGCTTTGTTGAGTGGTTTTTATTACTGATCTATCTCCCTCCTAGTCATAGGTCTACTCAGCATTTTTTTATTTCTTCCTGCTTTCGTCTTGGCAGGTTTTTCTTTTTGAGGAATTTGTTTCATCTGGATTATTCAGTTTGTTGCTGTCTTAGAAACCTTTTTATTTCTGTAGTAATGTCCATGCTTCCTTTTTTTTCTTAGTCTACTCTGACATTTGTCAGTTTTGTTGATCTTTTTCAAGAACGAACTTTTGGTTTCACAAATTTTTGTGTTGTTTTTCTACTCTTTATTTTACTTATTTCCTCTCTAATCTTTATTATTTCCTTGCTTCTGCTAGCTTGGGATTTAGTGTGTCTTTTTCCTAGTTTCTTAAGGTGAGAAATTAGATGGTTGATTTGATGTCTTCCTTGGTTTTGAATGTATCCAATAACTTTTGGTATGTTGCATTTTTATTTTTATTTATGTCAAGATATTACTGATTTCCTTTGTGATTTCCTTGAACCATCCTTGACTTTTTTAGTAACTACTTTCTAGATGTATAATCTACAGAATTTCCTTAATAAATGTTTTTTGTAAGTCTTCATTACAGGATTAATTGTGTATGTCAGTATTTGTTATGTACTCATGCTCTTTTTTTTTTTTTTACACTTGATCTTAGCCAAAAGGCTGAGAAGCAGTGTTTGTTTGTTTGTTTTTAAAGATTTATTTATTTACTTGAAAGGTAGAGTTACAGAGAAGAAAAGGCAGAGAGAAAGAGAGAAAGGTCTTTCATCTACTGGTTTACTCCCCAGATGGCCGCAACGGACGGAGCTGGGCCAGGAGCTTCCTCCGGGTCTCCCACGTAGGTTCAGGGGCCCACAGACTTCTGCCATCTTCTACTGCTTTTCCAGGCCATAGCAGAGATCTGTATTGGAAGTAGAGCAGCTGGGACTTAAGCCGGCACCCACATGGGATCCCTGCACTGCAGGCAGTGGCTTTACCTGCAACGCCACAGCACTGGCCCATCTCATGCTCTTTCTAATATTTCTATATAGAAGATCCCTGCCCACATATCTAAGTCTCAAGACAATAGTATTTTGAAGCATTTAATTTTCAAAGAAAATGGTCTGACTTTTGGTTTCTGAGCTAAGATCTTTGTGGATGATTTACAAGTGTTTAAAAGGTAGAGGCTGCTGTTCTTCTGATCCAGCTCCCTGCTAATGTGCCTGGGAAAGCAGCAGAAGATAACCCAAGGTAGTTGGGCACCTATACCCACAGAGACCTGGGAGAAGCTCCTGGCTCCTAGCTTCAGCCTGGCCCACCTCCAGCCATTGTGGCCATTTGGGGAGTAAACCAGCAAATGGAAGATCCTTCTTGCTGTGTAACTAACTTTCAAATCAATCAATAAATCTTTTTTTAAAAAGTAACTGAGGCCGGCGCCGCGGCTCACTAGGCTAATCCTCCGCCTTGCGGCGCCGGCACACCGGGTTCTAGTCCCGGTCGGGGCGCCGGATTCTGTCCCGGTTGCCCCTCTTCCAGGCCAGCCCTCTGCTGTGGCCAGGGAGTGCAGTGGAGGATGGCCCAGGTGCTTGGGCCCTGCACCCCATGGGAGACCAGGAAAAGCACCTGGCTCCTGGCTCCTGCCATCGGATCAGCGCAGTGCGCCGGCCGCAGCGCGCTGGCCGCGGCGGCCATTGGAGGGTGAACCAACGGCAAAGGAAGAACTGTCTCTCTGTCTCTCTCTCTCACTGTCCACTCTACCTGTCAAAAAAAAAAAAAAAAAGTAACTGAAACTTTTGTTATTAGTCTGCCATCAAGATTTAAACTGAATGAGGTGTTAACTATGTATTCTAAATTCCAGAGAATGGTTTTCCCCCAGTAGACATGCACATTAAAAGCCATAGGAGGCCGGCGCCGCAGCTCAATAGGCTAATCCTCCACCTGCGGCGCGGGCACACCGGGTTCTAGTCCCGGTCGGGGCACCGGATTCTGTCCCGGTTGCCCCTCTTCCAGGCCAGCTCTCTCCTGTGGCCTGGGAGTACAGTGGAGGATGGCCCAAGTCCTTGGGCCCTGCACCCGCATGGGAGACCAGGGGAAGCACCTGGCTCCTGGCTTCAGATCAGCGCAGTGCGCTGGCCGCGGTGGCCATTGGAGGGTGGACCAACGGCAAAGGAAGATCTTTCTCTCTGTTTCTCTCTCTCTCACTGTCCACTCTGCCTGTCAAAAAAAAAAATTTTTTTTAAAGCCATAGGAATTTCTTTATTTGCCCTTGTACATTTTTTTACTTTAGAATTCTAATGTTTCCTAGCTAAAATATTACTAAACAGGTGGTTCTTTTATCTGAAAGACCACTGGTTCCGAGTTTTAATGTTTAAGCCACTTTTAAGAAGATAAAGCTGTTGGGCATCCTTGTAGAGAGGGTCAGTTTATTTAACATAACTGAATTTTAAGAATTTTGATGTGATATTAGATTCCGCTAAGCTTGGGAAAGAAACAGAAAGTCTAAGATGAAATTTTAAACATGTACCATCAAAGAATCTCTTTAAAATACATTGAATATAGAGCTGTTTAATTTCACATGAAATTGAATCTTTGTGTATTTGTGTAATTTCAAAAATTATGTCTAGTTCCCATGTGTGGTATGTTTGCCCTTAATAGTAATGATGACAACAGCACTTACCATGAGCCCACTGAGTGCCACACAAAGTGATAAATTCTTTACATATGTTTGTCATTTAATCTTCAGAATAGCCAAATGAGTTTGACAGTTTCATCTCCATCTTTTTTAACCATAATTCTTGGTTCATTATATATTCTCATCATTAGTCCATGTGTGGGCCTTTTATTTATGTTTGTGTATATGCATGTGTTTTTATTTTAGAAATTAGAAAACTGGGCCGGCGCCGTGGCTCACTTGGTTAATCCTCCACCTGTGGCGCCAGCATCCCATATGGGCTCCGGGTTCTAGTCCCGGTTGCTCCTCTTCCAGTCCAGCTCTCTACTGTGGCCCGGGTGGGCAGTGGAGGATGGCCCAAGTGCTTGGGCCCTGCACCCGCATGGGAGACCAGGAGGAAGCACCTGGCTCCTGGCTTCAGATTGGCACAGTGCCGGCCATAGCAGTCATTTGGGGAGTGAACCAACGGAAGGAAGACCTTTCTCTCTGTCTCTCTCTCTCTCTCACTGTCTATAACTCTACCTGTCAAATTTAAAAAAAAAAAAAATTAGAAAACTAAGAGATGAAAGTGAAGTAAGTTGTCCGTGGACACCCAACTATAAGTAGTGGAGCCAGGATTAGAACCAATGTCTGTTTCTAAAACCTGTATTGAAAACTATTATAATTGCAGAAAAAGCTTCCTTGATGATTCTACATAAAACAACTTTCCTGTCTCTTTGTCCTCTTACTCTGCTACATATTTCTTTGTAGTACTTGTCACCACTTGGCATGTACGTCTATTTGTTATTTGCTGTCTGTCTCCCTTTTTCTTTTGTTCACCGTTTTCCTGAAATAGTTGCAGGTATTTGATAGGTACTTAGTAAGTGTTGGTTGCTATTTGAATGAATGAATATGATCAGTGCATTATGTATGTGATCTGTTCATGTTACTTAAAAATGTGATAGATTTAGTAGGTTTCCCTCTATCTTTATACTGTTACTCCTATCTGTTTTACTAAAATTACTGATGTAATTTGTGCCGAAATACAGAATTTAAATTAATATAAAGTAGTTTTATCTTACGCTTAGGAAGAGTGTCAATTGTGTAACTGGAATCTATCTGTTTTTTAGATTATTATCTCAGTGTATGGAGTATTTTGATTTAAGGTGCCAGTTATTAGATGATCTGACAAGTAAGTAAACCCCTAACTTTGATTAGGGAGGGTGGGAGAAAGCCAGATGGGCATTTGTAATTTGACTTAAATATCTCAATTGTAAATGAGGTTATAATTATTGCTTTAAATTGCATTTTAGGAGAAGGTATGGCTCTGCAGTTAAGTCACTACTTGGGATACTTGCATCTGATATGGGAGTGCCTGACTCAGGTTCTAGCTACTCTCTATTCTAGCCCAGCTTCCTGCTAATGTACGCCCTGGGGACAGCAGGTGATAGATAGCTCAAGTACTTGGATCCTGCCACCCACATGGGAGACCCAGATTGAATTCTGGGCTCCTGGCTTCAGCCTGACCCACCCCTGGCTGTTGGGGACATTTAGGAGGTGAACCAGCTAATGAAAGCTCTCTCTCCTTTTGTTCCTCTTCTCTCCACCCTCTCCCTCCCCTCCCCTTTTTGTGGCCTTTCAAATAAAGAAAAACTGAAAAATATTTGTTAAGTTGAATTTTGTTTTCTTGAAAATTATCACATATAAATTTGTGTAGCATTGAGCTCTTATTCTGCTTCATACTCAACTACTTATGTGTTGAGGATTTGTTGTTTTGTCTTTGTCTTTTAAAAAAATTTATTTCTTTTTATTTGAAAGTCAGAGAGACAGACATAAAACAGTCAAAGATTTCCCATCTGCTGGTTCACTCCCCAAAAGCCTGCAGCAGCCAGAACTGGGTCAGGCCAGACCCGTGAGTCCAGAACTGAATTCACTGCTCCCCCTCGGCAGTGCAGACCCAAGTGCTTGAGCCATTGTCTGATGCCTCCATTAGCAAGGAGCTGGATGCAGAAATGTGCTAGGATTCAAACCTAGACACTCTGATATGGAATGCCAACAACACCAACCACTTGCCCTGATTTGTTGATTTTTAAAAAGTGTCAAAGGCTCATATTTAATTACGGAACTGTTAGTAAGGGTCTTTCTCTCCAGTATAATCTATTCTGGCAATTTTAAAGGTTGATCATTGAAAGAAAGGGAGTCTCTATTGAGGCATGTTGGTAGTGATAGTGATAGTTAATTATGCGGTTGTAGTATCACTGTTAGAAATTCTGTTGTTGGTGTGTTAAGATTTTTATCATCTGCACTTACCCTTAAATCATACAAAAGTATCTTGGAATGCTCAGTGTAAATTTTAGCTGTTCACCTCAAGGGTTTGTTTATTCTCACAATCTAGCTTAACATTAGGTTTTTCAGCCAGGCTTCAGTGACGGCTGGGTGGCAGCCATCAAGGTTTTATTCTCCTAGTGTGCTTTTTGAGGACTGGAATCAAGAATTGCTAAACATATACAACTTTGGAACAAATGAATGTTTATTAGGGTAGACTCTCTGTCTTGGTGTCTGATAATTGAGGGATCCAGAATTTCTTATAGAATCTTTGGGGTTAGAGGATTTAATTCTAGGGAATTTGTCTTGAAACTCATAATATTTGCCAATTTGATAATATTTTCCAGAAGCCTGCAGTAAGGTAGTTAGCACCATTGTATAAAAAGAGAAATGGGTCACACAGTAAGCAGTAGAGACAGGGTTCCTAGGTGCAGCCAGCCAGTCCAGCTCACTGTGGCCCTGACGTATGCGCCTTTACTTCACGAGGAGCCCCTGCTGGCTTCTCTGTGTAGTGCAGTGGGAGTAGATCATAGTCACTTCCTCTGCTCTCTAATCCCTACTTCCAATATGGAATTTTGCTTTAATCCTTGTTGAAAGGGGAAAATGAGATACTTAATGCAAAAGGACCCAGAGTTTGGCTCCTTGTATAGAAACCTGGACTCCGGCTGCTGTGTTGCTGCCCTTTTTCTCATTTGCAGAGCAAGGTAACACTTGCTTCCTTCTCCAGAAAGCTCTGCTCCCTGGGACTGCTGTGTCACTCGGCGCTTGTGCAGAGTGAGGAGTGTCCTGTGTCTTCTGTGCACAGGGGAGCGAGCAGCTTTGTTGCTTTATGCATGAAGGTGTCTCCAGAGCCTCCGTGAAAGACCAGAGAGCTGGAGTCTCCTGTTGGTTCATGACGGGTTTTCTAGATGCATAATGGATGGGAATAATCAGAAGTTAACTTTAGCTCACGACTGTGACTCTGTGACATCAGGTCCTTCTTTCTTTGTAAAGAATATGGTGTTTTCCCTTTCAGCTTCAGAAATGGAGCAGCTAAGAATCAGCCCAGCTACCATGCTTGAAGATGAGATTACTTGGCTGGATAACTTCGAGCCTAATCGCACAGCTGAGTGTGAGACCAGTGAAGCAGACAACATCTTACTGGCAGGACATTTACGGCTCATTAAGACCCTTCTTTCACTCTGTGGGGCAGAAAAGGAAATGCTTGGTAATTATTGCTCCGTCTTACCGTGTGGCAGCAAACCTCAGTTCTCAGTCATTGCCACAGTGTTGTGTGTAATTGGAAAAATAATATAGGTGCTAAATGTTCCATGGAGAATTGACCCTTCAGGCGGTAGAAAATAGTCTGGAGTTTTAATGGATAATCAACTTAAGGTGTATCTCACCTGTATCATTTAACTGCATAGGGAATGTTGTGGTGTTCCAGATGGTTGAATAGCATGAATTCTTAATACCAAGTAACAGTTACAATTCGAAGTAGGTGTTTCTCTTTTTACTGTTATGTGCTTTGTAGTATCTGATTTACTGTATGTCTTACTACTGTTAAGGGTGACTTTCACCTGGGAAGATTGCCCCAGCTGCTGCCACCATCCCCCTTGACAGGGTCCAGAGGAGAGTCTCCTGGAGTACACATGTAATTTACAGAAATATCAGCTATTCAGAAAACAATTCAAAAATTAAATATCAGTTTTGTAATACAAACTCTGCTATACAAAATCTTGGCTGCCAGGGAATACATGGAAAAGAGTGATTCTCAACCCAGGAGAGGCAGGCGTATCATTTTTTCCTGAAAAAAGCAGGGTTTCCAGACTCTCAAAAACCCTTGTGTGGGCTTGCCTGTGCCCAGAGTACAAATTAATCATTTATTCAGACGGTTCTGCCTCGTGATACTCTTGGCACTTGTTTCTAAAATGAAGCTTGACCCCTTTCACTGTGTCCTAGGCTCGTGAAGGCAGGCACCCTCATGGATCTGTGCTTATATCCTGTCCCCTGGCCCCTCCACCACACAGAGCCCTGCCACGTAGTCAGCGCTGAAAAATTAATCATAAACTTGAGCCAAATGCTCTGCTGTTGGGCGGCAGGGGGTGCCTTTGCCTGTGTGGTAGGAAAGTGAAGACAGGATCCCTGAATTAAAATGTATGATCACCCTCAACGTGAATTTATGCTCTGTTCCAGGTTCATCACTCATTAAGCCATTATTAGATGACTTCCTTTTCCGAGCTTCTAGAATTATTTTAAATAGTCATTCTCCAGCCGGCAGTGCCGCCATCAGTCAACAGGACTTTCATCCAAAGTATGGAAAATGCACGTTGTGTTCAGTTTTGGTAAAAATTCTCATTCGAAACTTTAGTCCAAAAAGATTTTCTTAACTTGGAGTTTGCCTTCCATGTTGTGAGTCTGTATCTGATGAGGGATTATATGCTGTGAGGGGAAACACACGTGAGTGGGCTTAGGACGAAGCCTACCCGGAGCACAGAAAGCGCCAAGCAGGGGTGCTGGTGCTGCTGCCGTCATCCAGAGGGGAGGGTGTGTAGTCAGTGGCTGACACGTTCCGGGAGGGACAAAGGCTATGACATCCTGTGTCCAAAGTGAAAGGAAAGTCTTGGGGGTTTGCACTTGTGGTTGAACCTTCTGAGTCTTGACCACATTCTGATAACTGCAACTACTAGTGATTTATGACAGTCAAAACTTCAGAACAAATTTTGTGTTAATTTTTATGGGTAGAAATTGGAAAGATCCCTTTGTAATGTTAGCCGTGAGTGATGTTTATTTATACCCTTGGAGATAGGAGCAGGAGGCAACTGCAAACTACCATCCCATTTGCTTTCAGTCTCACTTTGTTCTTTTCTCATGAAAACCAGAATTAATTGAGTAATCCTGAAGAAACTGAGAGTTTGGTATTTACACTGAAAAAAATCCTGTACAATTTCAGTGGTTATTGAAATGGGTGAGGCTAAGCAATATTTTGTGGAATCTTAAGAATTACCTTTTCATGCATAAATATTTCTCTACCTAGAGATTTCTTGTTAGCAGAATCTGCTCTCGTTTAATGAGCCCTTCCTTAGAACTTTCAGGACATTCCTCCGTCCCCAGTCTTGCCCCAATCTTCGGGGTAGGCAGTTGTATGCCAGGTCCGTGGGAGACTTTCATTAAAGCAACAGAAATACACGAGTATTTTGATTTTTCAGCAAACATAAAGTAAATTTTATTTTTATTAAAATTAATACCTCCATCTATAGGAAGTATTTTTGTTTTATTTTTTAATCATCTGTGGTACCTTGAATAGAAAAAAAAAGGGTTCTGTTTCATTCTTTTCTGAGGTTCTGAATGACATTCATTTATCCTAGTGACTTAACCTTTTCTTGCCAAAACCTTAAAGCCAGAAAGAGACTTAAAGTATTCAGAACTCTCTTTGGCAGTAACACCACTCTTACGTCACAGTAGCAAAAACATCCTTAATGTTTAGCCTGTGTATCTGGTACTTCCCCATTCATTTCCTTCCTGAGCTTTGCAACATTAAGTCCCAGCAAGAAGCAAAGACACCATCTCCATGGTCGTCGTCAGCAATGCTTGGCGTGGTGTCGCTCCAAGAGTCCCCTGGCCCCTCGGAACGCCTGCTGCACTCCTACGTGCTCCTCTCAGGGTTGGATGTCCTCTTTTCTGTGTAGCCTTCCTAACCTGTGCCCCCTTGGTGATACAAGGTTGGCTTAGGTTACAGTGAGAAATTGCTGTCCACCCTGAAGTGATTTCAACTGAAAGGGGGGCAGTAAAGGAAGCCTTTGGTTTCCTGCACAGTGCGTGCTAATTATCTTTTATGTCACTTTAAACAAATTGATTGGCAAAGTACATGCTTCTGTTTCGATCTTATTCAGCAAAGAGGGAAATTGATTGTGTCCTTGAAGAATTTTGATCTTCAGGAACATAAAATATACATGCGTGTCTTCTGAATTGCGTAGCTTTCTTTTTCTGCCAAGTAGATTTTCAGATTTTAGGGTAATAGCCACAAAAATCTTTTGTCTACCTACTTTAATTGAAAGATAGTTATTTCCAGGCAGTGTTTATTATAAAGTTTCAGACTCTTTCCCTTCCATTCTTGCTACTGTATTTCTTAGGTAAGAATGCTGTGCAACAAGCCATGAAAGAATTCTTCGACTTTGTCATTGGGCCATATTTATCCTCCCTGCTCTTCCGACTTCAAGATTGCTAGACTGGCTAGACTTGACTTAGCAGTGTTTGAGGAATTGCAGCTTTTACACTTGTGTTTCAAATGTTGACTGAATTAGTGAGGTATTGAAGTTGATTATTCATTGCTGAAATAGACCTGTATCTGTTATTCTTAGGTGTAGTACAGTGAATAGCCGATTGGCAGCCTATGAAGTCCTTGTAATGTTGGCTGATAGTTCACCTTCAAATCTTCAAATTATTACGAAAGAACTACTGTCTATGCATCATCAACCTGACCCTGCCCTTACCAAAGAGTTTGATGTAAGTTTTCTAGAATTTATGCACGTAATATTTTTAGAATGACCTCTTAAACATGTAGTTTTAAGACTGTGTTAATGGTTTCCTAACCACAAAAAAATGTATTTTTTTGCTTACAATGTTCAGGTATTCAAATCAACTATAAACTACAGCATCACACCAACATACCAGAGTACACTGCAAGACTTACATACCCTTTTAGTTAAAGAGGAAGAACATTTTGGTTTTTTTCTTTTTTTCCTTTTTTTTTTTTTTTAAGATTTATTTATTTGCAGGAGTTACAGAAAGAGAGAAAGAGGGAGAGATAGAGAGATCTTCCATCTGCTACTCACTTCCCAGATGGCCACAATGGCCAGAACTGAGGCAGGCTGGAGCCAGAAGCTTCTTCCAGGTCTCCCATGTGGATGCAAGGGCCCATGTACTCGGGCCATCTTCCTCTGCTTTCCCACACACATAAGCAGGGAGCTGGATTGTAAGTGGAGCAACCAGGTCTCGAACTGGTGTCCATATGGGATCCTGGCACCACAGGCAGCAGCTTTGCTCACAATGCCACAGCACCAGCCCCAGGAGGAGTATTTTCAAGGTGTTTAATAGTTATCTTCAATGAAAGGTAGCATCACAACCTGTGTTTGAGTCACTTTATGCTAAGCATAGTGCAGGTACTAGAGATAGAGTCAAGTAAACATTTTCTGTGTCATAGCACAGTCTTTGTTCAGTTAGATTCTACAAAAACTTAATTGAGTTTACTGTGCACACAAGGGGGGTTAGGTTTCTGGAGCTCAAAAATGAAAATATGATCCCAGCCCCCAAGAAGGTTGGTGCATACTGGAAGAGACCCATAAGCAGATCCTTTCAGTGCAACATAAGATAAAATGTATCCTGAATGTTTTGCCAACACAGAAGCACTTCCCCACCAGCTGCTGGTGTCATAGGAGGCTTCTTAAAGAAGATGAACCCTGAAACTTAGTGTTAAAGACAGGTGAGCCAGTTGAAGCCAGGTGAGAAGGTCATTCCATTCCAGCAGTGAGAACAACATGAACCAACCAATGGGGCCATACACAGCTCAGTGTCTGCAAGAGGGAACTAAATTGAGGGTGCACAGGAATCCCAGACCAGGAGGGAGAGAACATTTTAAAAGCTGCCTTTGCATTCTCTGCTAACATCCTGGAAAGTCAGACTTACCCCATATGTACCTGACCTGTATATTATGAAATATATAAGTTAAACAGGAAAAGAGGTGGGAGAAGATGTCCTCGGTAAAGGAAATAAAAACTTTAAAAACTTAGAAATGTGAGAGCACATAAACTGGGAACTGTTTTGATAGCAAAACACTTAGTTTATACTGCTTTAGTCTGTAATACTTTAGCTTTGTATTCCCCTATTTCATAATCAGATTAAAATGAATATTTTTGTGTTTTTCTAATAAATCAGGGGCTATACCAGCCTAATGAATAAAATATTTCTCAGAGAAATACTTTTTTACCACTACTGGGAACCAATTTTTCTTATTGTGTGATACCCTCTTTTTTTTTTTTTAATCTGTACTTTGGACTGTACAAATAAATCCGAGTTGATAGATCCTGGCAAGGCTCCTGCTGTGAGTGTCAATGGAAAGTGTGTAATATTTAGTGACTACAGGTTCTTGGTGGCTGTTTGGTGTTAGGTGACTGCAGGCACTTGATGTGTGTGGGGAACGCGATGCTGGTCGTACATGAGAGCTAAGCTCCTGTTGCAGCATTTCAAAGTGTCTGATTACAGCACCGTTTCTGCTTGGAGAAGTGCCATCCAGGGTGCCTTTTCTGAATTGTTTCTACCTAGAAAAGCACTGTACTAGGTTTTCATTATTTCAAAACCTCTGTAAGTGAAATGGTAGTAGAGTGCTTACCCGTGTAACTGCATGCTTGTTAAGAGAAGTTTGATAGATGAATGTTACCTTCTTTAAAAAGAAAGGAATGAATATGAACCTTCCTTGACCTTCCACACTGGTTAGGCGTCTTCATGGTGAACACTTCACAGACCCTTGCTCCTTTTTTCAGCATCCTACCTCAGGTTGTAAGTGTGTGTGTGTGTCCTTGAGTCATGCTTGTGTACCCTTCCAGGCAGCAAGATCCTTGAGATCAGAGACTGTGTATGTTTCTGCTCTCTGACATATCCTAGGTGCAATGCCTGGCACGTGGTAGGCCCTTCCTTAATTTTTGTTAAATGATAACCAAATGACTGAGTGCATGACTACATAAATGGATAAATGCACACACACTTGTCGATGCCAGGTACTTTATGAACAGAATAGAAACATCGAGGTAGTACTGTTTTATTTGGTGTCTGCAGGAGTGTCTTTATAAACCTGGGTTTTGTAATGTGAGTTTTGCAGTGCTGGATGGGTGAGTCTGAGAGTCCGTCTTTCTCTCAGACACCTCACATAGCCGTGGTGGAAATGTGCCTGCAGCAGGTGCTCATCTCTTCCTGCACTGTTTCTGTTGCTCTCCCCCCAGTACCTTCCCCCAGTGGACAGCAGGTCCAGCTCAGGCTTCGTGGGGCTAAGGAACGGCGGCGCGACTTGTTACATGAATGCGGTCTTCCAGCAGCTGTACATGCAGCCCGGGCTCCCCGAGGTGACTTCCTTCCTCTGTCCTGTGGGGTTTCCTATAAGTAGACATCACTGGGATTCTTTCTCCGTAGCCTCTGAAACCTGTGTAGACATAGTGTTGATAAACACACATTTCTGTAAATCTGTGGTTGTAATATGCTGCCTGTATGATGGATGGACTTAGCTTCATGTGAGTTTTGAACTCCAGATTCATATTTGAACTCCAAATTCTATTCAGTAGAAGTAACATTTAAGAACTGTATCATCTCTCTGTTACTACAAAAATACAGTAGTAGCTGGCTTATGATCAGCAGGCAGTGGTTCTGAGAGTAGTCCATGTGTATCAATTACAGTTACTTCTCATAGAGATCCTGGTGTTACAGCTCCCAGTCTTTCATACTCAAACGGAGGTTCAAAGGGATGATTTGTTTCTAATTATATCAGCTAGGAAGTATTGCAGCTAAAAAGAGGCAGAGCTATACCCATATCCAGACACAGATAGCATTCTAAAATAGCAGTGTGGGCGCTCATGTGTACACATGTCAAGGTTCCTTGTGAAGCAGTTACATAATTTGACTTACTCTGTTTTTCATTTTAGTCCTTGCTTTCAGTGGATGATGACACGGACAATCCCGATGATAGTGTATTTTACCAAGTGCAGTCTCTCTTTGGGCATTTGATGGAAAGCAAGCTGCAGTATTATGTACCTGAGAACTTTTGGAAGGTAACTCTTTTTAGATGTCAAGCTATTAAATATTTGGAGTTTAGCTACTTTCTTTCCATTGTGATAGTAATTTCTTGTCTTTACTAAATATCTTTTTTAAAAAAAAAAAGATTTTATTTATTTATTTGAGAGGTAGAGTAACAGACAGAGGGAGAAAGACAGACAGAGACGTCTTCCATACGCTGGGTCACTCCCCAGCCGGCCGCAACGGCTGGAGCTGGGCCGATCTGAAGCCAGGAGCCAGGAGCTTCTTGTCTCCCACGTAGGCCATCTTCTACTGCTTTTCCAGACTATAGCAGAGAGCTGGATTGGAAGTGAAGCAGCCGGAACTGGAAGTGGTGCCCATATGGGATGCCGGTGCCACAGGCAGAGGATTAACCTGCACCACGGTGCCAGCCCCATTTCTTGTCTTTATTAGCTCTGGACTAATCCTGATGCCAGGAACCTGAATTGGATATACCATTCTTAAAATTGGTGCTTGGTTTTAGATGATGACAGTATTGAAAATAGTCATTCATAACTCCTAAGAATTTGCAAATCTTAAATTACTTTGAATATTCCTCATTCTTTAGTTCTTTGAAATATTTGTTTAGGGGCCGGCGCCGTGGCTCACTTGGTTAATCCTCCACCTGCGGTGCTGGCATCCCATATGGGCGCTGGTTCTAGTCCCGCTGCCCCTCTTCCGATCCAGCTCTCTGCTGTGGCCTGGGAGGGCAGTGGAGGATGGCCCAAGTGGTTGGGCCCCAGCACCCATGTGGGAGACCAGGAAGAATCTCCTGGATCCTGGCTTCAGATTGGCGTAGCTCCGGCCATTGCGGCCATAGGGGAGTGAACCAACAGAAGGAAGACCTTCCTCTGTCTCTCCCTCTCATTGTCTGTAACTCAATCTCTCAAATAAATAAATAAAATCTTTTTTTAAAAAAAATATTTGTTTAAATAATTTCTTGAGGGGTGGATGTTGTGGCACAGCAGGTTAAGCCGTTGCTTGGGATGCCCACATCCTTTGTTGGAGTGCCTGGATTGAGTCCTGGCTACTCTGTTTCTGACCCCGCTTCCTGCTAGTGCATCCTAGGAGACGGTGGATGGTGGCGCAAGTGCTTGGGCTCCTGCCACCCACATAGGAAACCTGCATAGAGTTCCAGGCTCCAGACTTTGGCCTGGTCCAGCCTTGGCTATTGTTTTCTCTCCTCCCACCCTATCTTGTCCCCTTCCCCTCCCTCCTTCTCTCCCTATGTGTGTGTCTATACCTTTTGAGTAGATTAAAATAAATAAACATTTTAAAAAGCCAATAAATAATTGCTCTGAACCTGTGCCAGTCATTTTATGACTGTGTTTCACAGACTGGAAGATTCCCTTGTGTTTTCCCCTATTGGTTGATTAGTGTCAGTGAGCGAAGCTGTTGCACAGTCTTAGATCTCACCACATACCCACCTCTGGGTTCAGAGACTTGCTGTGATTACAAGGGCCAGGGGGATGCCTTGGTGGCTAAATGGTCTCGTCCTGCTTCAGTGAAAGCATCCACATCCTGTTAACGAACTTGGTTTAGAAATATTTCAGGGCTCTTTCATCTATTTTATATTCTTTTTCTACTATATTCAGAAATTTCTACTTTTCCTTTAAAATCTACTTAATTCTTGTTACATAGATTTTCAAGATGTGGAACAAAGAACTTTATGTGAGAGAACAGCAGGATGCATATGAATTCTTTACTAGTCTCATCGATCAGATGGACGAGTATCTGAAGGTAAAGAAAATTACTTTCCCTCTGACTCCCTCAAACTCTTATTACAGTATGAGAACAGTCTCTCAGGATTTAGGATCACTATGAAACTAACCACACAGAAATTGATCATCTTTAACATCACTATGATAATTATTTCTTCTGGGTTTAAACATTAAAACATGCACAGATTCCTAGAATTACATAATTCTTCTGAATTCATCTAACACGATGAGGTATGTAATTTTTAATCCATACTACAAAATAATAGCCAGTTGTGCTTGCATGTTGCTGCCATGCCTCCCTGTACTCCCCAGTCAGGCGACGGCCCCAGGAACTTAGACAGTTCCCTGGCAGAGAGGACAAAGGGACAGGATGAGAACGTGATTTCACTGCCGTTTAAACGGAGCTTTCTCCCTGCACCCAGACAGACCTTCTGAATGGTGTTGACTTCCGGACAGCGGAAGTGGCCTTTCGGCAATAGACACAATTTGCTTATTTCCTTTTTTGCCATAACTTGTAAGTTTGTAGCATTTATCCTAAGAACAAAGAAGAGATTGTAGGGAGTTTCTGCTCACTGGGCAGCTGTGGCACAGAGAGCAGATCAGTGTCCTTGTGTCAGCGCCTCTGCCTGTGTGCATTTCTGTGACAGTGGTCTAATAATGGGATGTTAATTAGCTTCCATTGGTTCCAACGTCACTTCTTTTCATTTTGATGATGAAATTGAAATCTCTGTTACAACTGAAGTTTTAGGGACATCACTTAGAACTTTAACTTTTTATTCCAACAGAAAATGGGGAGAGACCAAATTTTTAAGAATACTTTTCAGGGCATCTATTCTGATCAGAAGATTTGTAAAGACTGTCCTCACAGGTTAGTGGTGATATCGCTGACATATCAGTGGTCATCGTTTTTAAATGATCTTTCTCATATGCTGTGAATCTGTGGAATGACTTACAGATACCTCTCTCATCTATAAATGTCTAATTTATTCAGTTTCTTTGGTTCCCATTTCAAAATTTTTTTGTGTGGCCTTAACGTACTTGTTGAAATCTGTAAGTTTAAGCAGTTCTAAGTTGTCGGCAATTTGGGGTCCTTGTGTGTGTTTTCTGAAAGACTGAGGGAAGGTCGTGTGACGTCCACTGGGGGTGAGGGTGGTCTTGTGTTCATGCTCTGGGAGACTTTCAGGTTCCATTGCTGACTGGGCTTCCTGCCGTCTCCTCCTCAGGTACGAGCGTGAGGAGGCGTTCATGGCCCTCAATCTCGGGGTGACTTCCTGTCAGAGCCTGGAGATTTCCCTGGACCAGTTCGTCAGAGGAGAAGTCCTGGAAGGAAGCAACGCGTACTACTGCGAGAAGTGCAAAGAAAAGGTGCCGTGTCTCCCTTGTACAGCAAGGTTACCTTGTTCACAAGCCGTCTGTTGTTCACAAAGTTAGCGTTCGCTCCTGTGGTAACTTCCACTGGATTATGTCCTTACTCGTTTTCACATGGGTGGGAGCGACCTTAGTGTTGATTACATGGCTGTTTTCTTCTCTCCCTGGAGATAATTGGTTTTTACTTTTCTTTAGAGAATAACAGTGAAAAGGACCTGCATCAAGTCTTTACCTAGTGTCTTGGTGATTCACTTAATGAGATTTGGATTTGACTGGGAGAGTGGACGCTCCATTAAATATGATGAACAAATAAGGGTAACTGGATTTTTTTAAGTTTTATTTTTCTGAAATTTCTCTCTAACCAGTAATACCTCACTCCCTTCTTCACTTTTTCTTCCTTCTATTTTCACATTTCATCTTCCATGTGAGAGGTGGGTCTCAGTATCATGAGAAGCCCCCAGCTTCTGGTCTTAAGTATCTGCTCCAGCAAGACGGCAGATCTGTGAACAGGAACCCTGGTTTCTAGATGGCATCCCTAAGACTCAGCCCAGACTCAGCCTTTCTGAGGTCTTGGGCCTGAATCAGAGAGCTGGGTAGTACTAACTTAAATTAGGAAACCACATCCTCTTGCCTGTAACTGACGGAGTTGTGGACTGCTGATCAACGTCAGTGTGGTCTTCTGTCTTTACGTAGTTTCCCTGGATGCTGAACATGGAGCCTTACACAGTTTCGGGAATGGCTCGCCTGGATTCATCTTCTGAAGTTGGTGAAAATGGGCGAAGTGTGGATCAGGGAGGGGGAGGATCCCCAAGAAAAAAAGTTGCCCTTACAGAAAACTACGAGCTGGTGGGTGTCATCGTACACAGTGGGCAGGCACACGCAGGCCACTACTATTCCTTCATTAAAGACAGGCGGTAAGTGCCCAGTCCCTTGATCAACATGTGTCATCCCTTCCCTACTCTATCACCTGTGTTTAACTGCAGTGCAAACAAGCAGGCACTCTGTGTCGTTTTGATAAGTAAGGCCCCTTTAACTATTCTTACCCCTTCAATTTGAAAAGTTGTTTTAGAAATTGAAATAACTTGGCCGGCACTGCGGCTCACTTGGCTAATCCTCCACCTGCGGCGCCGGCAATCCGGGTTCTAGTCCCGATTGGGGTGCCGGATTCTGTCCCAGTTGCTCTTCTTCTAGTCCAGCTCTCTGCTGTGGCCTGGGAAGGCAGTGGAGGATGGCCCAGGTCCTTGGGCCCTGCACCCGCATGGGAGATCAGGAGGAGGCACCTGGCTCCTGGCTTCGGATCGGCGCCGGCCGCCGTAGCAACCACTTGGGGGGGTAAACCAATGGAAAAAGGAAGACCTTTCTCTCTGTCTCTCTCTCTCTCTCTCTCTCTCACTGTCTAACTCTGCCTGTTAAAAGAAATTGAAATAACTTGCTGCATTTGTCTTGGGTCTTTTCAGATGGTAGTTGCCTGCTTTATCTGTAGACAGCATGCAGGGAGACATGCAGAGGATGTTTGTTTTAACCTTATTGTGTCTGATCTCTGGGCTCTAGGGGGTGTGGAAAAGGAAAGTGGTATAAATTTAATGACACAGTGATAGAAGAATTTGACCTAAATGATGAGACCCTGGAGTATGAATGCTTTGGAGGAGAATATAGACCAAAAGTTTATGATCAAAGTAAGTATTTATAATGTAGGCTTTTCATTATTCTAATTTTTAAAATTTTTTAATTTGTAGTTTTTGCTCATAGTAGAAGTACTATTGTTTTTACTAAAGTACAACAGATTTCAGGGCAGGCGTTGTGGCACAGTAAGTTAAGCCACCTCCATCCCATATCAAAGTGCCTGGCTCAAATCCCAGATACACCCCTCTTCCCATCCAGCTTCCTACTGATGCACCTGATGGCCCAGGTGGTTGAGTTCCTGCCACCCACCTGGAAGTCCTGGCTGAAGATCCTGGCTCTTGGCTTCTGCCTGCCCCAGCCCATGGTGTTGCGGGCATTTGAGGAGTGAATTATCCACCTGTTTTGCTCCCCAAAGGCCTGTAATGCCCATCATGGAGGCTGGGCTGGAGCTGGGAACTCAACGCTGGCAGGACCCAATTATTTGAGCCGTCAACCAGTGCCTCTCCAGCTCTAATAAGCAGGAAGCTGGAGTCAGGCATCCTACCCAGGCACTGCAGTATGAGACTGCACATCTGCAGGCCAGTGCCTGACCTGTCACCTATACTTTCAAAACCATATTTATGGGTCTGGCGCTGTGGCACAGTAGGTTAATCCTTTGCCTGCAGTGCTGGCCTCCCATATGGGCGCCGGTTCTAGTACCAGCTGCTCCTCTTCTGATCCAGCTCTCTGCTGTGGCCTGGGATAGCAGTAGGAGGTGGCTCAAGTCCTTGGGCCCCTGCACCCACATGGGAGACCCAGAAGAAGCTCCTGGCTCCTGGCTTTGGATCAGCACAGCTCTTGCCGTTGGCAGCCATTTGGGTAGTGAAGCAGTAGATGGAAGACCTTTCTGTCTCTCCCTCTCTCTGTAACTCTACCTCTTAAATAAATAGAATCTTAAAAAAAAAAAAAATTATTATGCAGTGTGGCAAAGCAGACTTTCCCTGTACAACCCATACCTTCAGAAAAAAAAAAAGTACAAGGAAAAGTCTGTCACAAAACCTCATTAGCGGTGGCTGTTTCAAAAAAGAAAAAAAATCTGCAGAGACCTTAGCCATTGCTGATGGCCAGCTTTGAAACATTCTGGGGGCATTTCTAAGTGTGTAGCTGTGGCAGGTTCACTGTATTCGACTTTTACACTATGCTGTTGTGGTCATGCATCTAGTGATGGTAACCTTTAAGGGGTGAACAGGGTGTCATTGCCAGAGCTGACCTGTATTTGGCCGTCTTTGCAGAAATTTAACTGAGGGCAATTACAAGCCCAACCTGTGCCACAGAACATGTTTTTAAATGTTACTCGCTTTTTACTTAAGGCATGTTCTTTCCTTTCTTCATTACCATACACCTCCCTCTACTCCCTGCCTCCCCTGCTTCAGTCTTAGGAACCGAAGTGTCCTGCTACTTTTCTAAACAGTTCTCAAATACTGCATATACTCTGCGTGTAAGGAATGTAGTCAGTACTAACTCGCTGCATGGATGGGCCTTTGTTTTAGATTGTCAAGACAAGACCTTTTATTCATAAGAATTTTCTTACTGTCTTGTTATAAAGCAAATCCCTATACTGATGTCCGTCGAAGATACTGGAATGCCTATATGCTCTTCTACCAAAGGGTATCTGATCAGAACTCCCCGGTGTTGCCAAAGAAAAGTCGAGTCAGCGTTGTGCGGCAGGAAGCTGAGGATCTCTCTCTGTAAGTTCCTCTTCTGTTTCATTTACTGTGTGATTTTGATACAAGATGTGGTGACCTTCGAAAATACACCGTTGGGGATTTCAAGTTAAGCAGCTAAGCTAGAGTGAAATTCTAAAAATGAATTCTAGAGAGAAAGAAGGAAATTAGCAGACGGTCACTGGGGCTCCCTGGTTGCTATTTCCCTGGCAAGAAGTTCTGTTGCATTTAGAAGCAGTCATATGAAGTAGTCCTTGCCGTCAAAAATGGAGGGATGGTTTTTATGTCAGTAGCACTTCTTGAATATACTTTGTGTCCACAGTACAGTACTGTGCCAGCCCTGTCAGAAAGTCAGCCCTTTGATCCGTGTGGTCAGGAGAGAACGCTGTGTGAGTGTGGCAAGCTTAAATAGCCACTTCTACCAGGTGACTTTCTGATTGTGTCTCAGGTCAGCCCCGTCCTCACCAGAAATCTCACCTCAGTCGTCTCCTCGACCCCATCGACCTAACAATGACCGGCTGTCTATTTTAACCAAGCTGGTTAAAAAAGGCGAGAAGAAAGGACTGTTTGTGGAGAAAATGCCTGTTCGAATATACCAGGTAAGAAACATGGGAGAAAAGCTGAACAGGTATCAAAATTCATCTCCCAGGCCCAGGAGCGCCGCCGCCGGCCTGCTTGTGCGCTCCTTGCTCTGTCACTCCCACTTCACATTCCCAGTCTTGTCCCATGAATCGTTTACACCAGGTGATGGAGGTGGCTGTGGGCTCGTGCTACAGAGTAGTAAGAACCAAAATGAGAAAACACCCTCAGGATGGGCCAGCACTGTCAGTGCTACTGTGAGATAGTGGGGTGTCACTGAGGGGAACAGTGCACAGTAGAGTGACCCGTCCTAAAATCCAGAAGGAAAAGCAAGAAGGCTCATAATGTGGGTAAGCCTCATACGACAGTGGTGACTGTTATTTATTGACTGTACACTGTACTGTGTGCTTTCAACAAATCTCAAACTCTTTATTATTTTTTTTTTAAATTTATTTGAAAAAGAGGTAGAGACAGAGACAAAGGTCTTCCATTCATTGGTTCACTCCTCAAATGGCTGCAATGGCTGGAGCTGAACCAATCCAAAGCCAGGAGTCCAAAGCCAGGAACCAGGAGCTGCTTCTGGGTCTCCCATGTGGGTGCAGGAGCCCAAGGATTTGGGCCATTTTCCACTGCTTTCTAAGGCACATTAGCAGAGAGCTGCATTGGAAGTGGGGCAGCCAAGGCCCCAACCATGCCATATGGCCTGGCAGCACTGCGGGCCAGGGCTTTAACCTGCTATGATGCGGTGCTGGCCCCAGCAAATCTCTAATTCTTAAGAGTCTTAATTCTTTAAAAAAAAAAAAAAAGAGTCTAATTCTTAAATATCAGGTTTTATTCCCATTTTTCAGATAGAGAAACTGAGTCCCAGAAAAAGAGGAAAGACCTACCAGTGTCACAGAGCTAGGATTTAAATTCAGAGCTGCCTGACTACCCAGTCTAGATTTTAAATACTAAGTAAACCAGAGTGAAGGAGGCAGCAGGGAAGCATGCTCTGTTTGTCCTTTCCTTCCCAGAATATCAGCCTAGAATTCACCTGCCCTCATATGGTGACTGTTCTTCACCTTTTTACAGCATCTTACATTGGAAAGGAGATTTTTTTTTCTAACTCCTTTTTTAAAACTTCAGATCTTAAGAGAATTATAAATGACAGTTCACTATTTACCTCTAGAAAAATCCTTTCTGTATTGAATATTTACTGTTTCTTGAAAATAATCACTGATTTCCTTTTGTAGATGGTGAGAGATGAAAACCTCAAGTTTATGAAGAACAGGGATGTGTACAGTAGTGATTATTTCAGCTTTGTCTTATCTCTAGCTTCATTGAATGCTGTAAGTAGCTGGTTGGATTGTACTAAAGAAATAAGAAGCAATTGTAGTTCAGTGTCTTTGAGCTGAAGCCTTGGGTGACTCTCCTCATTCTTAATATGCAGGTTACATTGTTTAAAATCCCACAAACTGTTACTTCCTGGGTGATTCCGAGATGCGGGCAGTGTTCAGCTTGTCGCATGGTCACCCTGAGTGTGTGAGGGCTCCCGCTTACCAGCTTTTCTGAGTGCACGAGAGGCTGAGTGGCTGTGAGTTCACGTCAGTGGCTCCTGGGCTTCCTGGAGATGAGCGTGTCCTAGTTTAGTCAGATAGTACCACACTGGGGATTGACCTGAAGTACTTCTAAGGAGAAGAACTTCAAGTACCGTAATCACACTTCGCCCACGAGGGAATAAAATGTTCTCAGTCTCTTGCTTATTTAATGTCCTGTCGTGTACATGACCTATTTTGAGAGAACTTCATGAAAGAGATGAAGTGGATGTCTTAATCTTTTTATAAGTTTAAATGGGACATTTTCTCTAATGAAGTGGATGAATTTTTCGTATAAACGTTTAACTTTTTTTCCTGCATACTACTTTTCATTTTGTGACACTGTGCAGTCATCTATAAAATTTCTGTGAAAAATATCCTCTTTTTTCTCCTTCTCTCTTAGACTAAATTAAAGCATCCATATTATCCTTGGATGGCAAAAGTGAGCTTACAACTTGCCATTCAGTTCCTTTTTCAAACTTACCTACGGACAAAGAAAAAACTCAGGTAAGAAGTGGTACTTTGATGCTCTGTTGACAGAAAGCACTGGTCAGTTCTCTTGAAGCTGAATTTGTATATTCAACCTTTCAAATATTATGGAGGTAACTACCTAATAGATGCTTAGGCTGTGTTCTCTAGCTTTAAGGAATCTCTAGTCCAATGGAAAGGATAGTTGAAACAGAAGTAATGGTGGTACAAGGCACAAACTCTGTACCTCTTCTGGAATTGGGAAAAACCAGATACAGAGATTAGATAGGCTCTAAAGCATTGATGTTTTCAGGATCTTAAAAGGCAAAAATAGGGGGACACAGATTGTTGTAGGCAGATGGGAAGAGCCTGAGTGAGAGCCAAGAGTTGCCTAAGGAACTGTAAATGCCCAGCTGTGTCGTGTTCATTCTTGGAAAGCACTCATGGGAGCCGAGGCAGAGTGGTTGAGTTTGGAACTCATGGAGTAGCACCCTGAGTGCCACACAGACTGGGCTTTGTTAGTGGGACATCATAGAAGGTTTGAAGAGGGAAGTGCATTCAGAGCGATGCACTGAGAACTCGGCGTTGACTGCTTCTTCCTCATTGTTGTTTTTATCTCCAGCAACTGGTAAGTGCCTGGCACATGACAGGTTCTGCGCAGAAGTTCTGTGACTGAATGGGAGGATGAAGAGAGCTGAGCAGTGGTTTGTGGAGTATACCTAGAATAAGGCGGGACACTGGGGCAGGGAGACCTGTTAGTAAGACAATGAAGTGCTTGGTTTTTGTCTTTCTCACTGACATTAGTGAGTCTGTTTCCAAGTATAGAGAGGTTTTTGGACAGATGTTTGTATTCAAACTGTTAAGAAAACAAATATATTGCCAAATTCATTTTTATGTGTGATAATCACAGCTATACTAAGTGATCTCAGTATTTATTACTTAATGAAAAATGAAGAAATAATACATTCCTTTCTTTTAACGCATGCCATAGGATTAACTTAAGAAATTTAGTTGGTTACTTTTACTGTGAAATTTCCTCGTGCTGTTTCCATTGTAGACATAGGAAGACAAAGTATTGGTGCAAGGCAATGGGTAGTGCAGTTGTGATAACCTTTATCCTGTACAAATATTTTTCTGCCATGGAGTAAGGATGTTAATGGTTGTAGATACCAAGTATAAAAACCTTGATGTAAGCTGTTGTGAAAGTAGGCATTTTGTAAATGTAAATTAATTGAGCAAAACAAAATGCTATGGGTCAGATCTTTTTTCCAGTTGGAATTGTTTGATAAGATGCAGAAGATACAAATAAAGTCTGACTTAAGCTTCTTCACAAGTTTTTGTCAGAACAGGGGAGGAAGAGTTGCACCATGGGTAACCAAAGAATACAAAGCCTCGCTTCTGGGGGTGTATCAAGCCGTGTTAGTAGCTCCTTCAGTATCTGCTCTATCTCTCCACACCACCCACTGCAGACATACACACACACGCACATAGCTGCGGAGATCAGAGTAACTCTATAGGGTTATTTGTTGGGGCCTAACATTTCTGTCTTTGCTTTTTCTTAAGGGCTGACACTGAAGAATGGATTGCTACTATTGAAGCATTGCTTTCAAAAAGTTTTGATGCTTGTCAGTGGCTAGTTGAATATTTTATTAGTTCTGAAGGGCGTGAATTGATAAAGTAAGTTTTACAATCTTTTAATTAAAAGAAGTTCATGACTGTCACTCAGAGCTGAAGTTTCTCATAAACATTTTTATTTCAACTTGAAATTGTTTTTCTGATTGGAATCCCAGACGAGTGCTGGCTTGCAGCTGCGGCTGCTCCACTGCCAGTCCAGCTCCCTGCTTTGCACCTGGGAAAGCAGCAGAGAGTGGCCCAGGTGCTTGGGCCCCTGCCACCCATACAGAAGACCCGGAAGAGGCTCTCAGCTTCAGTCTGACCTAGATCTAGCCTGTTGCAGCCACTTAAGGAGTGAACCATTAGATGGAAGATTTCTCTCCCTCTCTCTGTGTAACTCTGCCTTTCAAATAAATAAGTAAATCTTTAAAAAAACTTTTTTTTAATTCTCCAAAACCTAAAATTTTTTGGCCACCCACCTGACACTCCGAGTGTTTCTGATTTCAGGTTTTCAGATGAGGGGTGCTCAGCTGGTAAAGTCTGTGCAAGAGCCTGAAATCAGAAATGCGTTGGCCCCAATCATCTTTCAGGAGCGACCCATCCTGTGTGTGTCTGCAGCTTGAAACCTTCGGAGGTTCCTTTGCCCAGCCACCCCCTTTTCCATATGCTGTTGATTTGGGGAGCTGACAGGCTATTTCCCTATGTAACATCGCATATTCTGGATCTATGTACTTTCTCTTGGTGCCTTCCCATGGGACATGATGGGAAATATACAGCACTCCCTTGGGGGCACTCTTTCCAGAAGAGCCAGGCCTGAGTCAGACCTCCAGAACGGAGCATTACAGGAACACTTGCGATCTTCTAAACTTCTTCGTAGTTACCACTTAGAACCTTAGTGGATTTTCAGGAGAGTCTGCCCGTCCGATTGCGTTTGCAGCTACATGGAATGAGCAGGTCTGGAGACTTCAGAAAGCTCCACTGGCCCGGGATACTTGAGCTGACATCTTTGAGTAATTATATTTCTCGAGGAACCTATATTGGGAAGGTTGAGATTACAGAAATCAATCCCTTTTTTTATATGATGTTTCTGTTTTAGAATTTTCTTGTTGGAGTGCAGTGTGAGAGAAGTACGAGTTGCTGTGGCCACAATTCTGGAAAAAACCCTAGACAGTGCCTTGTTTTATCAGGATAAGGTTGGTCTCATTTTTAAAATGTTAATAATGCATTCAGATTTCACCAAATGTTTTGAATTATACATAATCAGAATAGCTAGGATTGGAGTCTGGAAGTTTTGCCACATCTCACCTTCTGTGAACTGACTTTCTAATATGTGCCAGGAAAGAAAGCATTCTGTCCCTTTCTCCCTATATTCCAGAAGTCAGGGTGGGCTGGAATCTAGGTCTGCTTTGGCCCACTTCAAGATTTTCTCACTAGAACACACCCCTTGTAGAATCCTCTCTCAAGAAATTGTATTAGATATCTCTGAACCGAGACTAGCCTGAGTCTCAAAACCCTAATCTAAAACAAAAGCATTTCAAGCCACATCTGGCTTTTTGTCTCTTCACTCATAAGCTGTTGTCCTGATCTAAACCTGTAGTTAGCAACCAGGGGCTCTTTATCCAGGGGCATTGCACAGCAGAGTTTCTTCCTAAGTCTCCATTATTCCCTAATCTGTGTCTTGTTCTTCTGAATTTCTTCTTCCTAACCCTGTCTCCTGGCTCACAATTCCACGTATACATGTGCTAAAACCAGACGATGGTGTTTATTATGTCCTCAGTCCCTTAAGATTTACAATAAGTCATTGCAAATCTGATTGATCAATCTGTTGTTAAGTCCGAGTAAATATAGCAGTTACTTCCCAAGTTTGCTGTTTCAAACAGCTGATACTACATGGAAAACTTTGAAAAATGTTTTTAGAACAAATTGGTTCCTTAGAAACATTGTCAAGAGGCCAAACTAAATCCGAGTTCTAGGAATTGCTGTCACATTCAGTTGTTGGCTTTGGTGTGCAACCTTGAGTGAGTCCTTTGAAGAAGGTGTTGATCAGAACAGTGCCCGGTCTCCAAACAGTTCGCTCATCAGCTGCCTGACCCAGGGTGCACTATTAGGCCAGACAAGCCCAGGAGCATTGCTCAATCCTGGATGAACAAAGAGGTCAAATATGCCCTTTAGGAAGATCCTGGAAGAGGACTGTCTCTGAATTCCAGGAATTAGGGAGTGGTTTTTGATCAGCTTAAGTTGCGTCATTTTCAGACCTGAAGGCAGCATATCTAAAATAGGTGATTGCAAGCTGCTTAGGCCAGTTTGAATGTCATCACTCCAAGATAGCCCTGTGCAGGTTTTCTGAGAGGCATCTCCCTCTCCTCCTTCCTCCTTGCCCCAAACTGAACATAGATAAAGGCAGAATTCCTGGGCCACAGCAGGTCGTCCCTGCCGCACCCGTCCGCTGCAGGCCACTAAGACTGGGGGACCTGATCTTCATTCTCACATTGCAGATGGATTTCTGGGGACTTGTCCAAAAACAGCTGGGGTGGGAGGGAAAGAAGGAGCAATGTCCTAACCCAGATGGTTTCTAAACAAATAAAATGTTTTTCAAAGCTTTCCATGAGGCGTCAGCGGGCTTCCAAGTAAGTTGCCAGTCAAGTCGGTATCACCGTTGTCATCTGTCAGGCTGTCGCTCTGCACCGCTCCCTCGGCTTGGTTTCCAGCCCCTACGCCTGTGTCTGTGTTTTTATTCTTTGCATCTGTGATTATGTGAAGAGGTAGCACAGTGGAGGGGGATTCAGGAGTGCAGCTCCCCTGAACACCTGGCCTATTTTAAGAGACAGACAGAATCTGGGTCTGGAGGAAATGTGACCAGTAGACATTAGGCCCATGTCCTGGACTCTGATGAGCAGGAAAAGAAACCAGACTTTCCTTTCCGTTATTGCTTCAATACCAATCTTTCCCTGAAGGCAAAACTGATAACTCTGTTTTTGCTCCCCAAAGCATAAGTAATCCATCTGAATCTGAGACTGAATTGTATGGGACTTTTTTTGCTCTTATGGTGGTTTACTTCAGATTAATACTGTAGCAATGTCTGTCTTACGTTGTTTTTCTGTATGTAATTTTCATCTCTCCCTGAACCAGTTGAAAAGCCTTCATCAGCTGCTGGAGGTACTGCTCGCTCTGTTGGATAAAGATGTCCCGGAAAACTGTAAAAACTGTGCTCAGTACTTCTTCCTTTTCAACAGTTTTGTACAAAAGGTAAATTACCATGTTTCTGGTATCTTTTCCTGACAACAGCAGTTTTATAAAAAAAATTTTATCCACAGAAAAATTTTAGACAAGGTCAAGTGAATTCTGTGATTTACGTGATTTTGTGAGTGTTCTTAAAAGTCATATTTGTGGATTGTACAACTGCTACTTGTAAAAGCTCGGAGAAGAGATAGGTTCAGTTACCCATGGATCGTAGAATCTGCATTAGACCCCTGTGTATTTAGTAGCCATTGCAAAGCTCGATGAAGCCTGAGAATTTTCTCAATGAGATTTTAGTTACAGTACTTTCTGTATGGAAGTTACAGCATTTTAAAATGTATTGACTCCTTCAGTTACATTTATGTCATTTAGCTCTTTTAAAACACGTTTTTCTCTGGACGGGAGTATAATTCTTATTCTCCATCTCTTGTGACAGCAAGGTATTCGGGCGGGAGATCTCCTCCTGAGGCACTCAGCTCTGCGACACATGATCAGCTTCCTCCTCGGGGCCAGCCGGCAGAACAACCAGGTAATGACCAAGGCTGCTTCCCGGCGGCCGGTCTGTAGAGCCTACTGCCTGCAGCACCAGTCCCCGTGTGAGTGCCAGGGCAGGGCAGGCGGGCTCCGTCTCGGGGGCTCCGAAAGCCTGCAAGGCACGTGCTGTTGGGGTCCTTTCCCTCCTCTCTGGGGCTGTGAGCAAGGCTGTTTGGTTGGCGGCTGGCATGTCAAGTCACATGCTAACCACATGGCCAGAGGGGAGTAGTGGACTGGCAGATGGAAGATCTCTCTTTCTCTTTCTCTCTCTGTCACTCTGCCTTTCAAATAGTTTTACTTCCATTCTCAGGCAAGAAATTAAAGCCCAGAGATGCTAAGTAACTTGTTCCAAGTCACAAAATAAGGAAGGCATGGGTAAAGCAGTGATTTCAAAGCCAGAGCTTTTCCCCTGTGTCTAATTGTGTAGGCGGAGTGGTCCTTTCTCGGGTAAGGGAGACAGACTTGCTGCTTGGGCCTCACTCAGCACCCGGTCGTGTCTCCCTGCTGCTCTTCCTCAAGTACTGATGCCATCGCAGGCTCTGGGTATTGATAGTGTGTGGAGACTTTATGCTGGCCCTTTTTCCGTGAAACCTCTTTCATAGCAAGGGCACCACTGACACCGGTAATTGATTAAATTCACCATAATTCACCTGCACATAGAAATTATACTTGGCATTTATGGAGCAGTTTCACTTTGGAAAACATTTTTACTTTTAATATTTCATTTGGTCCTCAACCACAAAGTAGGCAGAACAGGTAACATTATGTCTGCCATTACACAAAGAGGTCAGATGCTATTATGATAAAGAACATACAACACAGTGAGTGGCAAAGGCAGAGCCAGGTCCCCTTCTCGCCACCCTCAAGGGCTTTGCCCATTGTACTGAGGTTCCTAAGCACTCGGGGACCTGAACCGAATCCTGGAATGGATTGGTTTTAGAATGTGAGCTGATATGTATGGGGAGTCCCCTTTAGCTAACTTAAAACCTGTGACTGTTTTGCACTTTGACCTTTCCTGCTGTCAGCGCTGAAAAGTAACTGTGGCCCAAAAAGTCATGAGCCAGCAGATCCTCCCTTCTTTTTCATGTTTTTACACCTAAAACACAAACGTCTGCTTCATCTCCCCTGGTGACAGATCCGTCGGTGGAGTTCAGCACAGGCCCGAGAATTCGGGAATCTTCACAACACAGTGGCGCTACTTGTTTTGCATTCGGATGTCTCTTCCCAAAGGAACGTTGGTGAGCTTTCATGTCTGTGACGCATCCGAGGGGAAGGCTCTGGTTGGCAGCTGGATGGGTATTGCTTGTTTCTCATTTGGCTATTTGATATTTGAGGAATGCTGAAAATTTGTGTTTTAACTCGTGTTGAACTTCACCTTAGTTTTACCAGTTTGTCATGGAGAAAGTGAGTCAGTCACTTACCTGGGAAGCGGGAAGATACCTGAATATTTTTAGGAGTTACTATAGGATTAACGACTGATTCAGAGTTCATTCATAGCGTGATCTGAGTAACAGAGAGCAGGAGCAATAGCCGGGTGTGAGGTGGAGTCTCACTGTGTGAACTTGACTGCGCCACCTCACCTTGCTGATCCTGAGTACGAGATGGAAATGTTAAAGACCATATTTCCCCGGGGGTCACAAGAATCAGTGAGATGAATGTGTAAGTGCTCTGTGCAGAGGGGATCTGTATGTAACGTGTGTCATTGTAGCATGTTTGGGTATCAGAGCTGGTAGGAAGTTGGTAGCATTCCTCGTTTTGTCACTGAGAACCAACAGTACAGTTGGCATTGACACAGCAAACACCAGGGTGTCCTGGGTGACGCACCAGCATCCTCACCCACGTGTGTGCTGCATGTTCGCGCCGCTCCTGGGCCCAGCATGACCGAAACAGCAGCAGGAATAACCATGATGAAGCACAGCCCCTGGAGTGGGTTCAGTGTTCTCTGTGTGCCACCGTGCTGTGTTGAATTTACACAGCAACCAGTGTAGTGGCCCCTACTGTGGGTGAGGAACCAGGATGTAGCCGGCCTGGTGACTGCTCAGGGCCCACAGCTAGTAAGAGGCACAGCAGCCAGGGTGAGAAAGCAAGCCGCTGGCCCCCAAGGCAGGGAACCACATAAAAACCCAGAGTGCATTCTAACGGGAGAGCTGCTTGTGGACCCTCTAAAGAGACACTCGGGGGACCCTGGGCTAGCTATGACGTAAAGTCCCTGCCTACACTCAGTTCTTCTTTTTCCCCTCCCCTCAATTTTTAGTTATTTCTTTGTTTGAAAGAGAGAGACAGAGATCCCGATCTACTGGTTCACTCCCCAAATGCCTTCAACAGCCGGGGCCAGGCCAGGTGAAGCCAGGAGCCAGGAATTCAATCCAGGTCTCCCACGTGGGCAGCAGGGGCCCAACTACTTGATCCGTTACCTGCTGCCTGCCTCCCAGGGTGCACATTAAAGCACATAAATCAGGAGCGGAGCTGGGACTCAGAGCCAGGCTTTCCCAGATGGGATGTGCACAGACATGTCCCAACTGGTGCCATAACCACTGTGCCAAATGCCTCCCTGCCCCCCCACCCCCGGGGCTTCCTCAACCCCGCTCATTTGTCTAAGTCGTAAATTCATACAGTTCTGTGAAAACAGCCTTCCATTATGCAGCCTCATTTTCCTGGAAGATGAGGCAGCCCTTCCTGGCGGTTAAATTCTGCTCAGCGTGGTGAGATCGGCCATTATTTGAGGACGATTGTTTGAGGACCAAGTGTCTTTTCAGCCGCAGCTGTGGGCGTGTTTTCATCTTGTCTTGAGCGGGAGTCACTAGAATCCCACAGCTCTAGCCTAGGCATACATCAAAGCGAACAGGGCCAGGTTTCCTTGTGTCTGGCCTTGCCTCAGACCAAGGGGTTGGTTGCATGTGTGAATCTGTAGTCTCCTACCTCATGGATGTCTGTGGCATGGAGTAGCACCAAGTGACACAGCTTTTGTTCCTGGGTCTCTCCTAAAGCTCCTGGCGTATTTAAACAGCGGCCTCCAATTAGCATTGCTCCCTCAAGCCCTCTGCTGCCCCTCCACGAGGAGGTAGAAGCCTTGTTGTTCTTGTCTGAAGGGAAACCTTACCTGTTAGAGGTAAGTACTTATTCTAAAGCCATTGTCTGCTATAGTTAGTTTCTCCTATTTGAGAAAAAATGCCTTTTGTTACTAGTTACATTTTGCAGGTTACTCTGCTGAAGAGCTTATTGATAAATGAAGAACTACTTTTTTCAGATTAATCTGTCTTCCTATGTATGTCAAAAAGTCACTCATAGCAGAGAGTATCAGTCCTCTGATGAGGAGCTGGGCCTGCAGGCCTGCCTGGCCCCAGCAGGAGGCAGCATAGCACTTCTCGGTCACACTGCTCAGCTCATTATCTGTCAGGGGTTTGTTTCCACCACCGGGCTGTCCCTCGTCCTGGAATGCCGCAGCTCTGACTACACAGGTTCTTCAGGCCCTGGAGTGTGGGAACCCGCTGCCCACAGCCTGTGGTCATGGCACATGCTGAGTGGCCCTTCCGAGCCGCCACTTCCTCCCAGAGCTCCATTTTTACGGAGCTAATTTTCTGTTCTCTCTCCCATAACCTGATCTGCATATACCTGGATCTATGAACAGCGTGTCATGCTGGGTTTGTATTTTTTAATTATATCAGCAAGCTCTGCTTTGTGTCTTTTTTTCCTTAAGCCCTTAAGCTTAGCACTATTTTTTAGACGTATCAGTGATTGCTCTGATCACTGAGGAGGCATTTGCCTCTGAAAACCTGACGAAAGTAATGCTATCCCCCAAAAATGCACATTTGCATAAAATTGTGTGACGTTTCAGACAGGCATAGCACCTTGAAGGCTGACCGTAGACTCCAGTGGTGAAGACAGCCTGCCTCAGGGCCCTGGCAGCAGAGCGCCCACTCCCGCAGCCTGCAGAGGGGCCTGCACCAGCCCGTGCCACGAAGAGTGGGCAGCTGGGTGATCTCTTAAGCTGCAAAAAACAGGAGGTCACTGCCTGGACCCCGAGCCCTGGCCACCTTCCTGTGTCCAGAAAAGAGGGGCTATCGCCCCCTCCTACCCAGTGTCCTCCCTTCCTCTCCCTCCTGTGGAGTCTCCCATCAGCCATCTGGTCCTCCTCTTAAGGCCAGTTGACGAGGGCCCCTTACAGTTTCCCATGTCAGGTCACTGATGTGAAATGCTCCTGGCCCTGCCCCCTTCTTCGAGCCCTACCACCACCCCTCCACTGCAGAAGGAAACCAGTTGCTGGTTTTCCCCCTCAGTCCTTTTCCAAATAGGTTCTGTCTACCCTACTCCCCAATCCCTGAACTATAAGTCAGTGCTTAAACTCGAAACCCTGAGTGGTCCCGTCTCTTTCCTGGGCCTACTGGCACCTGAGGTGGGAGGGCATGGCCCCATCTGGGTTTTTATAAATGTCTTCCCCAAGTTCAAACCTCCAGCTTATGCACCAGCTGTGTCTTTATTTTTTTAACTTGGTAAGCCAATACTGGGCTTCATGGTTAGGGAACGTCTATAATGTGAAACAACTTCTGTTGACATTTTCTCCCATTGTTGTGAATAACCCCAGAGTCATACTTTTTTTTTCCTAATTACTAAAACCATTCTCTTCCACCTGGTTTTACTGTAACCTTTGGAAAAAAGAATAGATGTCATCCCTTTAAAAAAAAAAAAAAAAAAGCAAGCCTGCTTTGAGGTAGTGTTGCTGACTGTGTGTGTGAGTGGAGTGCGGTGTCTTCCTCCTGTGTCTCCCCCCAGGTCATGTTCGCCCTGCGAGAGCTGCCGGGCTCGCTGCTGGCGCTCATCGAGATGGTGGTGTACTGCTGCTTCTGCAACGAGCGCTTCTCCTTCACCGTGCTGCACTTCATCAAGGTGGGCGCACGCGCACGCTGCGCAGAGGCCCCGTGCTCCCGGGCGGCAGTCTGAGCTGCTTGCCTTCACTGTCTGTCCTAGTCAGGAAAACAGTGCAGGCTCATTTTCAACTGAAACAGAACTCAGAGCCCCCTATTCAGTGCTAATCACTGTGAACATTGTCTTGCTGTATCTGTTATTTAACCTGTTATTTCCTTTTATTTTCTATGCATGTGTTTTAGCATAATGGGGATTTCATTGTCTATGATTTTTGTCTTTGTTTCCATTTGACATCATAAGTATTTTCTCATATCATTAAGGTAATCTCTAGGTATATTTTCAAAGTACCCAGAGTATTTGTTTTATAAACTTTGTTTTCTTCATGTAGTGCATCTTAGCACATTTTTCTATTTCATAAGGTAATTTTTTGTATATTTCACTCAAAGCATATACCCCAGGACATTCTCATTTGCATTTTCTTAGCTACACCAGCATATTCTGGAAAGCCCAGTACAATACCTACCTGTGAAAATGTGGGTCTCTTTAGTGACTTAAATTTTTCCCTTTGCTTTCTTCCTCTCTCCTTCTTTGTAATTTCATGGTAAAGTATCATGGAGTGTAGGAGCTGAAAGTACCTTAGAGGTTGTTTATTTCAGTCCTTAGAGCTGGCATTTAAGGAAACTGAGGCCCAAGGAGGAGAGGTGTCACCCAAGGTCAGCCAGATGGTGGTAGAACTTGAGCTTGGATCTGGTGTTGTTGATTTTCTCCCCCGTGTGTTTCCAGTAAAAAGTTACTGGAATTTTAATGCTTTTTAAAAATATTTCAGAATCAGCTAGAAACAGCTCCACCCCACGAGCTAAAGAATATGTTCCAGCTACTTCATGAGATACTGGTAAGTCATAAATCTGATGCACTTGTATTTATTGGTTAGCATGTATTTATAAATAAAAAGTTAGATTTCCTGTATTATTTTTCTGTGCACTTTGTCTGCATTTATTGAGTTCTTTTCACATCAGTGATATACTTTGTGCATTATTGATTTAGAGGTGAGCAGTCATAAAACTCACCTCCCAAGAGCTCAAAGTTTGGAGAAGCAGTCAAATAAGTGTAGCAGCAGTTAGTGTGTGAGCACAAAGGAGTACTGGGTGCTGGCTCACCCCTGCTGAGGCCTTACGCCAGATACAGCACCGGGCTGAGCACCAGGGTGAGCTTGTTCAAACCTTGTGACAGACTCCAGAGATAAACTGCTGGCCTTGGAACTCCTCGGATCTTAGCTGTGTACTTGACACATGTGCTCCGTTTTTAAGAGCCATGAAACTGAAATAGAATTGGTTGCAGGATGCTTTCCAGTTTCAGAAATGTGAAAAGCAGAAGAAAGATAAGTTATGATCAGTAAGATAACAGTATTATGGGGGAAGTGAGATTGAGATGTGGGAGTAGGAACCAAGTAGAGCTTTCAGGAAACCCAGGCCAAATCGCAAATGGCTTCGGGTACCAATGCTAAGCACGTGGACTTTTCCTTCGGCCAGAGTTGCACACTAGGGCCGGGGCCCAAGTTCCTCCTGTATGCTTCTTTATTTGTGTGGTTTTGTTTGTTTGTTTGACCCAAACTGTATTTTTTTTTACATTTCGGATTCCACCCTATCTTGCAAAATGGGTGATCTCATTCCCTCACACGGCGGTCGCCTAGAATGGCAACTGCATGGCCCGTGGATGAGGCCTGTGCTCTCCAGTTTCCTTTTTGTCTGAGATTTAACCCACTTGGCTCATTTTGGTCATCTTCCCAGGCTCTGTAGGCGTGAAGTCTACAACCCCCGTTGTCAGCTCTGGGACTTCATAGAAGGGTTCAAAGCAGGAGAGTGGCATGATCCAATTAGGTCTCTGAAAGAGTTGTTTTGGCAAATGAACTAAAGGAGAAAGCGAGGGGCCAGCCCTGTGCTGCAGCAGGTTAAGCCACTGCCTGCAATGCCAGCTTCCCACATGAGCACCAGTTCGAATCCTGGCTGCTCCACTTCTGATCCAGCTCCCTGCTAATGCACCTGGAAAAGCAGCAGAAGATGGCCCAAGTACTTGGACTCCTGGCTTTGGCCTGTCTCAGCCCTGGCTTTTACAGCCATTTGGGGAGTGAACCAGCAGTTGGAAGATATCTGTCTGTCTGTCTGTCTCTCTCAATCTGTGTGTGTGTGTGTCTCTAACTCTGCCCTTCAAATAAATAAATAAACAAGGAAGAAGCAGCGTTGGGAATTGGAAGACCATATATAGGAGACTATCAATAATCTGAGTGTGAAACAACAAGGCTTCCAACAGGGAAGAGGCAGAGGGTGGAAGGGACAAGGGCAGATTAAGAAGAGTTTTACAGCATCAATAGAATTTGGTGACTGGTTATAAGCCAATGAGAGAGACTAGCCCTAGGGCCCTGGAAAGAGCAGGAGGGACTGTGGTACAGAAGAAGCATTTAGTAAAACAGTTTTGAGAAAATACATCTTACAATTATTAGGAGCCCGTCTTTCTGGCCCTTTGCCTTCCTTTGGTCCTAGTGCTTTTAGAAGCTTTGGCAAATTATCACTTCCCAAGGGGAAGATCGTGTGTTGTTCATCTGATCAACTACAGACCCATATAGTTTACTGCATTGTGCCCAGTTCAGTGCCGAGAACCAGAAATGAAGCAACCAATGGGACCCAGATCCAGCCTGGTCTAACATGGTACATGCTTTCACATAAACGTTTAGAACCTGTGCAGTAGCAAAATGTAGACATGCTTTGCTAAATAAGTTAGAGATGAAGGGCTTGGGTCCTGAAGTACATGCCTCCATAACCCACAGAGCACTGCCAGAAGGGTTGTGAGGAAGGTGTATGTAGGAAATGGGTGGATCTTTAAGATTAACAGCTTTTCATCTTGGTTTAAAATTTAAGATAGGTTTCAGAGATAGGGCAGTCGGTGCGGTATTTGTTTGTATTGGGTTTTGTTCCATTAGAAACTAAATCTCTTGTCTAGAATTGTAAAGAAGGCACCAGTGGCTGAAACCCAAGTTCTTCCATTTACCAACCTTTGCTTCTTTCCGTCCCTCCTTTCACAGGTCATTGAAGATCCCATACAAGTAGAGCGAGTCAAGTTTGTGTTTGAGACAGAAAATGGATTACTAGGCAAGTATGCCTGGCCTTCTGGGCGAGGGCCCAGTCACTGCCCCCCAGCTTAGATCCGTTAGCAGCACTGGAGAGTGGTGGGGCTGTTACGTTCCCTCATTCTGATCAGGAGAATTAAAATCCCAGGATCTCATTCCTGCCTTCAGTCAGTCAGGGGCCGCCTGGGTCCTGTGACCGAGGCAGGTGAGATTCAGGGGTGCTGTGGGATTCTTCAGCAGGTCGAAGGCCACTTTCTAAGGCAGGGAATCTTTCCTTCCAGTCCACAGCTACTGGGGAGGGAGACTGAGACCTCACACTCAGGACGTGGTCGTTCCACCTGGGGTGGGACTGTGCCCAGAGTCCAACATCCACTATAGGATTTTGTCAGAGTTGTCTTTTCAGAAGCTAAATTGACCTCCCTAAGCCTTTAGAAAAAGTTGAGTTTGAAAACAGTCTGACCCAGCTCCCACGGCCCCCACTTCTCCGGAGTCATCGCAGGATCAGGAGGGGGCCTGGGCTGCTGGCGTTGCAGAGAGGAGATGTAAGGCAGAAGGTGCTGCGGCCACACCTTCCAGGCCACGCTGCGGATTGGTACCTCTATCAGAGCGGCTCCAGGCTCTGAAAACTCTCAGCTCATCAGCGGCAGGGACTGAGTGTCGAGTGTCTGCAAATCCCTACAATGCAAGATTTATGTGTTGAATTGAACCAACGCCATAAGTTTCCATTTATCCAAAAAAAAAAAAAGAAGTGTTGTAAACATCTTCCCTCACTAGCATGGTGTGTGGAGGAGGTCTGGCTTCTGTCTGGGTGAATAATCAGCATGTATAAATGTAGGTTCCTTTTCATTTCTCCTAAAATCCAACCTCAACTACCTCACATGCTCTTCAGACATATTTAAAGTAGTATTTTCCCCCTTAGAATTTGGCGGGTTCATTTGAGTGAGGCACTGCCATGCCTTTAGTTAAGTGACAGCTTACCTGTCTGCACATGAGAATGTCATTTTCCCGACGGGAGAGCCCGCTGCCGCCCAGGCCCACCTGCCTCTCGGCCTCTGCTGTGAGCCTGTCCTCTTCTCTCCCTCAGCTTTGATGCACCACAGTAATCACGTGGACAGCAGTCGCTGCTACCAGTGCGTCAAGTTTCTCGTAACTCTTGCTCAAAAGTAAGTACGGACTGAAAATGCAGGCAAGTAATGGTGCTTTAACTACAAGGAAAATATGACCGGGGAAGTGGGCGGGGTGGGGGCGGAGGACGACAGACTGCTTTGTTTGGGTGCCTAGAAAACCTAACTCAGGGTGTGCTTATACGAAAGGCACAGTGACCTATCGGGATGGGCTCAGAAGAAGGTAAGGAGAGACCAGGAAAACAGTAGTCAGAGTTGCAGAGTGACAGAGAGACAGAAGGAGCTCTTAGGCCAGGAACTCCATCCCAGTCTCCCACGTGGGTGGCGGGGGTCCCAGTACTTAGGCCATCATCTCCTCCTTTCCAGGCACATCAATGGGAGCCACAATGCTGACCCCAAGTTCCTGAATCTTTACTTGAGGTCTCTGATTAATGTAGCCCAAGCACCAACTCTTTCAGCCTCTAGGTCCCTGACTTCACTATAACCTCTCAAGACACAGAGCCATTTCACCTGTAGCTGTCGGGCGTTCGTGGCTGCAAGCACTGTGCCGACAAATACTCTGTATTATCTTACTTAATCTTTGTAACAGCCTCATGAGGTCAGATAGTTGGAGTGGTTACAGATCACATGTGGCTTATGTGAGGGCCTAACACTTGCACACAGGCTGATTAAAAGTGAAGATTCTTTTCTTTAATTATGGTAGAACAGACATAAAATTTGCCATTTTTACTTGGTTTCGTATGTGCAGCTCAGTGGATTAAGTGCGCACACGCTGTGCAACTTGTCCCCACCATCCGAATTTAACATAATTTAACAGAACATAGAAAAGCAGAATTTAACAGCAGTAACCAGTAATAAGCAGAGGGGAGTATGGGGCCATAAGGAACCGTAGCGAATAGTCACGTGAGTGTGCTCACCCTTCTGGTGATGGTGGGAGGACGTGAGGCGAGTGGTGCTGGCCTTGGGACGTGGCCTGAGGCTACTCCTGCCCATCCGTCTCTAGGACACTTCTCTTCCAGAACTGCAGCTCTGTGCCCCAACTCCCCAGCTGCCCCTTCCTGCAGCCCTTGGTGTGACCGTGAGTGCTGCAGGTACTCAGAGAAGTAGGTCCTGCAGATGAGCATTTGTCTTTTTGTTAACTGACTGACTTCACTGAGCGTGATGTCTTCACGGTCCATCCATGCTGCAGCATCTGCCAGAATTTCCTTCCATTTTTTAAGGCTGAACAATAAGAGGGATCCCCCCAAAAATTCATAGAAAATGCATATTATGAGAAAACTGCAAGGGTTTCAAAATGTTCTGCACCAAAATAAGCTCACCATGTAATTCCATTTTTCCATGAATTTTTTGAAATCTTATTTTACTGTATATATATATATAGCACATTTTGTTTATCCAGTTTTTCAGTCGATGGACCCTTGGAAAGTAAAGGTCTTAACACTAGAAGGAACCCTCGTGGATTGCCACGTGGCTGCTTCCTGTGTGACAGCCCAGAGTGGCTGAGCACACCACATTGCCTTCGCTGAGCCTCACACCTCGGCATCGTTACTGCTGGATTTATTTTGCTCCAGATTTTCACTGATTGTTGGGGACAGGAATCACCTTCCTTGGACTTAGACCAGAGTAAGAAAGTGAATCAGGCCGGCGCCGCGGCTCACTAGGCTAATCCTCCGCCTTGCGGCGCCGGCACACCGGGTTCTAGTCCCAGTCGGGGCGCCGGATTCTGTCCCGGTTGCCCCTCTTCCAGGCCAGCTCTCTGCTGTGGCCAGGGAGTGCAGTGGAGGATGGCCCAAGTGCTGCGCCGGCCGCAGCACGCCGGCCGCGGCGGCCATTGGAGGGTGAACCAACAGCAAAGGAAGACCTTTCTCTCTGTCTCTCTCTCTCACTGTCCACTCTGCTGTCCCATAAATATATAAAAAAAAAAGTGAATCGGTTAGACTTAATCTGCTGCGCTTGAGCTTCCTAAACAGACATAAATAGAGCCCAGTCACAAGAATGCGTGCACACCCATTATGCAGATGTCACAGTACTGTGGCCACCAGTGGATTCGCTGGCTGGGCTTGATGTGGGCAGCATGCTAGCTCAGGTGTTTGCCTCTGACTGGGATTTGTGAGCAGTGCCAAGGCCACTGGTGTAGCCGATGTCAGCAAATGGCACAGCCCCAATTCCGGTGTCCCTGCCTGCACTCCTGCATTCGTCAGTCACCGCTCACATGCACATCACGGCCATACAGTGCCTAGCACTAACTCCAAGTATGGAGAATAGCTTATAGATGGGAAGACGTGGAAAGGGGTGAACTCCAGGATCATGCTTTAAAACTGTCTCCCCCATCCTCTCATTTTTGCTTCTTCAAATCACAAAAATCAGAGACGAATTTGTTTCTATCAAGAGGTCCTTTACTGAGTGTACAGTGTGTTGTGGATTTGGGTTTTCTTTTTCTGTTTTGCATTCTAGTAGCACCTAGTGGCTGAAAGTTAGCGAGATGGCAAACTTCTCACTACACACTTGCTTCTTCCTGCCTCTTGTGGGTGAGGCATGTGAATGTATTACCAATAAAGAAAAATGAAAGTAGCATTTGTGTTTGAAAATCAAAGGTCCTGTAGGTTAAACAAGTGATTTACCAGGAAAGCATGTGGCTAATAAGAACACCCTCAATCACCAGGTGTCCTGCTGCTAAGGAATACTTCAAGGAGAACTCCCACCACTGGAGCTGGGCTGTACAGTGGCTACAGAAGAAGGTAACTGAATTTTGTTCAGTTGTGTTAGGTTCTGGTTACAACATGGGAATCAGTAATAGCACATCTCATCAGGAAATCTCTTGAACTTAATTTATAGACAGATCTCTCAGACCTCAAATGTTTCTTTAGCCTAGTCAGTGCTGACTTCTATGCATTAAATCTGTGCCCTGGGGCTGTCATTGTGGTGCTGAGCCTCCACGTGGAGCACTGGCATCCCATGATGCGTGGGATCCACAGTTTGAGTCCCAGCTGCTCCAGTCCAACTTCCTGCTGCTACACTGGGAAGGAAGTGAAAGTTGGCCAAAGCATTTGGGCCCCACCGCCATTGGAGACCAGGAATCTTTTTTAAAAAGTTTGTGCCATAACAGTTGTCCCCCTTTACCTTTTGAGGATACATTCAGAAACCTTCAGCAGATGCCTAAGACCATAGCTCCTACGGACCCCTGCAGACACGGCGTTTTTCCCATGCATACACACCTGTGCTAAACTTTAATTTCTGTCTTAGGCACAGTAAGAATTTAACAGCAGTAACTAATAATAAGCAGAGGGGAGCATGGAGCCGTAAGGAAGCGTAGCGGATAGTCTCATGAACGTGCTCACCCTTCTGGTGATGGTGGGAGGAAGTGAGGCGAGTGGTGCCCGCGCCGTGGCCTGAGGCTGCTCCTGCCCTTCCGAAAGCAGGGCAGGGGGAGGGTCGTCCTCTCCAGGGACGTCATCACAGTGCTCACAGGGCATGCAGTTTAACATTTGCCAATTGCTCATTTCTGGAACCTTAGTGTTTTCAGTGTGCAGGTAAGAAACCACAGGAAGCAGAACCACAGGCAAGGGGTCTGCTGTGCAGGTGTCCTGTAGGTGAAAACGGAGGGAGAACCAGGGGAAGCAGAGAGCGGAGTGGAGTCTTCCCTGGAGGCCGAGGCAGGGAAGGACTGGGGAGACCGCATCTTGGACTCTGGTGTCTGCTGACAGAACCTGCAGGCTAATGGGGCTTCTTTGTTTCATCATCCTGGGTGGCCTGTTTGGCCTCCCCTCTCAGATGTCGGAACATTATTGGACACCACAGAGCAATGTCTCTAACGAAACGTCAACTGGAAAAACCTTTCAGCGAACCATCTCAGCTCAGGTGAGCGCTGTGTGTGTCCGTGTGCTGGGAAGTCCCTGCCCAAGGGAACTGCGGCCTCTGGGCAGAGAAGTGTATGGCCACGGTGAGAGCAGGGACGGGCAGCCGCTGCGTTTTCTGCGGAGACAGCTGATGCTCACGCAGGCGCATGTGCATGGGGTGCTGTCCTAGAAGGAGAGCGCGGGCGGACAGAGGGTAGGGGTGCTCCTGGGCTGCCATGAAAGCCTGGCCAGAGTCCCGGTCCCTGACGTTTTCTCCCTGTGTCTGTGTTGCCTGCAGGACACGTTAGCATATGCCACAGCTTTGTTGAATGAGAAAGAGCAGTCGGGCAGCAGTAACGGGTCGGAGAGCAGTCCTGCCAATGAGAACGGAGAGAGGCATTTACAGCAGGTACAGCTGGGGGGCACGGTTGTGGGGGACAGGGCCGTGCCTGCTTCTGCGCTAAGAGGCTCTGCCTCTGGTGACTGCAGCTGAGAGCGTGCCCACAGTGGCCACAGAGCTGGGCCGCGCTGTGGTCCAGAGGCTTTCGTGCGGCAGCTCAGACCCAGTTGGAAGCAGTCCCAGTGAAGCCACACCACAGCCGCTAGCCTGCAACTGGGTCACTTCCTCCTCCTGGCTTACTACGAGCCCCTCCTCTCCCGCCACCGACCTTTTGGAACGTGGCTCCCTGCACGGGAAGTATACCTGCTTGCGGGGAGTCCGAGTACTTCTAAGCCTCTATTCTGGCAAGGGGAGGTGGTGGGCATTTGGCGCAGCAGCTAGGACACCTCCTGGGAAGCCTGCATCACATATTGGGGCACCTGGGTTTGAGTCCTGGCTCTGCCTCTGATCCAGCTTCCTGTTGGTGTGTACTTTGGGAGGCAGTGGGTAATGACTCAAGTGAGGGTCCATTTTGGTTGCTATGACAAACTCCCTGAGGCGGGCTCCTTGACCAGGAGGAAGCTTGTTGTCTCCCAGTGCTGAAGACTGAGCACGCGCCGGAGCCTGCGTCTGCTGGTCACCATGAGTGCAGTGGGTGCAGAGAGAGCACCTGGGGAGCCAGCAGGCAGGAAAAGTCCCGGGCAGCTGCCACGTTCGTTCCTGACAGCGTGTGTGGGACTGCCAGGAGCGCCGGGACCAGGCCACGCTCCTCCTCTGAAAGATCAGACCTCCCTCTCGATCGCACACAGTGGGGCCCGCGCCTGGCCGGGGAGCTCTGGGGACATCCTGGGTCACACCCCACTCCCACACCTTCCCTGACCCCTTCACTGTCCTTGGCACACGTAGGGCCCAGCAGATGAATGCTGCCGGAGCTTTCTCTTGGGTCCTCGTGACAAGCATGTGAGGGGGCCGTACCCCAGTTTTGTAGTTGGGAGCTGGGTGTTGGGTGTGACGTGACGTAACTCCAAGGTCCCTTGGAGCAGTTTAGCTCATCACCTGCTTTGCCTTCACAGAAAATAAAAGCTGTCAGACGAGGGCTGCAGTGGCAGGTTCCCACGCCCAGAGCCCACTGCGCGTGCCTGCACTACCCCCGTGTGGGGAGAAGTTCGCCCCCGCTCCCCAAAAGCTACCCGCCTCAGTCTCCTCCCTCCTAACACAACTGCATGTTCTCTTTTTCTCTTTTCTTTTCCTACATCTCTCGCCGTGACATTGAACTCTCGCCACCCTCATGGCCAGGCCCTTTCCAGCAGTGGTTGAGCATGCTCTCCTCTCCCCGTGCCTTCTGCCCACAGCCAGCCTGTTCCGGGGTTATCTGAACCCTCCATCTGCAGCCTCTCAGTGCCCGGTCACTCTTTGGCCTCTTGCTGCCTGGCCCCTCCCTTCTCCCAGCAGTGGCGTGACCAGTGGCCTGTGTTTCCTGTCCTCATCTTCGTGGACTGATTCGGCCCCTGCATGCCTCTCCCCACATTTCCTCAATGTCCATTAGTCAAGTAACGCTTTGTTCCTCCTCCTGCCGGCCCCTCCCATGCAGCCTCCATGTCACTCCTGGTCCTCCCCAGCCCCACGGCACTTGGGAGGTCTTGAGACTGTTGTTAAGTGCACGTGGTGACAGAGGCAGCATTTAGATCTGGGAATGACTCAGGGCCCCTCCAGCAGGTACAGGGCCTGGCACAGAGTAGGCATCGGTGGTAGTCAGCCCATCCCTCTGCCTTGTTGCGTGGCTCACCTGGAATTCTGGCCAGAGCCCGTGTAGCACTGTGGCTTCAGGCAAGACATCACTGGGGTGTATCAGTGACTAAATGAGACCAGAGAATTGAAAGGTGAAATAGGTTATGTGTTACTATCCTTTAATAAGCCTTGATGGAGTTGCTAGGTGAAGACGCGTTTAAATTACAGAACCCAAATAAATGAGGCCACGTAGAAAACTCTGTTCTCCAACTCTCGCAGGGTTCAGAGTCTCCCATGATGATTGGCGAGTTAAGAAGTGACCTTGACGATGTGGACCCTTAGGGGGCGTGCCCGGCGGCTGTGGATGCTCAGCACCTTTAGAGACGTTTGGCAGAGCCTGGCGAGTGGACGGGAGGGCTGCGTGACGGAGCAGCGAGCACTTTACCAGCGAGCGGGTGTTCCACGGGCGCTGTCTGGCGGTGGGAGGACGCCGGCCTGCGGATCCGCTGTCCCAGGGCACAGTCCACACCTGCATCAACACTTCTGTGACGATTTTAGGAAATAAAGTTGGTGGCAGACTTTTGTTACATGAACATAAGAGTGAGGGGTAAAGCCGTTGCTTTCTCTCTGATGCTACAAAAGAAATCCCTTTGGTTTTTATATTTTAAGGGAAAAAAGCAGGCTGCCTTTTGCTATGTGGGGGCAAATTTTTAATCTTGTGGTGACATTGAGTAGGAATATCCCGTTTAAAGTGATGGGCTCGAGTTCCCTCCCGTGGTAAAATGCTAGTTGCAGAATGCAGGTTACACAGACCTCTGTATTTAATATGTCTCCCTGGGGTGTAGAGCTTCCGAAGGGTCTGGAAAAGTCCTGGCCAAAGCTTGGATCTTGATCAAATGTTGCCAGGACCAAAAATCGGGGAATTAATTAAGCTCTTTAAGGTATTTTTCTGATATAAAAGATTGCAAAGAGCAATAAAAAAAGAAAAAGCAAACCATGCCGTGTCCCCCAGAAGCACAGGGTGCACCCTGATGTCGGGCATAAAGGTCTGAGGTGTTCCCTAACAGACTTGACAGCAGCAAAGTACAAAGCACTTTAAGGTTTGACTTCATACAGTTACCTTTAATGCTTGGAGACATATTGAATAAACTGTAGTCTTAAATCATGTGATCTGCAATCATTGGCTTTTGCTTAAAACCTAATTACTGAACCCCTGGAGAGCAGTTGTATGCGAAGTGAAGTGTTTGCATTGGAAGACACCGCTGGTGAGTTCTGCAGTAATTTTAATGCAGAGAAGGAATTTGAGACATTGATTCTCCTCAATAGGACTACTAACAAGGAAACGACAGGTCTGGCTTAATATTTCTTTTCCTAGAAATAACTAGAAAACCATTGGACAGCCATCCATTTAGTTGTACTTCCCAAGTATAGCATCATTCACTTATTTCCAGTTAGATACCAGCTCCGGGGGTGGGGGGGAGGTTTACACCAACACACTTCATATATTTTGTACATTTTGTATTTTGAAATGCTCACATTCTCAGCCCTGTTTTGCCTTTAGTTGAGTGTTCTGCCTTACTTTCAGCTCACCATGTGCAGAACCGGGGGCCTTAGGAAGTGCCAGGTTGCCCCTATCGGTTAGACCTGCCAGGTCAAAGAGGCGCGGCCGGCCCCAAAGTGCCTTTTTGGTTGCTTTTGTGTTCTGCATGGACACGTGGCAGGGCAGACGGCACGGCTTGGCAGTGCCGTGCACTCCACAACCCAGCCACCCGGTCATCTCACCATTCAGCTTCCCAGGGCCCCCGCGGGCGGTGCCGGCTATGTGCCGCCCGTGGAAAAGAGGAGGGCAGCGTGGAAGAGCAGAGCCGGGACCGGTGGGGGCGCCTGGCAGGCCTGATGCTGTTGTGGCCATCGTGCAGGTTCTAGAATCGACCAAGAGCATGCAGACATGGTGTGCTGCGGCGACCCTCCCCACCCTCCTGCCCGCACCCGTCCTCACAGAAGGGCCGTGAGGGCCGTGACACTGAAAAGCCGGCAATGATAGGTGTTGGGGCGTCATCGCTGGCAGCTGCACTCAGGAGCCCAAATTCAGGAGTGAAACGGTCACTCCTAAGTCCCCTTATTTCCTATGGAAACGACGCCTTCCGCCCCGCCTCCGCCGTCCTCGCCGGCCCCCGCGGTCAGCGCCGCACGCACGTGCTTTGCTTCACCTTGCCTGTGTCGTCGCTGCAACGCGCATCGCTTCAGCTTGCAGCTCACCACCTGGTTTCCGAGAGCTGCAGCCAGCCAGGCTACTGATGCCGCCTTCTTCACGTCCCACGAAGCGGCACCTAGGGACAGGCTCACCTTGGAAGAGTTGTCATTTTTACTGCCAATTTTTTGGATGAAGATGTTTTTATAAATTTTCAAAATGGTCTGCAAATCGAGCAGGAATTGCACAAGTGACTCAATGCGTTGTGTCGGCAAGAAGCTCCCTAGTGAAGCCGGCCTTCGGCTGGCCCGTGCTGCCCGGCAGAGGCGTCCCCCGCCCCGGGCCTCTCCCAGAGGACTCCCGCGGTCGCTGAGAGCGAGAAAACACGTGAGGGTTGACCCTGGCCTGCCCGCCCCCCACCTCCCTGCTAACCTCAAGGTGTGTGCAGTTACCTTTCGAGCTTGGAACAAGCAGACTGGAATTGTCCTCTGCTACCTCTTGTGTACAAAATCTTGTTTATAAAATTTCAAAAGGAAGTAGGTAAACTAGGGAAGAACCGGAATTCTAAATTTGATTTGTGCGTGGCAGAGTTCTTAGCTTCTCAGAGTATAAAATAAATTTTTCAAAAACGTGTTGGTGTCTCCCTGGCATTTTTCTGTATACATCAGAATGGGGCCACGGGGTTGGAGGTTCCGTGGGCCGCTGGCTGGCCTGGTGCTAAATGGCACTAGGGTTCCTTTTCTAGTCTGCTGATGGATGGTGGGAGTGGGCGTCCGAACTGGCTGGGGCGGCGGAGGGAGGCTATGGGGAAGCGTTCATTTTGTACCTAGGACAGGCACAGGAGAAGCCCCACAAATCTGCTGGTGCTCAGAATACTTCCAGGTTCTCAGCAAGTGCTCGGTTTGCTCCAGCATTCGGCAGACCCCGCAGGAGCATTCTGTAAGCAAGGCCGCAGCCCGCCAGTGAGGCCCAGGTGAGAGTCATGACAAAGTTGTTTTTATTTTTAAAATGCTACAAAGCCAAGAATAAATATCTTCACGTTGCAAAAGCGAAACCGGTCCAGAAAAGCTTCTTGCTAAGAAAGCGACAGAGAGCAGAACACAAAGATGTTTGGTCGGGTGGGGCGGGGCTGGGATGACCACAGCAGTGCCCAGGGGCCTCCACGTGAGGCCCAGCTCCGGCTACTGCGCAGCTGCCTGGCGCCTGTGCCCCCCAGGCTCCCTGCTCCCCTTAAAAACGGGATGCCTCGTGCGGTGCAGAGCGTGGCTCAGAGCCGGCCCTCCGAGGGGCGGGCCTGCACGGCTGCACTGCCTGGAGGCGTGAACTTTATCTGGGGATGAAGTTTTTATCTGGCGGGGTGGTCAGGGCGGTCGGGGGAGGTGCACGCACCCCGTGGCCCTGCCCCGCCAGCTGACAAGTCAGCTCACTGCCCGCTGATCCTCAGGTTAGCAGAACAGAGCGAGGACGGCTGGAGTCGCCATGGCAATGGCCCACGCCTCACCCCTATCACGGGGCTGGATCTCACCCGGGCCCCACCCCAGAGCCCGAAGAGGCTTTTGCGAAATGAGCAGGCGAGGAGGCTCTATCAGCACGGTTCCCGCGCACCTGCCTCTCCCAGCCCCACCCGCAGGAAGAGGACTGCTCTCAGGGAGACTTCGCCTGGCGCAATAAACGTGGTTCTGCCCCAGCTGCGGGCGCGCTGGGCGTGGCCAGCAGGAGCCGAGCCAGCGCAGGGGTTTTCCCAAGGGGGCGCCAGACTCCAGCCCGTGGTGGGCAGGGCCTGCGGTGGGAGGGGCTCCGCACCGCGCCTTCCGGGGCTGGGGCTGTCACCGGAGGTCCTGCTAGGCCCCGGAGGGCCTGATCCGGCAGCAGATGGCCACGGCCCCGGTGGGCTCCTCACTGGTGCCACCTGCTGTTCCGGCGTCACGGCTCTTCACCACGCACGTGTTGTCCACAGCGTAGGCTCCCAGCACGAGGGAGGCCCCGGGGAGGGCGTTGCAGCCCGTCAGGGTCCAGCCCTCCTCACAGGCCACGCTGACCTGCAGGAGCCCGGGAGAGGAAGGCAGTTGGTGTCCAGCGCGCTAGGGGCCCCGTGCCACCTGGGATCCCTTCTCCCTCCTGACAGCCCCACCAGGCCTGGACTGTGCACAGCTCTGGCTGCCCGGCGCCCTGGCCGGCTCTCCCACACCCATAGCTGAGCACACAAAGGCCACAACCGGATCACTAAGGCGACACCACCAGTGTCTCCCCTGCCCCCCCCCAAAAAAAAACTAACACCTCTCACAGCCTTCCTCATCCCACTAATTCAACTCCATCTTGCTGGGGTTCAGCAGGACCTGAGCCCCACCCCACCCCGTGGCTCCTCGCTCAGATCCCAGCCCCCATGGGGACCCTCACTGCCCCGGCTGGTCTCCCTGCCTCTGCCCCTGTTCCTGTGTCTCTTCTCAGCACTGCACATGCGACAGCTGAAGCTGCCCACAGCCACGCCCTGACGCATGCTGTACGTGCTGGCACAACCTTGGACACAGAAAAACTGCACAGGACAGACATGTCGCACCCCACCCACCCACCCACCCTTGTGCCACCCTCCCCTGCACGCCTCTTACCTGCTCTGCAGGGCCCGGGATCCCGTGCTTCTCTTTGACCTTGCACACAAGGCCTGGGGCATGGCAGCAGGATGCGTGGATGCTGGCCTCCCTGTGACCTACGCACTGGGCATGCTGACCTTGTGGCCTTGGTGCTGGCTGCCTGTGGGTGCCAAGGCTCTCAGCCTCCCAGTGAGAGCTGCAGCCTGGGGCAGAGGAGAGCCGGCTCAGGCACAAAGATGCTGGGTGAGTCCCTTGTCCTCCCCCCGCGGGCCCTATCTCTCTGGGGTCTGTGGCAAGATCTGGGAAACCCAGAAGCAAGATGGAAAAGAGATGTTGGCCTGAGTGACAGGACCCTGGGTTCTCCACTCCACTATGCTGTGGACCTGCTGTGTGGCATTCAGAGAACCACTCAAGCGCCGTTTCTCAGGGGAGACCTCATTTCTACCCAGATACAGGGAGCAATGGAGCAGGGGCTCTGAGGCCTGGGGTGCTGACAGCCCCTCAGGCCCCTCCCCACCGGGCCACCAGGCAGAAGTTCAGGGCCAGGGCCCGGAGTAGTGGTGGGGAGCTGGGGAGCTTCTGTTTGTGACTCTGGCACCCCATATGAGCGCCGGTTTGAGTCCCAGCTCCTCAGCTTCCAATCCAGCTCCCTGCTGATGCACTTGGGAAGGCAGCAGAGGATAGCCCGAGTGCTTGGGCCCCTGCCACCCATGCCGGAGGCCAGGATGGCCTTCCTGGCCCAGCATCAGCTGTTGCCACCCTTTGGGGAGTGAACCAGGGATGGAAGCTTCTCTCTCTCTCTCCCTCTTTTTCTCTCTAGTTCTGCCTCTCAAATAAATAGATAGATTGGTAATCAAATCTTCAAAAAGAAAAAGATGGAATTCAGAGTGAGCCTGGTGGAGCGGGAGGTCTGTCTGGGTCCCTGGGGACTCCCTGGCCTGGCTCTGAAACCTTAGCTGGTGGCTGCTCAGTGGCACTGAGCCTGAGCGTCCTATGAGTCTTGTGGAAAGAGTGACTGCACCTGCTCCCAGTGAGGCTGTGCAGACAGCCAAGGGAGCATGCATGAAGCTCCAGCAAGTGCTGGTGTGCAGCAAGGAGTCACCAGGATCTCAGCGAGCCCAGTGCCCCGCGTGCCAGCTGCACACCCTGAGGAAGCCACTCAGCATGTCTAGGCTGCAGGATGGGGCTCAGGTGTGCATCACAGAGCGTCCACAGCTTGCTGACCAGTGCTCTCAAGCTTACCTGCAGGGCAGGCACAAAGGGGCGGTGATGGGGGCCCGAGCCCATGGGCAGCATGGCAGCAGCACGTGGGGCCTTTCTGGCCTCTCCCTGCCACATGGGCACCAGCACCTGCCTGGGCTCGTCTCTTCACTGGAAATGCACCCTGCACTCCAGCCTGCCCTTCCTAGAGCGAGCCCTCACCCCTCACCCTCCTGGCCCCAACCTTCAATGGCTCCCAAGGACACGCTCACAGAGAACCAACTGCTGAGCCAGGCAGCTCCCCCCGTGGACTCTCACTCATAGGACGCCAGGCTCAGTGCCGCTCTGCACTCCACGCAGGCAGCACGGCTCAGCCCCCACAGAGAGGCCCATCCATAGTTACCTGGACCCGAGGATGGATTGTAAAGTAATGGTGATGATAATGGGAACTAGAATTTATACCAGGTAGGTGCTTAGCACCCATCCATGAAACAGGCACAGAGATGTTACGTGACTTGCTCAGGCCACACAGCTGTTGCAAGGCAGCATGGATTCGAGCTGAGCCTGTTCCACTCTGAGACCTGCCCCTCCGCCCTGCCCTGACTGGCACTAAGCACCCAGCATGCCCCAAAGGTACCATCTCAGCACACCCAGCAAGACAGTAACCCCCCTCATTCCTTTTTGAGCAGAGAGAAGTCAAGTCACCTGCCCAAGGTCACACAGCATGGATGCAGCAGAACCAGGGCTGCAGTGGGCTCCAGGATCTGACCAGTGACATTCCTGAGGACCAAGCCTGAGGCAGTTGGGAACCCCTCCCCCACCTCAGGGCAGGGCCCAGCCTCTACCTGTGAGGACGTGGCCTGGCTGGTGGCAATGGAGCTCCCCGCCAGCCCTGGCTGGTGGGGCCGTGTGGACACTGCAGTTGGCCTGGGGCAGCAGGCAGCACCTGGCAATGGCGTAGACACCCTCACCCCCAAACGCGTTGTGGGCCAGGCATACCCTCCTGCCCCCTCGGACCTGAGAGAGAGACAGACACAGGGACCTCCTCCAGCTGGGCCGAGTCCCCAAACCCTTGTCGGTCCCACTCCCAGCCCCCCCCGAGGACAGGGAGCTCCTTCCTGCCCTGGCAGGGGCTTGGCAATGGAACCACAGGGAAACCTGAGAGAGCAGAGCGGGGACCAGCCTGTCCTTCCCCACCGCACCCCCAGCCAGGCTCCAGCCAGCACTCACACACCCAGTCTCTCCGCTGCAAGTGCCTGCCCCCACCCTCCCACCTGCATCCGGGCACCCGCACCATCCACACCAGTGCCCCCTCTTGGCTGGCTTCAGCTCCAAGCACCCCAGACAGTATGAATGGAAAGCGCGCTTGGCCCCAGTCCCCAGCCTCCCAGGAAGCCCCGCCTGGGCCGCCCCTGCTCTGGCCCAGCCCTGCAGGCTTGGGACAGAGAGCAGGGACGGAAGTGCTGAGGATGGAGGGGCTCTCCAGGGCCAACCCCCATCCCCTGAGCTGAGAACTGACAGCACCCTACACACACACACACACACACACACACAGCAACAATCCCCCTGCCCACAGGAACACACTCAAGGCTCAAGGGTGCAGTTACCTTGATGCGCTCGCCCCGCCGCTTCCCGCTCCTGGAGAAACTGGAGCAGCCCAACAACTCCTCATCGGGGGCGCAGCGGGCCGTGGCCGTGGCCATGCACATGGGCCCCGAGTGCGCCGACCACACGGTCCTGCAGAAAAGCTGCCCGCCTGAGGCGAGGCCCCCAGTGAGGAGGGGTGGCCTGAGCCGGGACACTCCAGAAGTGTCTTCAGTTTGTGGTGGGGAGACAGGGCCTTCAAGAGCGTCATCTGCAACATCTCCTCACCACAGCCCACACCCCAGCCCGGTGGACCGGGTTTAAGGTACAGGAGCAGAGATGGCGGGGGCCGCAGACCCTCCATACCCCCGGCCTGGACTCGGTCCTCCCTGCCCTGCCATCCTGCTCACCTGCTGTGCCAGTGCTGGGGGGCAGGGCAACCACCAGGTTGGGGGTCAGGACCCGCTGGTCCTCTGGGAAGCAGGTCTCATTGATGACATCCTTGTCAGAGAAGTGGATCAGCCTGTGCCTTAGCTCGGCTGGGGAGAGCCCAGGCGTGGAGGCCAGCATCATGGCTGCGATGCCTATGATGGGGCAGGCAGTCAGAGGTGGGGGGTCGCCTTCCCAACCAGGGGATTCCTGCTGGCACACACACGCACGCACACATGCCCAGCACATGGGTGCGCACACAGACACACCAAGCTGCTATCCCCATGCAGGTAAGCCAGCCACACCCCATGCATGTGAAAACCAGGTGGTAGGACATCGGGCTCTCACACCTGTGGGCCTTGGCAGCTGCTGTCTTGTGTGCCAGGGGAACGCCTTCCATCCACCAGCTCAAACCTCTCCCCTCCACGAAAGCATCCCTGACCCTCAGGCTGCCAGGTGCTCCCCTGGGCTCCCTCTAGCCCGGCCCCACCTACTTGGTGTTCCCACCCTCCGCCTCCCCCAACAGACTGTGTGTTTGTGCCCAGGCCCAGCATAGAGCCTGGGGCAGTCCCTGCCTGCCGGAGGGGCTGATAGAAGCACAGCAGACAAGGCCATGTGGGGGGAGGGGGGGCTCACCGGCCACGTGGGCGGCAGCCTGCGATGTCCCACTCTGCAACATAAAGCAGGGGTCGCAGTCACTGGCGGCACCAACGATTTTCTCCCCTGGGGCGAAGAGGTCCACACAGCGGCCATAGTTGGTCCCCAAGGTCTCCAGGGTCAGTGGCTGGTCCTGGGCATTGGTAGCCCCAACAGTGATGACCTGAGAAGGTGAGGATGCAGGGGTATCGAGAGGAGTTGTGGGAGGGGCTGCAGGCACAGACTGGGACCTTGCCAGCGACACCGACTGACTCTAGAAACCTGCTGGGGTCCCACCCAAATGGCCCAAATGAGGGACGTGCAAGTCCCTGGGCAAACTCTGTGCTCCCTGCTCTACCTGAGTGCCTCCTGCACTAGCCTGGAGCCATTCCTCTGTTCTGGTGGAGCGGAGCAGGCAAGGCCAGACCAAGTGCTGGGTTTTGTTTTGCTTTTTTGCAGTTTTGAATTTGGCAGCCAGGGGATCCAGAGAAGGCCCAGGTTATCACCGCCAGGTTCCCATCTGCACCCCCCACCCCCCCCCACCTGACTCTGAACCCCTCGAGCTGGTCAGAACGGCCTCAGCCGCAGCAGGCCGTCGGCTCCTCTGAGCCAGGCACACAGCAGCCCCCTGGTGCCCCCCGGGTGACTGGCTCTGACTTGCATCTGCTCCTGAGCTCCTGAGCCGTAGGGGACAGCTGCCTGCTGGGGGTGGGACTGAAGGTGCTGCCCTTCCCAGGAGTTGGGATCGTCCGGAGTCATGCCCTCCCCTCCCCGGGCTGCTGCAGGGGAGCCAGGCCTGCACGGCCTCTGGGAAGGGGACCCATCTTCTCCTCCATTCTGCGGGCCAGGGGCAGCATGCCAGCACCCACCTCGGGAGCAGAGGCTGGGGAGTAGAGGCAGGCATCTTCCCGGAAGTTGCCGGCAGCAGCGACCAACACTATGCCTGTCCTGACCAAGCGCTGGCAGGCGGCATTGAGGACCCGGCTGTAGCCACCGGCCAGGGGCAGCAGCACCACCAGCGGCACCGTGGGCTGGGCCAGGTGGTTCTTCTGAATAAACTCCAGGCCTGAGAGGACAGAGCCAAAGTGAGACCCTGGAAAGACCCACCCTTCCAGGCCCGTCCCACAGGGGTGATTCCAGGGCAGCTCCATGCCCTGTGTCTGCTCAAGCACTTGTCTGCAGGCTGCCAGGAAGGTGTGTTTCGGATATGACTGACATTTCAATCAGGAGATGCAACAGCAGATGGCCCTCTGTGATGGGGGATGGCTCATCACCCAGCTGGAGGCCTCATGAGAAAAGACCGGGGTCCCCAGTAAGAGGGGGTGCAGCTGCTGGCTCGCGACACCTGCTATACTTCCTAGCCACCGCATCTCGGGAGCCAGTTCCTTCCAGCTCTTCTGAGCACACACATCCTGCAGGGCCCAATGGCCTGGGACCCCCTGACTGACACCCATGAGAAGCACATGGACAGCGCCTACTCCAGCCCTTCCCGCTGTGGGTGCTCTCTAGGGGTTGAGTATATGAGCTCACAGCTACCTCACAGCCACCCTATTACCAGCCCTCTCCAGGAATCCGGGGTCCTATGGGGGCAGAGGGGCCTCAGAGGGATGACCAGGGCCTCCTTGACCCACCCCCAGGACCTGGCTCACGCGCCCCTCCCCTACACCTTGGAGTCCTAGACCCACACACACTGGGGCCCTGTCCTGGCCACCCACACACCAGCTGCGACCTTTGGGACAATTGCTGCTCAAGGTTTAGTCTGCATGTCCTGCAGTGGGGCCTCCCCAGCCCCCTGCCCTGAGGGTCAGCTTCCTGTGACCTCGGTGGCACTTTGCCCCTCTTTCTTAGGGCCTGAGCTTGCAGGCCAGGGTCTGCCTTGGGTGGCCAGGAGGGATGGATGCGTCTAAGCCCTGGCCCCACCAGCGAGCCCTGGTCCACCGTTGAGCCCTGGCCCAGGGGCCTGGAGACCTGGAGCCTAACAGCAGCTCTGGTGCTTCTGCGCCAGGGGACCTGGGGATGATAGCTGGTCCCCTCATGCTCTTGCTCCTGCTCTGTCAAAATGGGGGGGGGAGGTGGCCTGGCCATCCCCTCAGAACATTCTGGATCCTGGTCTCTGGGACATGTCCAAGGCGGTGGAATCCCACAGCTGGCTCAGAGTGGAGGTGGCTGTGCAGATGGGAGAGCAGCCAGACAGGTACAGCTGCGGCCACGGCACACCTGCTGTGTGCGGGTCCCTGCACTCAGACCATCATCTGCTTCCACAATGCAAGGAGCAGCAACTGTTCACAGAGCCCCTGTGCACCAGGTAACGTACCAGGGGCCGCGAAACAAGGCCAGGGCTGCAAGAGGGGGCTCCTTCTTCCCTGGGGAAAGCCTCTTGAGAAATGGCAGCCTCCTCACCACACACTGACCTGTGGGCCTGGCCTGCCTGGGCGTAGGAGAGCCAGTGAAGGCAGGGTCAGGCACAGGGGCCAGCTGACGGGACAAGAGGTGACTGATCTTTGCCTTTAAAGTGGCAGCAGAACCTGTGGTCCCGAGGCAGAGCTCATGTAGCACAAGGCAGCCTCCCAGGCCTCCTCCACCTTCCAAACAGGCCTGCGGGCTGTCTCTGCCCATTCAGGGGCCGCCGTCTTACACAGGGCCTGGGGCTCAGGGGGAGGGCTAGCCACTGCCCACAGCCGGCACTTGCACCAGTGAGGTCAATGACATGTGACTACACGAAGTCACCTGCCTCTCTGCGCTGGTTGTGTCAACTGCTTCCTAGGAATGGTAAGGCCTGCCCAGGGTGTGGGGTGCAAAGCCCCATGCTCCAGGTCTTGCCACAGGAGGAAACTGGCAAATGAGCGCTCACTCCTGGCTCTCTGCCCACGACTCTCAGCCAGACCTCCCCAGGGCTCCACTGGGTGGACCGGGTGGAGGAAGCTGCAGATGTCTGGAAGAAGCCCTCGGCCTGGCTGGGGCACCTGCAGGCGCCAACAAGTTACGCAAGCCAGTGAGGTCCCCGGCTTTAGAGGCGTGCAAGCAGAAGAGGGAGAAATGGCGTGGGTCACCTCAAGCTGCCCTGAAATCTAGGACAGCACCACGCAAGCCCTAACCACGTAAAGGGATTTGAAAATGGGAGCCCTATGGAGCTATGAAGAGACCAAGGAGCCGGCCTCTTGGGCTCCAGTTCTCCACCTGCACCGCGACCCCTGGGGGCCTGCCCGGCCAGGAGATGCTGTTGGTTCTCGCTGTGCTGGGGCCACCCGCCCAGCAGGCGCAGGTGCAGAGAGCCCCACTCACCCATGAGAATGCTGCTCACCGCTCCCCTCCCTTGGCAGTTGAGCACGCGCAGACTGCGCAGGCTGGTGCCCTTGGCCACGCCAGCATCCCGGCCACTGACCACCCCTGCCAGGTGAGTGCCATGGCTGTCACACTTGCTCTCCTGCAAAGTGACACAGAGCCGTGTGAGAAAGCCCACCCACGCACCAGACATCAGCAGGGGCCTGGAGGGACTGACATCCCCGCCCCACAGTGGAAGGCAGGGAAGGAAGAATGAGGGCTGGGAAGGCCAAGTTGGCGGTGCAGCCACGATGCCAGCACTCAGGGCAGTGGGCCCCACCCACCTCCAGGATGGTGACAGGAACAGGGCTCACCTGTCTATGGAAGTCTATTCCATCCTCTTCAGGCACATTCTCGAAGTCGGTGACCGTGACCTTGCCCTTGATTTCCCGGTGGCCACTCCGGATGCTTGTGTCTAAGAGATACACCTCTACGAGGCCACTTCCATCTGCCCTCGTGGACACTTGTGCAAGAGGAGAGAATGACCCTGTAGTCAATGCTGTGGCAGCGATGTAAAACACTTACTACATCCCAAGCACTGTGGTAAGCACCTTCAATGCTTCCCCACATCCCCCACATGTGCTACGATGTCTTTATGTTATAGACCAGGAAGGGGAGGCACAGAGAGGGCAGGCAACGGTGCAAGGCCACACAGCTGGCAAACGACAGAGCCCGAATGTGAATCAAATCATCTGGCTCCATCATATTTATAATAGCACAAAATAAGAACATTCAAAAATCATGTTATGGTCTAAGATGACCCAAGCCCTCATTCCCGGCCTCCCACAGCTCAGCAAGCCCAAGAGGGAGACAGATAAGGTTTGGAAAAAGTAGAAGAATAATGACTGCCCAGCAGTGGGAGCTGGCCAGCTCGTCCCACAGAGAGGAAACAGGCGTGGAGGGGAGCCTGGGGGTCTGGGCCACTCCAAGGATTTGTGGGAGGTGAGGAAGGACTCGCGCGCCCCGTGGGCCAACAGAAGGCAGCAATTGGGCTTCGGAAGTAAGGATGGGACAGACAAGGGCCCCCGGTGGGGAGGAGGGACAGGCCAGGGCTGAGCAAGTGCCCTCAGCATGGGTGGTAGGGGGCAGGGCACAGCCGGGGGTCTTACTGGACGGGCGGTGCTCATCCGCCTGGTACTGCACAGGGAAAATCCGCTCCAGGTTCCATGGAAGCTTCTGGGCAAAGACGGAGGAGTCCTCCTCAATGTACTTGACGTGGGGCAACTTCAGGGCCTGCAGACACCAGAGACCAAGAGACTGCACTGGGCCAGCGGCCACCACAGCCACAGCCACGCCCTACCCGCCCAAGTGCAGCCCAGCCGCCTGGCAGGCTCCCTCCAGGTGCCCAAGTGAGGCAGCGGCTGGGGTCTCGTCACTCCTCCATCAGACTGGGAAGCTCAGCACTCCCACAATTCAGCCATGGAGCCGGGACCGTCCTTTTAGGAAGGATTCTGGATTTCACAGCTCATGCTAGGAGCCACTGCCCGGCTCTGAGCAGTCTGGACAGGGATTGAGACGCAGCACCCAGGGCTGTGAACCAATGGATGGTAGATCTATCTCTGTGTGTGTGTATGTGTGTGTGTGTGTGTGTTCCTTTCTGTCACTCAGCCTAAAACTCAGGATTGGAACTCCACAGCCGGGTCTCACGGAAAGCACTGTTTGCCCCCAGATCCACTCCCTGCTTGTCTGCCCTGCTCAGCACCCAGGAGGCTGACCCTACAGACTGCAGCTCCAGGACCGCCCCCCGCCCCGCCCCAGCTGTGCTCAGCCAGTGGGAGGCAGCAGCAAGAGTGTGGGGGGCCAGAGTGTGGCTGCAGCACTCCCCCTCCCCCACTCTGGGACAGAGATCCAGCAGCGGCTGCAGCCTCCAGTGACCCGGGCCCCTCCTCCACCCTGCCAGTCCCCACTTGGCAGAGGGAAAGCTACCCCCTCCCCATGCCCTTCCACATAGAGGTGCAAACAGCTTCCCACAACCAGTCTCTGGGTGCCTCAGTACCCCGGGGCCGCTAACCTACCCATGCCTCCGTCATTTCTGTACTGAGCATCTGCCTAGAACCTTCACGCCTCTAGGACAGGCATTTAGCCCAGAGGATAAGGCGCCACTTGGCACACCTGCATTACATAAGAGGGGGCCCGGGATCAGTCCCAGCTCTGCTCCCTGCGAATGCACACCCTGGGAGGCGGCAGCTGAGGTCTCAGTAGCTGGCTCTCTGCCACCCAGGTGGGAGATCTGGATGGGGTTCTGGACTCCTGGCTTCAGCCTGACCCAGCCCCAGCTATTGTGGACATTTAAGGAGTGAACCAGCAGATGGGAAAATTCTCTCTCTTTCTCTCTCTCTCTGCCTTTCAAATACATACATACATAAATAAAATGTTTACTTCTTCATGGTTTTACTTGGCCCTTAAACAGCGACCCTTGTTGTTATACCTGGCCCACAGACAAGGGGCTGGGGGCCCAGGAGGTGGAGGAATGTGTCCAAGCTTAGACAAAGTGATGAACAGCAGCTTCAGGACTTGCACCCGGGCTGGGGTGCAGCCAGAGCCTCTCTCTCCTTGGCCAATGTCTGCAGCTTCCTCGCCTCTGTGAAGCTGCCCTGGCCAGTGGGCATAGGCTTTCCATTGGGCAGTGGGTGGGCACCGTGGCCCTTCGAGACTTGGCACACTGACTAGATCATGGGCAGCAGTGCCATGGAGGTAGGAGAGCTGCCAGTCATATGCTGTGTGACTTCAGGCAAGATCTGTCCCGCTCTGGGCATCAGTGTCTGCAGGAGGCTGAGAAGCCCCCAGCCCAGTAGAGAATCAGTGTGAAAGTGATCATCAAGTTAAAGGGCAGGGAGGGAGTAGGTGGGGAGGTGGGGGCACAGGCAGGAAAGTCTCTTTTTAAGATTTGCATTTGGGCCGGCGCCGCGGCTCACTAGGCTAATCCTCCGCCTTGCGGCGCCAGCACACCAGGTTCTAGTACCAGTTGGGGCGCCGGATTCTGTCCCGGTTGCCCCTCTTCCAGGCCAGCTCTCTGCTGTGGCCAGGGAGTGCAGTGGAGGATGGCCCAAGTGCTTGGGCCCTGCACCCGCATGGGAGACCAGGAGAAGCACCTGGCTCCTGCCATCAGATCAGCACGGTGCGCCGGCCACAGCGCGCCAGCCGCAGCGGCCATTGGAGGGTGAACCAACGGCAAAGGAAGACCTTTCTCTCTGTCTCTCTCTCTCACTGTCCACTTTGCCTGTCAAAAAAAAAAAAAAAAAAAAGATTTGCATTTGGCACACCCTGGGAGGCAGCAAGTGATGGCTCGAGTACTTGGGTCCCTGCCACCCACGTGGACACCTGCATTGAGCTCCTCATCGCTGGCTTTTGCTTGGTCCACCCTGGCTGTGGTGGGCCTTTGGGGAATGAACCAGCAGATGGGACATCTCTCCCTATGTGTCTCTGTCTCTGTTTCTCTGACTTTTGAATAAATGAAACATGTGCATGGAAAGCATTAGGGCCTGGGTAAGGAGAAGCGAGGCCAGAAGTCACCCAGGTCCCTTTCTGCCCGTCCAGCAAGGCTGTGACACTCGGAACAAGCTGGAGGGAGGAGGCCCTCCCACCCCAGCCTAAGGGAGGAAGGCCACCATGGAGAGCATCCGCTGCACAGGAATTCGGGGCCCTTGAGTCACCACTTTCATGAAATGACTCAGAGGCCTGGAGTGTCCCCGGGCCTTGTACCTACATGTTCCCACAGGGAGCAGGTGCACCAGCACGAGGACAGCTGGCAGGCAGACACTGCATCTGACCCAGCTGCCTGTGTGATCCACTCTGAGCCCCAGCCTCTTCTTTCAAGTGAAAATGGACTCACCATGGCAGGGGTGGGCATGACCAGACTCAAAGGACCCTCCACACAGAGGCGGTAGTCACCGCTCTGGGCGCTGTCTCCCGATTGGGGCGCCGGGCGCACTAAGGACAGCTGCCCGCAGCCCAGGCAGGAGCGAGCGGCCATGCCAAGGAGGGCGGCTCACCAGGTCCAGCAGGTCACTGCTCATCTTCACCAGGAAGCCGGGGAAGAGGTCATGGAAGAGGTGCAGGACCTTGGTGAAGTAGCCACAGCGGGCAGCCCGGGCCTGCAGGCGGCGGGCGGTGCGCTCTGTCTGCTCACGGCTGCACTCCTCCTTCAGCACCACCACGTAGGTGCCCTGCAGCCTCCAGAAATCCTGTCCCAGGCGAGGAAGAGGAACACGATGACACCGAAAGCCCCACGCACTCCGGGTGCCCCTTGTCCTACTCACGACAAATCGGAATGACGCAGCATAGTAAACCACAAGGAGCAGGCACCAAAAAGGGCCCAGAAATAAACACAGCGTCACCTGCAGGCCGACCCTTAGTTTAACGGAGTTCACCAGCAGTCAGACAAACATGGCACCCAGAGCTACATGCAACAAAGGGTTCTCCTCTGTGCCTGCACCTAGCTCCCCAGGGGCCCTGCCAGGTCCTGGTCACCCCTGGAGGCTCTGTCTAAACGCCATCGCTGCCCAGAGGCCTTCTTGGTTACACCGCAATCAGGAGAGGCCACTCCCTCCCCACTCAGTGCCCCCAGGACTCCTCCCCCAAGGAAGTCCAGAGGGCTTTCAAGCCAGAAAAATGTGCACCTGATTCTCAACTTCACTCTTCACTGGTTGAGTGGCCATAAGCAGGTCACTCAACCTCTCTGAGCTCAGCTCTCTCATCTGTGTTATGGGGACCACAGCCACAGCACAGGCTTGCTGGCAAGGCCAAGAGAGCAGGTTGTGGAAGGCACCCAGCAGGACAGTCCACATGGGCAGGCAGTGAGCCAAGACCACACTTCCCCAGCAGGCCACCGTCTGCAGGAGATGTGCTGGGTCTTAGCTCTGTCTGCTCCAACTGCTCTCAGGCAAACACATTTGCTCTAGAACCTTCCACAAATGGGCTTTTCACGCAGGCATTAAGATGCATCTTAATGCAACTCGGGATGCCCACATCCCAAGTCAGAGTGCCTGGGTTTGAGCCCTGGCTCTGCTCCTGATCTTAGCCTCTGGCTACTGTGCACCTGGGGAGGTATCAGGTGAGGACTCAAGCACATAAGTTCCCGCCACCCGGGTGGGAGACTCAATGGAGCTCCAGGCTCCCGGCTTCAGCCTGGCCCACCTGGGCTGTTAAAGGCATCTGCGCAGTAAACTGGCAGATGGAAGACCTCTGTCTCCCTTTCACATAAAGTGAAAATTAATTCATTTGTTTTTAAGATTTATTTGTTTATTTGAAAGTCAGAGTTACAGAGAGAGAGGGAGAGAGAGGGAAAGAAAAGTTCCATCCACTGGCTCACACCCCAGAAAGCTGAAACAGCCAGGGATGGGCCAAGCTGGAGCCAAAAGCCAGGACCTTCATCCAGGTCTCCCACGTGGGTGGCAGGAGCCCAAACACTCGGGCCATGTCCCACTGTTTTTCCCTTTAGCAGAGAGCTGGATGGGAAGTGGAGCAGCTTGGACATGGGATGCTGGTGCCACAGGTGGCAGCTTTACCCTATATGCCACAATGCCCAGCCCAAATTTAATTAAGTTATTCAACAAAAAGCCTTACACAGTAAAATCCAAATGCCATCTTCCTCCTTGGTCCCCTGTTAGCCTGCCTGTGCAGCCTCATCTACACACAGGGTAGGATAGAGGACACAAACCCTTTATCCGAAGCCACAGGGCCATATGCGTTTTGAAATTCAGAATGTGTTGGGATTTTGGAAATGCAGTAATGAGCATGCGCAGAAGAGTCTGCGCTGCATCCCACAATCCACAGCAAGTGCATGCCTGAGCATATTCACACACGTGGAATATGGAACCCTGTGTCGGGCAGCTCAGAGTCCATCTCTGGCTAAGTTACAAAAACCCTATGGCTTCCAGGGGATGTCACATTTCGGGGGGGGGGGACAGAGGCCTGGAGATCCGCACCCCCTGCTCCCACCTCTGCCGTCCCCTGCTCTGTGCTGGTGTTCCTTCCTCCTGCCACCTTCATGGGTCGAACTCCTGCTTAGGCTTCAAAGGCCACCAAAATAATTACCCCGTGCTCAGTGAAAGCTGACTGAACTGCGAGGCTTGTCCTGCAGTGGAAGCAGGACTCTCCGGGGAAGCTGATTCTAACACGCCTCCTCTCTCTGGGCCTCCGTGTCCTGCGACTACAACACAGAACATTCTAAAATTTTTCTTGATGGCCAATGTCATTGCCATTCTAAATTCAATTCATTCACTCATTGAAGGAATGAAGTCTAGGAGGTCTCTGTGCTAGTCTGCCACCAGCCTCGACTCAGGGATCTGTGCAGCCCCTTACTGCCCTCTCAGGGTGGGGTGCTCGCTGCTTGCACAGCAGTTATTTTAGGGCCGTGCAGACTTGCAATGCCCCTTCTTATCCCGGCCAGAACCCCACCAATTCCCTCAATAACGCAAAGGCGCAGGAAACCAGGAAGAAGGTGCTTTGAGGCGAGCGAGCGAGGACCTGACACCCTGCAGCCCAGTATACCAGGGAGAGGCAGGACACAAGGCTGACAGTGGCAGGATCTTCCCCTCTGCCCCAGGGCCTGCCCTTTGCACCAGAGAGGGTGTCGCTGGGGTGCCACCTGGCGGCTAGGGACTTAACTACCTCCTGCAAGTGACCACCCCTGGTCACTCACGCTGTCAAATTAAAACTTCCCCTCCACTTTCCCCACCCCGCCCCATCCACTGCCACCCCCGGGGAAGGACAGCCCCCTCCCTTCTAGCCGACAGTGCAGGCTAAGTGACTTGCCAAGCCCCACAGGAGTCAACTCCAGATGCGACTCCACCCTGGGACAGGGGATACCAGCAGAGCCTGGGGCTTACAACTGCAGGGCACCAGAGGCTGGTACCAGGCAGAAGCTGCCCAGAGCAGGTGGAGAGGGCTGCGGGCTCGGGAATCCCGGCTACCACGAGCCAAGCACCCCCAGCCCCTGCCCTGTCCTAACCCTGACGCCCAAACACTCCAACGGGGCCATGAGAGAAACTGTGCCCCTTCCCCTTGCGTTCGTTCTTTCTTCAGCTGAGTAAGACCCGGGTACGAGGTCCCTGGCATGAAGAAATTGCCACCTGCCCCACTGTCTGCCGTGTCTACTCCCACCGCACCCCTACATAGGGCAACCACGCCCTCTCTCCAGGACTCCCTCCGCAACCACGGTCGGCTGGCCGCGTTGTCCCACGAGCATTCCAGGCGCCGCCTCTGCCACGCGTGTGCAATCCCGGCCGAAGATCACCGCGAGCTCTCTGCTAGCCGGACCTCCGCCCGTCGGGCCTCCCATCCCGCGAACCTTGCTACGCACAGAGCTGTGCGCCCCAGCGATTCCCCAGACAGCCACCTTCCCCGTCACCGGCTCTTCGGTCACCGCCACCTGTGCCTGTAGTCCCCAACAGTGCACCAGGCCCGTGGCCGGTGAGAACAGGGCCCCTGGAGACCTCCATTGCAGCCCCTCTTACGTGGGGGGAAACTGAGACTGGAGGAAAAAGCGGCATCCACCTGCATTCCCGCCGCGGGCTCCTCCCCGCCTCGCACCCTGGCGCCCGCACCTTGGCGCAGCGGTGGAAGGTAGCGGAGGCCACGTGCTGCGCCGTGTTCGCCGGGTCATCCTCCTCGGATGGGAAGGAGAACGCCAGCTCCTCGTAGTCGCCGTCCTCGTCCTCCCGGGCACGGGCACGGGCACCTGCAGGACCCAGGAGCAGCAGCAGCAGCAGCATCGGGGCCAGCGGCCACCACGGCCGCCCAGAGCCGCCGTTGCCCATCGGGGTGACAGGAGGGGTCTGCGCCCTGCCGCCCAGACCCAGAGGATGCTCGCGGTCCACGGAGACCGCACCCAGTGTGTGGCGGTGTGAAGACCGTGCAAGCGCGGGAGCTCCGACTCGGGGCTCGGGGCTGCGTGCGTTCTGCGCGCCACAGAGAAGGGGCAGCCTGGGCCAAGCCGACTCCTCCGGGCTCGTACCCCGAGGTGGGCGGCTCCGCCCCGTCGCGGGGAACCGTGTCGGGTGTGGGTGATCCACGCCCGGGGGCCGGAGATCACACCACCCGAGCCCCATTGGACGATCCGATCCGATTAAACATTAACGGAGCCCCCCCCCCCCCAACTGGAGGATCAGGTTTCGGCATCGCCCTCCCCAGAGCGCCTCAGATGACGCCCGGAGGGAGGGGGAAAGGGTCCCAAATCCTAATTGGGCTGGAAGGCCGCCGGTGGGCGGCATGCACCTCCTCTACAAGTCTCACCCTGCGCCCTGCGAGCTGTGCCAGGCTCCCTTCCCCGGCGCCCACCTCGACAGCATTTCCGGGTCTGCCTTCCACCTCCCTGGCCTCTTGCTCCAACGATGTTTAGCCACCTCCTCCAGCCGGCCTCCTCCCTGCCCCTGGTGACCCTTCCTAATCAATGTAGCTGCAGGCTGTGCCCAATTCTGTCTCCAGCTTCACCTGGCATCTTTCTCAATCTAGCCTGGAGCGCATCCAGGCCTCTGCCCCCTTCTGCTCCCTGTGCTTGGACCTCACCAACTGGCTGTTCTTGAAGACACTGCTTGCTTCTCATTTCCAGCCTGCAACACATTTCAAGGGACCAAGACTCCCCCAAAACTCAGTTTGATCATGTAAAGCTATCATACAGGTACACTCAACATCCCACGGTCAGCTCCAGCTCAGGGTTCCAAATGATGGTGAAGATTCCTTTGACACACTGTGTCCAAGAGCTGAGCAGGGCAAGTGCCCAGGGACCACCTACCGTGTGCCACGCCCGAGAAGGCAGAGACCTTTGGGTGCAAAGAGGTTGGCTCTGCCCAGGAGGGCTGCACCGAGAAGCACAATGAAGGTTTGTGGGTCCCACTTTGCAGACACACCGCTCCTTCTGAGAATAGCCCCAGCTCGGGTCAGAGGTGTTGCTATAGGAACCCCTAAAACAGGGTCAGCTCAGTTGTTGCTCAGGAAACCAGGCACTGACATCAGGCTGATGGGGCCAGGCAGGTATATATTGCAATGTGCAGTCATCACTCAATCCCCGACTCCCCAAGGTCACGGCAGTGAATCCTACAGAGCTGGGACTGAGCAGCTCACGGCTGGGCCTCAGCCTGCAAATGTGAACTGGTCTGTGATAGGGGCTAGCACATTGCCTGTGGGATGGCAGAGGTGGGCTCCTGTCTGTCTGGGTCTAATGGTACACAGGGTGTTAATTTCTTTGATCAGGGCTTGAAGTTCCTGGAAAAAAAGGTCTCAGTTAACGGCTGACAGCAGGATGTGAGCTGCAGAGGTGATAAGGGAATTCCTGGGATTGGAGCCCTGCCTGTGAGTCCTCGCAAGGGCGCAGAACAGAGACCGTGTTAGCTGTAGGGACGAAGGTGCCATTCCATGGTGCTACTCCCCACGTGAATGAAGCTTGACAGAGGAGCTGCGGGGCTAAGCAAGAGATACCAGCACCCAACAAAATCCACATCAAAGGCTCCTGGGGCGGGGGCTGGGCTGCAGGTGCGAAGTGACTCTGAATCTGGAGCCTAGACTGCCAAGGGGGCGCCCTTTTCACCCAGGCGGGCCACTGTCCAAAGACGGTGCCCCCCAGGGGCGCAGGGACAGAAGCCTCCGCGAGCGAGGCAGAGCCGCCCCTTTTTGTTCCGGTTTCCTTATCCAATGCGGTCCCTGGCGCGGGAGAGGAGCGCATTAATCATTTAATCAAGGGGGCAGCCGTGGCTGTCCTTGGGCTTCCCAAACGGAAGTGTACTGGCAATGCGCTTTGGGCAGCATCCTGGCCCAAGGCTTTGTCCTGCCGCGGGGAGAGAGGGGACCATGCTTCCCTGAGGCTCCCCTGTCTGCCCAGGCACAAAGTCCCCAGGGAGCTGCTGCCCAGGGTGCAGTGAGTGCGTTTGGATTGGGGGCGGGTGAGGCAGCCCCCTCCTCCACAGGTGCCCAGGCTCTGTGACAGATGGAAGCAGAGGGGCAGTCACTTCTCATCACACACCCTCCACTGCACTCTGCGGGGCCGCCACCTGGCAGGGTTTCATCCTTCGGTGATTACTCCCTGACCCGTAAGTCGCCCGAAGCTGCTGTGTCACCTCCTCCCTCTTCTCAGATGGTCCCCCGCACCCGGCCACTGACAACCAGGCTGCTTCCCACGGAGCTATGGACAGTCAAGTTCAACACGGAACGTTCATCTTCACCCCACCGTAACCCACTGCCGTGTGCTGAATAGTTACCCCAAAAGATATGTCACAACACAGCTTCTGATACCTGTGCATGTGAGCTTATTTGGAATAAAGTTTGTGCAGATGTAATAAAGCTATGGACCTCATGACAAGGTCATCCAGGGTTGAGGGTGGGTGCTAATGCGATGACTGGCGTCCGAAGAGAAAGGGGAGGGAATGAGCAGAGACACAGGCCCTGGCAAGAAAGCCAGGAGCCACCAGACGCTCGGAAATAGGACATATCTCTCCAGAGAACTCACTTTATTCTTTTTTAAAAATTTGTTTCATTTATTTAAAAAGCATAGTGACACAGAGAGGGGGAGAGACACAGTGGGGGGGTGTCTTCCATCTGCTGGCTCATTCCCCGAGATGACCTCAATGGCCAGGGCTGGGTCAAGCCGAAGCCAGGAGCCAAGAGCGTCTTCCGGGTTTTCCACGTGGATGCAGGGGCCCAAGCACTTGAGCCATCTTCCACTGCTTTCCCAGGCCATAGCAGGGAGCTGGATCAGAAGTGGAGCATCCAGGACTTGAACCTACACCCATATGGGATGCCGGCATTGCAAGTGGCAGCTTTACCTGCTACGCCACAGTGCTGCCCCAATAAATATTTATTTGTTTGTTTGTTTTAAAGACACATGCATTCCACATCACAGTAGCTGGGTTCAATACTCAACTCCGGTTCTTGACTGCAGCTTTTTGCTAATGCAGACCCTGGGAGGCAGCAGGTGATCCATCAAGTTCTTGACCTGCATGGAGTTCACAGCTCCTGGCTTCAGCCTGGCCCAGATCCAGCCCTTGTGGGAATCTGGGGAGTGATCCAGAGGATGGGAGCTCTCATTCTCATCTGTGTCTGTGCTGCTCAAAACAAAACAAAACTCCAAGAGCAGCCCTGTTAGGCAGGAAGCTGGAAATCAGCCTGTGGGTGTGAGAGGGGCCCCAGAGCCCACGGACTGGAGTGGAGCTGCCTCCGGAAGCTTCGGGAGGCACCTTGGGGGCAGCCCGGCATTCCACACTGCAAAGCCCTGCCCACACCCCCACACCCTACAGGTGGGCCCAGCCTTCCCCCAGAAAGGCCTGCGAGGACAGTGCTGGTGCCGGGGGGCTGCCCAGTCTGAGGACGTAGGGAGGAAGTTCACCTGCCTCACACCCAGCAAGCCCAGGAGAAGAAGGAGGAGGGAGGAGAAAAGACGGAAAGGTGTGGACCCCACTCCCTTACAAGCCCCGGTCTGAACAGAGACTGCACTGTGCTCTCAGCGTCTCCCGAGATGCCCACCTGGTCTTTCCAGCGCACTGCTCTCGGCCCTTGGCCCTTTGCTGAGATGCCGCCTGGTCCACCACCAAGTGGCATAACCCTGCCCACACCAGTCTGAATGGCCGGGCACTCTGAGATTCCATCCGCTCTGACATATGCCCTGGCCGATTCGACCCTGATACTTTGTTTCCCACTCCTCTCTGTCTCATCCCTGCATTCTTTCTTTCTTTCTTTTTTTTTGACAGGCAGAGTGGACAGTGAGAGAGAGAGAGAGAGAGAAAGGTCTTCCTTTGCCGTTGGTTCACCCTCCAATGGCCGCCGCGGCCGGCGCACCGTGCTGATCCGAAGCCAGGAGCCAGGTGCTTCTCTTGATCTCCCATGGGGTGCAGGGCCCAAGCACTTGGGCCATCCTCCACTGCACTCCCTGGCCACAGCAGAGAGCTGGACTGGAAGAGGGGCAACCAGGACAGATTCCGGCGCCCCGACCGGGACTAGAACCTGGTGTGCCGGCGCCGCAAGGTGGAGGATTAGCCTAGTGAGCCCCGGCGCTGGCTTGCATTCTTTCTTGCATGAGGACAGGAGCCTCTTCCACTCACCCCTGCTAATGGCCCTATCCAGGCCTCTTGGCACAGGGGACTGTGTCTGTTTCACAAATTCCTAGCAGTGGACATTTTGACGGAAAAGGGGTCCCATGAACACTTTATAGTGACACTATCCCACCAGCAAGCTTGGGGAACTGTCAGAGTGGGCAAGGCTCTGCTCCCGTCACAGCCTCCAGCGCTCAGGGGCTGCAAAAGGCAAGGGTTAAATATTTCTCTCCCACACCAGGTGTCCCCAGAGGGCTTTGCACCACAAAGTCCTTGTCCTTTTCCTCAAAAGGGCTGATAAGTAACCATGTGGGAAATTGCCAGAGGCCAAACCAGGGCACCACCTGCGCCTCCACCCAGAAGTGACCCCACTGGCTCCCTTCAAGACCTTGAGCAAGTCCAAGTTCAAAGGTGGGCACCCAGGAGGAAAGTGGCAAGCATGGCAAATATCAGCAGATTGCAAAACTCACCTGCCACCTGTTGTGTGTGCTGCAGAGCTGGTCTCCAGCTTGTTGATTGGCTTTTGACTTTAAGATAATTTTTCAATAAAAAATTTTAATTTTTATAGTCAAATTTATCACTGTTTTGTTTCATGACTTCTGGATTCTGTGCTGTGCTTGGAAGGCCTCTCTCTTACCAAATCACACAGAAATTGTCCTTTTTAAAAGATTCATTTATTGGGGCCGGCGCTGTGGCGCAGAGGGTTAAAGCCCTGAAGCACCGGCATCCCATATGGGTTTCGGTTCAAGTCCTAGCTGCTCCACTTCCCATCCAGCTCTCTGCTGTGGCCTGGGAGGGCAATGGAGGATGGCCCAAGTGCTTGGGCCCCTGTACCCACGTAGGAGACCCAGAAGAAGCTCCTGGCTCCTGGCTTTGGATCGGTGCAGCCCTGGCCATTGCAGCCAACTGGGGAGTGAACCAGCGGATGGAAGACCTCTCTCTCTCTCTCTTCTCCCTCCCTCCCTCTCTCTCTACCTCTCCTTCTTTCTCTGTGTAACTCTTTCAAGAAATAAATAAATCTAAAAAAAAAGAAGTCCAGATGTTGTGTGGCGGGGTTGGAGGGGCTCCATCTGTTCCCGTGGGTCAGAGCCCCAGGGGTCTCTGGCCAGCACTGCCCAGTGCCGTCTCCTGCTTCTCAGCAGGGTGAGGGTTCCCTCTGAAGCCCACAGAGTCCCTGTGCTCTCCCAGCCTCTGGCTTCCACGGAGTGTCCTGGTTGAGAGAGAACAGCCGGGAGGGCACACAGCTCCCCGCAGAGGAGCAGGGGACCGGCAGCTGCCTAGTCCCAGGTTCTAGGAGC